CGCTACGCTAAAGGCTTTTCAAACAGCGCTCATACTAATGGGAAGCGAGTGGGGGCAGAGGAGATGATGTACGGACGAAGGGAGTTCCTATGACTCCAATAAGCTTTCAGTCCTTACGTACAATGGGCAGCACCTTGAAAGCTGAGCCGACTTTCACCATCAATTTTCCGTTGTTGAATTCCTTCCTCCATATATCGCGTCGTCGTTCAGTTGAACAAATACAAATACTGCGCATACCACGAGCAGCAGCAATGTGCACGTCGGGAACCACTTTGTTCATCCGTTCGTATTATAGGAGGACGCAGGAATTGGTTTGCGAGACCTGTTCTCAAAATAGAGGGATATGCATGTGTTGTGGTGCTTGTGGTATTCGTGTGGTTCTCGGTTTGCCAGGAAATGCTGTGCCCTGCTCTCTCTCTCCCACTCTCGGTGTTATGTCTTGCGGATTTATTCCTACTGCACTCCAATGACCACTTTTACTTTTTTACCCGCTCTGCCTGTGCTATCAATCATGCTAACTTTACCAAGTGGCTGCTGGTGAGCAGATTGGTGGGTGTGATGTTAGGTTACGTGTACACTTACTTCTTGATGATGGAATAAATGTCATCGTCAATCCGGCACCTTGTCAACCCAAGTTTTTCTTAATTTTTCAGATACTACTAGATGATCTTTTGACCTAGGATTCGTTTCATGTCCTACACCATACATGTTTTTTGAGTTTATGTAACATGAATAGACACCCCATTTTCCAAAATTGTCCCCCAGAAAGACAAATCGTCCACAGAATTGTGGATTTAGTCCTTTTAAGAGTTGTGTATGTTAAACTCGTTTAAATTATCGACAGCTTTAGTATTATCAAAATGTACACATGTCTCATTATAATATTGATCTTTATTATTGGTGTAAAACGGGGTTGTAGTCGCTGGTTTGTAGGTTTGAACATACACATACATTTGTACATATATATTTTATGCATCTATGCTTTCACACACAACTACTGGGTAAATTTCTGAGAATATGCATAATATGCAAGTGGGTTTTCATGCTCGTCGTGTGAGGTGGTACATCGTTCACATATTCAAGTGCTTCGCATTGAATATGCCTACACAGAGTGCAATGAGGGCCTAAAGTGGGAGTGAAGGAAAGGGAAAGAGTCGCATGAAAAACAAATAAAAGGAAAGCAAAGGTTACTTTCACTCGTCTCCTGGCAAAGGTTAAGTTTCATTTCTTTTACGGCAATTCAAACTTCAGCACTCGACATGGTATGTTTGGTTCAATGCGATATTTGATTGTACAGCACTCAATATCTGTAGACTCGATTCATCCAGAGAAAGCAAGTAGAAAACACACTGACACTCTTGTAGTTGGTGGTGGACCACTTGAAGTCTGAATCGAGAGACATATTTATATACAACATTCTTGACAAAGGTATAGGCGATAGGATTTGAAAAAAACTATATATTTAGGTGCATGAAGGCAATAGAACCAGAAAATCGACCAGAAATCAGAATCATTCGTTTTGGGGAATCGGGCATATTCGGTGTAAGGAAAATATTCTTCAACAGTATATTTTCTCAAGAGCAGTCTTCATGAAATATTCGGCTCCATCTAAACAAAAACAAGTTATTGCAATTTAAAAAAATTAAAAATTACCTCCACATTTCTTCGAAAACTACTTATTTATGTTTGAAATCGCACCAGGGTTTCAGGGGAATCAATTAAAGTGCTTTATTATTTTGCACTAAATTTTAATTGGCCAACTGCAATGATGAATGGCAATAGAAAATCTACGAGCATACCCATATCTGCATGCTTGTCTTATTTTCGGGAGCCAGTCTCACCAAAATATATTGTGCCTCAATTTTAAAAATCTCAAACAATTGCGTAGGTCACCTATTGACTATCTTTGAACTCTTTGAGCTATGTCTATGTCAAGCTGGTCAAGATAAAAATCATATTTGTTTCGTTCGCCATCATAGACAGGCTGGCCTATCGCACGACCAATAACAACTTTTACGTCACAGTTGGGGTATTACTGGGTAATTTTCTGAGCACATGACTAGACTTGAACTATGATTAGAAGGCCTCGAAATGACTCAGATATTACTGCTGAATATCATTCCAATAAGTAACAGTCGACTTGCTACTTATCTTAGCAATCCAATAATTTTACCGTTAACCGACCATGCCTGTCTTGAGTGTAAGTATACAAAAATGATGTGACTTGTATCCTTTGGTCAACTCTTTTCACATTCTTAAAAAAAAATATAAGGACGAGAACATAAAATTCTGGGAGATTATTTTGGTCGTCGTTATAAAACACAGAATACATGCTAGAAACCGACTTGGTCTTTAACTAAACGAAAAAGCAATCTCTGTGCCCTTGTTAATGTCGGCACAAAAAACAATAAAGTTTTGCTAACATTTTCTCTCCCAAGCCGGCGACTGTTAAGATGCAGTAGAGAATGCACATTTGAGGGGATATATTGTACGTATGTATACAAACGTATTAGTACGCAATACATCGAGTTATTGATTTCACCTCAGAGGTATAATTTACGACGACATCAGTCTAAAAAGAATAAAACATTGGGAAGCTATGTATAGAAGAGAGGTTAGAGCCCCATAAAATGAGATGAAATCGTATAATTACACTCACTGTGATTTGCAAGGATTTATTACGTTGTACGAGTACGAAACGCATGCAACACTAGTTTAGCTCTATCCGTAGTAAATCAAATTAAAAGTGCAAATCTTAATTGCAATTGATAGCGTTAAGGCTCATGTATGTACTAGGACTGGGATATTGACATCCTCCGACATTTGAAATCATGCATCCAACTTTTCTTGCACAGATTCACAATTTTCCTAGAATTGTACATGCACATGAATACACATGAATAGTGAGTTCAAATAAAATGCTTTTATATCCGTCACAATGAGCAACTCCTTGCTACACTTCAACGTAGAAATAAACATTGGAAATCAAGCTTGGTGAAAGTTTTTGTTTGGACTTTGGTCTAGATTTCCATGCAACCTGCATAGAATCGCTGTGACGAACCTTCAGGAGTGAGAAATGGACGTACTGTTGAAATAGTGCATAATTAATTTATTGTGTTCCGTTTATTCTACAATACGTAAACATCACGTATGTGCATTTATGGAATACAAAAAAATCGTCACCACCTTTGCCAACTGGATGTTGCCGTCAATTTTGATTAATAAAGTGTAGGTAGGGTAGAACTACTTAAACTAATACCAATTGTACTTGCCTTAACTCCATTCATTGACTTGCATTGACAAAGTATTTACAAGAGAGAAATTATGGAGCATAGTTTCCTTGCAAGAGGGACTTTCTCTGGTGGGCAATAGGCTGGGGTCGATGGGTTCTTTGCTGTCGAGTGCCGAAGAGCGAATCTGCAGAGAGAAAGACGAGGAGAGGGAAAGACTTGCTGTGCGAAAGCTTCTTTCTTTCTTTCTCCTTTCTTTCTCCGCCTTATTACCAGCACACCGTTGATTCTGCCTTTTTATTCTCCAGCTACAAAATGGAGACCTGGGCAGAATTATAAGCGAAGAATGCACCCGTTTTTTGTCCTCTTTCCATTTTATTTCATCCTTTGCCACGGTTCTTTGGTATTCAGGAGTCGGCTGCATCTCGTAAAAGCCTTAATAACCTCATCCTCAGAGTTCCTTTGCTTGAATTGTTGGACGATACGCTACACTTTTGTGTTGGCTTGAAAAATCTCACTCATTTTTCTGTGTTTAATTTACTTATGGCATAGAAAAACTAAGCTAGACATGTAGTTGCGTACATAGATGTATGTATGTATATATGCTGCATTAAATTAAATTAGAATCTGTTCATAATATACACGTATTTCTCATTCTTCAAAATCAAGTGACTAGTGCAAAACGAATTAGTGTTTTTTTAATGTACTAACAAAGATAAGTATTAGGAAATTTAGATACGACCTGTCTAAAGTTTTAGATGTATTTAGATACATACATGCATAAATATGCACATTTTATTGGCATGTTCTGCAGCATAGATTCCAGAAACCTTGTAAATAGTCAATCAAGCTGATCATGAAAAAACATACGAAATACGACGACTTGCTGAGGATGGGATTCGCACTTGTTTTGCATAAAATATTAGCTGATATATATGAAAGTGAAGGGGAAAGTAACTACAAGAGAGATTTGTACATATTGTTTACAAGGAGAACGATAGGATGAAAGTTCCTGGGTTACAGTTTGTTTAGAAGTTTAGATATATGCTTGCTTGCGTTTGTCTGAGGAGTTTGGTTGGTCGTAAGACAGTTGGGGTTTAAAGTCTGAGGATATTTTGTGTAAATGTAAGATCGGGTGAAATGGGATGAGTTGATTTTGGCTGAGTGAGTTCGGGTGGTTTTGGCAACTCCTTAGTTCCGGCGAAAAGCATAACTTAAGATATGCGCGTCCAAAATGTGTCATTCGTATGCTATATTGAAGTTTAATACAAACTTATACACGTTGTTGTTCAGTTTGCGTTTGATTTTACTTGACTTGTCTTTGGATTCACAACGTGTTGTAACCTTATCTATGGTGAGTTAAATTCGAGTTACTCACCAAAGAGTTGGGGTTTTCCTCTACTCCCAAACTAAGCTAATTGTAAATGTATTTTATGAATGTATTTGTATTTAAATTAAATAAATAATCCTATCTTTAAAAAATTCGAGTTGCATATTAGCGAGCTTTCTTTGATCTTTTCCCTAAAGAAGGAAGTAAAGTCTGCTCGAAGATGTGTGCCGTTGCATGAAAACGTACCGCGTGCATTTTTTGATAATTTATCTCGGTTAATATTGTCGCTTGTGGAAATGAAACTAAATAAGTTAATACTTCAAACAAATAACAGTCAAATAATTAATATAAATTGTGCCCGCAATCGCTTAAAATAACGTCGTCTTAAAATTTAAGACGACTGAAACTTAATGTTGGAGGAGACAAAAGAACACACCTTCAACTTTACATATAGGATTGACCTTTGGTTTATTCACAATACTAAATTTAGTATACATAATATGTGTATTTTACATACAAGTTTACTCAAAAAATTTAATGCTATTCAAAAACCTAAATGCGAGAATATGCAAAAAGAGGTTGTATACCTACATACATTAAATTCTTACGACTGGTACATATTTATATAATTGGTACACGATTTAAACTTAAATTTGAAACAAAATGTTAAGTAAAATTATAATCTTCCATTAAAAACGCATCAGTCAGAAATGAGAACTTTCCTTAGAATACTGGGGAAAGTATTCACATTTTTACTTTTTTTACCAACCAACCCAGTGTTTTCAAGAAATAAGACTTATGATACGTTGTACGTGTATTATTATTATAGTATAATATTTGTTAACAAGTCCTAAATATGTACATATGTATAATTCAACAAAGCCGTGTGACCCACTGTACTAACTGAAGTTAAATCTAATCTACCCTAATAAAAGTTCAGCTCATATTCAAGCATGTATAATTCTTGTATACAATTTACATCAAAAAGGAACACATTCCACATTTACAGTCAACCATACTGACAAAATAATTAAACGCCATTAAATACAGATAAGAAACAGTATATTTTGTAATAACTAATTTTGTAATTTCACTTCATTCCATTCCATCATTCTGAAAAGCTGCAAAATTTAAACGATCTGTCCTACTCTATGTGCACATTTGCTGAGGATATCCTGAGTGATATGCTACCCACTTGTTCATTATCTATTTACGCATGCTTAAAAAAAGATATGGATACTAATTTTCAGTTGATATACAAGGAATCATTCAAAGTTAGTGTTGAACATGTTAAGATCTTCAAATGGGGCTGCTCCAGTGTGAGAGTGAGGATCAAGCATCTGCAACATGTCCTGTAATTCACCGGTTCCTTGCGAATGGCCACCAGGTCCAGGCTGTTGGGGAACACCTTGATTAGTCGTTGAAGGTGATCCATCTGTTGGTCCCCCTTGGCCTTGCCATTGCCACATTCCTGCAACAACAATAATTATTGCATATATTGTATATATCGTAGTGTTTAGGTTCAGAATTCATTTTTGACAAACCTTGAGCAGTAGTTGGTGGATGATAAGAATTGGGCTGACCTGGTGCATTGACATTTACACCAGGGGCGGGTCGTGCAGATCCCCCACTCAACTGAGAGACAGAGCATGCATTTTTAAACTCAGATGACCATCATCATACAAAATAGAAATAAATGTTCACTTTACCTGTGTGTATGTTGGACCACTAGGAGATCGGTTCGGACTCAACTGATTATATTGTTGCTGATATCCTTCTGACCCAGACTAGAAATGACAAACAATTACGTTGTAACTAATGATATTATTATGACGAAAATAATAATAAGCCTCATAATTAATGATAGCATGCAAAATAAACCCTGTGCATTTATGCACATCACTCCTCCCAGTGGATTTAAATTAATACTTTCTGTACTGTGATTATAGCAGCCAGTACTATAGTACTTTGGATCTTTAACTAACCAACATTAGTTTGTAAATGCTTATGTTGTTCCATGTTGTAAAATTTCACGTTATTCATTTATTCGTTTTTCATTGCTCATTAAACTAAAGTAATTTAGGAAAGTATGGATCTAGTGACTTTTATTCCACTCGTGCAAATTATAAACATGAGACAACTTTCATATTTTTACATATGAAAGACAGCTTGTCCTGCAAGCTGAACTGCATACCAATGAAGCTGAAGTCGTTAGCCATTCAGAGTAATGACAATCACCACATTTTGAGAAAATATTTGAATGAAAGACTCGTAAAATTTTTAATACAGTCGTGCACGGCATAAACTGCAGGAGGTCCCAGTTTTAAGCAAATATCATGGCCCACGAAAAAAAATTATAAGCACTAAATTATAAACTCACTTGTCTAATGTGCTGCTGTTGTGATGTTTGACTCCAAGCAACTTGTCCAGGCGTGGGACTCGTAGTTGCCTTAGTCGTAACACGATTTAAGACACCTCCAGGAGTTGAATCCGTAGATCCAGTTGCATTGGACGATGCAGGCTGAGCTGGAGAATTGTAGCTTATGGGTGAACTGCTTTGACCACCCTCGTAGCTGTAACTGCTCGCACTTCCAGTTCGCGTACCTGCATGAGTTAATAAGTATTTCAAACTCTTTAATATCTACATATGTAGTAAAAAAAAGGTACGCATTGACTGCACATCTTTCTTATTCATGCAAATGCTGCCGATATGACTTGTATATTTGATATCAACATGAATGAAAAACGTTAACAAGGATTACTTTGAATGTGGGATGAAACCATGTGAGGCGGAGGGTACAATGCATCTCGGGGTGATCTTTGCATCGAATAGTCGAGGCCTGGTTGTGTCGCAAACGCCGGAGTAACGGTATGGTCGCCTGGATTGTTGTTATCCCCAGGAGTTGTCCCATCATGAGAATGTTGAAGTGCTCTGGAAATATAAACATGAAAATTCTTATGTAATCTATGCATGCACACGTATTAACTATACTAATGCATCCAACAATTTATTTGTTACTACTATTATTATATCTTTATACGTAATGTTTTCGCAAAATGATGTCATTTTTCACAACTCTACGAATCATTGATTCTCTCAATCCAATAAAAGGTTAGAGTTTTTATAAACATTTCACACGAAACCGTTATTTCCAACACTTTTTATCGTGTGATTTTAGGGAAAGCGTCTTATCTTTCATCTAATCATTTCATCTAGAAAATAAAAATGACATATCCTAAATACTAAAATTACTATCAGGGAAATGAGTTATTTCCCTTTGGTTCCTTCCCTTAATTGGACAAGGAGAGATTCTAATATTTAATAATCCTATATAAGGATTTGGGGTGGTGATTCTTATATTTCGTGTCTCACTGTTTTAAACGCATTGATGAAACGTAAGATGAATATTATTAATTCTTAGGATTAATATATATACTATAGTATACATGAATCCACGTATACATGCATATTATATAGAACCTCATATACACATATGTATGTATGTATTAGGATAAAGAGGGGTTGAGCGGGTCTGATCTTAATCAGTCATTTAATAATTTTGTTGCCTTTTTTCCCACAATTATTATAATGCACTTTGAAAATTGAATATGATGTGAACATTAACCCGATTAAGGAGTACGTACTTATTTATATAAGGGTCACACCGTTTGCATTTTGAATGGTGATTGAAAATGAGGGTGCAGTGATGAGAGCGTGTCACGAGTGAGTTATATGTGCATTCATTCAAAGTTGATAAGAGCAGTATAAAACTGGCCGACACTTACTTGGCAGATGTATTCGTGCATACGATGTATTCGACGTCTTCAGAGAATGGGTTAATGAAGGCGAAAGCAGATGTTCTTAACCAGACCCACTCTCGGTTTTTTGCCCGACATCGATACATTACTGACATCACCTGTCCTTTCAGCTTCAATACTGCAAAGACATAAAATATATTCATATCGAGGCACACAAAATAACGACATTTAATTTCTTCCACGGCTAGATTACTGGTAACTGACACGAGCAACGCATACATTTATGACCGCAAGTGTACTTTAGCATAGGACTGTAGAACAGTCGCCGTTTTGATAAAATCTGTCCTAAATGGAATATCTTGCAATATTTTACGACGAATATACTTTAATCAATTTATTATTGTTTCGCTCTGTTTTGTAATTCAACCTATAACATCTTTGACTGTGATGTGTAGTTAAATTAGGTGATCAAGAAAATATAACTTGACGTATTCTATGCATTAACGTTAAGATTCCACTCTGTTTTATAATTATGTATGTATATAGTCTCTTTTCTCTTACCTTGTTCAAAGCTCTCTTTCATGTGCGTTTGATCCTCAGGATGAAAAAAATCAAAGCAGCATTTTCCCAAAAGTTCTTGTGGCGTGTAGCCCAGTAGACCCATTACCCGTTGATCGACAAAGGTGAATTTACCGTCGATGGAATGTCTTAATATTAGATAAATAAATACACACTAATATAATAATTTCTCAACACGCATTAATTGTATTAACATAAATGTTTGTGATGAAAATATTTAATTCGTTTTTGTTAACTCACTAACCTTGTAATAAATTCGGCGGGTGACTGAGATGCGGACATGTCTGCAGTATTTGGAGATGAAGTCACTTGTAACCTACCAATTGCAACTAAACAACAATGAGATGTAGAATGTGCATCTGGTTCTTCGCCTGGCCTTTCCATGCTGACGCCAGAAGGGGGCCAGTTTTTTATGTATCCTGTGCAGTGTATAACAGCATAATTTAGTCCATCTCTGGACGGCCCAAGTGTATTTCGACGTCGGAGACGATTTAAATGCCCTGCAGTCATTGATTCGTGATGTACATTTCCAACCTTCATCCTACCTAAAAATTAAGACCTTTCGCTTTAGCACAAATTTTTAAACGGACTCGTTCTTCATCCATAATTATTAAAACAACACTCACAGATAAACCCACGCCTGGAGCCCATGCACAATCTCATGGAAGCTGACATTATTTAAAACAAAATAATCTTTATAAAGTTACCTCTTATTTAAGAAATACAAATTAAGCAAGAATAATTTCTCAATACATACATTGGTGCCCTTCCTTTTTTACAGTGCCTGTCTTCAAGTCAAGTATCCGTCCAGTATTTTGTGGTTCTTGGGTTGACAACTGTTCTCTCACTTTACTGTTTCAGATAAGAACGATTTGTGAGCCATCATAAGTGATAATTTTAATAAATATGTAGTATTACTAGGGTAGTAAGGAAATAATACCTGACATCTTCGGGATGTAAGTGATCAAAAATACAGGAGCCATACCACTCTGGTTGAGATTGATTGAGAACTATAATATACATATTATAAACATAAGTATTGCAGTATTGTAATAGTTATGATTGTAAAATGGTTAAATTTCGAATAAATACCTGGGGTTACAGAGTCAGAGACGTAAATAATTCGACCAGTGTCGCATCCCACGACGAAGAGGAAGCCATCCGCCGCTTCAAGAATAAGATCTTTAGGATCAATAAAATAAAATAATTAGATTGTGCCACCAGCCAGATCTATCATAGGGAAACAGTAATGCTTGTGAAAATGCTGAAATGTGGATCGAATTAGACTTACGTTTCAATTCCTGGTCCGTAAGAAAAGACGGTTTGTATGTTCCATCCGGTGTTTGATTATTCGAACCTGCCCCATCAGCAAAAATACAAATTCCACAAAAAAGAGGGTGCTCGAAATGTAATAAAATTGTAAACTTAGCATATCTCAGACGTTTAAATAAATTTCAACGTTTTTTGGAACATTTAGAATATACTTCGTAGTCTGAGATACTCGGTGTGTGCATGGAAAGGTCACTTACCACGTAATGCTTTCATATGGGCCACAGCCATTCTTAGGATGGTCAGTTTGTCTGGTTTCCTGGCAAGTGCACTAGAATAAATTAGTGCAGAAAATCAGTAATTACACTGAGACCAAATCTACATATCTTCCAAATAAACTCTTGCAAATAAAGCAATACAATACAAACTTGTAACTTTTACCTGCACGTGGGCACCATATCCGAAAGTTCAGTTATGTATGCAGTCATTTTGTTGCGACGACGCCGCTCAATTTCGCAGTGATTTTCCCTGCATTAAATTCAAATACGAATCGACAAAATATTTCCAGCAGTTCGTGAATTCGAAGGATACATCATGAGATTTCTAATACCTTGCAAATCGCTCCTTGTCTTGAATGTTCTCGTCGTCCATTCTGGTGTATTTCGAGTCACTACTTTCCTCGTCAAAACTATAAAACCAGCCGATAACGCTTAGTTCTACAACTGTACATTAAAATAGGTCCTAATTCAACTATTCCTTGAAAAAATCTAACTAGAAATCCATATTGGCCGACCAATATTTATTTCATATACATTTATCCTATACAGAATCTAAGATTGGTCCTCATTAAGTTATCTTCTAACCTATCTCTAATTAACGATAAAAGATAAGAAAGCATTAGACTTAATACGCTAACATCACATTATTCGCTCGTACATTACCAACCATGATAATTCAGTCTCAACAATGAATGGTTCCCTTTTCATTAAGATTTATTATTATGATGTTGATGTCTTTTATGCGATTATTTTGACGATTGCCAGATGAATACAACAATATATGTGAAATACTACACTTTTTGTCAATGAATTTCTTCCGGTTTTTCATTAAATGCACATCTAATACATAAGCATAACTTACCCTCCCAAAATAATATTTGATTGCGATGGTGTATCAAGTATTTTAGAATCAAATCCTGTGAACGAATGATCAATAATTTGACTTGATTCGTAATTTACTCTCTTAATTAATAATTGCACTAAAAATAGTGTTAATAATAACCTGTAAAATCGTCTGCAACCGCAGCCATCAGAACACTAGGCTAATCATTGGTAATAGGTAATAGTATTCATCGAATTTTTGTTTAATAATTTCGAACACTGCTGCAGCACTTGATGCACTCACAAATAATAGATTTTGTAATTTTGTAACCGTCTTCTTGATGAAATGTTTTCAAGAACAGGAAGGAGCAGCAAGCACTTTCCTGTGGAGAAGGACCAAGTGAAAATAATAAGCTAGTAATTTTCCCCAGCAGCAACAGCAGCAGAAACCTGAATTACAGGGAAAAGTAGGGGAAAAGGTATGTTTAATAACTGAGCTGCAGTAAATACACGAATCGTAGAATCTTGGGGTAAATAAGACCGTCTTTTACTAAACTCGTCGATTCGGTCAGATGCAATATTACATTTCATTCAGCCGTGTGTTATTTGAGAGCTCGTCGGGTGTGTTGTTGTGTGGGGGATGCCTTTTGATCTTAAATCCTTTCATGTGTTATTATGCTACACATATGTATGCGACTGCGAGCATATACGTATAATACATAAGGTGTTTTCATGTAAGATCACCAGCACTGACATGCACATAGTGCTTTTGTGTGCATATACATAATAGGACCCGACATAATTATACGTTCCGTACGACTATCACGAAGGAGCAAATAATAAGCATTCGATCCCCTTCACTTTGACTATGTGAGTTCCCCTCTTTGCTACCAAGACGTTCACACGAGTTTGAAAATTCGCCAATGTTTGGACCAGGGAAGCAGGAATTTTTTATGCAACGATTTCGTCTCCAACTGTTCTATGTGGGTTTCTGGGGGGTGGGGGTGGATGACAAAGGAAAACTATGTGAACTTGGATGGAGGGGGAGCTCAGTCAGTCGCAATCATAGATGCGGTCGGTGCAAGTCGGGAGCTTTGTATGCACATACACACACTTTGCTTTTCCTCTCTCGTCTCATTTTTCTTATTTCCAAAAATTATGAGAATTCGTGGAATTCATACTCAAAACATGTCAAAATGTAGTTTCCAAGTGTAGCCCCAGAGATATTTGTACAAGAATTTATATGAACACTTTCGTATTGGTTGATCATTTAGTTAGGATGAATACATAATGATTTCACCATGATGCAAGAAATTATATCATTTCTATTTTATTTTCTCGTGTTATCTAATCCTTATCGAATTCTTTTTGAAATGGAAATTCCAGTTTCCCTTGATGGCCTCTTGGACGAGATGGAAATTCCAAAAGTTTTTACAGTAATTTTTTCATGTGCATATTACCTCATTACAAGTCAGTCAGTCATAATCACAAGCTAAGTCTGCTGGCTTGACTAAAGTTAAGACGGATCCCTAATGACAGGATGATTGAGATCAGGTGGATTATGCTTTGCTCTCGGCTGAGATGAATCATAAGAAGACAAAGTGTTTCTCATGCACAACAACGCCTCACGAATGCAGACCTTTCTCTACAATTTGAGATTGAGTGGACGAGCCTTGAATAGAAAATAAATGATGGAGGTACTGCTTTGCTGCTACCCAACAACACACCACCACATTCGTGATTAGACAGATGAACAAAATGGAAACCAAGCTATTTTTTACAAGTCTCCCCAAGAAGACTTTTAAAGACATTCACTCACTTCTCTCTGCTTCTCTCTCGTTCGTTCGTAGCTCGACGGATCGTTTTTATGAGAACGGCAGAACGGACAGAGAACTCCACAGATCATTACGTGATGCAATGCATTTCGTTCTTATTTGGCCCAACTTGGAAATAAATGGAAACTCTCGAGAGGCAGACAAGAAGAATATGAACAAGAAGAAGAGAGTAAAAGCTCCTTCGAATCAAGGATATGCAGCAGTGCAATGCAGTCTGTACTCCTTAATGCTGATATGCAATATGAATGCCTTTGCTTTTATTCTTCAACCAATACTGACGACGACGACTACTTGAGCACTTATAACATCTTTCATCGTTTCACCCTGGCCTATATCGCATCTCTTTCTACTGCTCTGCTGCTGATGGCTTAATATGTCTCTCTCCTCCCTTGAAGACCTCTCACACTTTTTTCAAAATCTTCTATCTGTGCCTTGCCAAGCAGTTGACTACAGCGCAGACTGGGACACACACACCACAAGTTTTCAGACTTGAGACATTTTATCTCAAAGTGGAAAACACACATGAATCAGAAGCATTAAGATAAATTAGTAAGACAGATACGCGCACTGAATTGTTGAACAAAGTTTTTCCTACATTTGCAATATAAAAGACGCTTCAAGACGAGTCATATACAAATCAACTGTCCACCTCTCTCCAGCACCAGCGCAGCAGCATCAGCCCTAAATAATAATCCATTCAATCACCATACACCACAATTACTTCCCATTACGTTACAGTATTATTTGCTTTACATAGGGATTTGTTAGACTCGTACACACGTACAATTCTTGTATGTACATAAGTTTATGTACATATGTATGTGTACTGCTCATTGAACTGGTTTCATTCGTATTAACAAATGTTAAGGAATCTGGATAAAACAGAAGCATTATATTTTTCCACAGCTTAGTTTGACGTCTTAACTCGTTCATGCACATGGGCATCATTACAAACACAAAATAACAAGTTCGTTGTTTGTCAGCCTTAGAAATATTCTTCTTGGCTTCTCTTTCACAATAAAATTCCGAGATTTTGCAGAACAACGAAAAGTGAACACAAAGTACAGTGGTGAAAGTTAAAAAAATACACACAACTTGTGCATTCTTGTTAGTGGCCAGAATTCCCAATAAAAAAGAATGTGATACATGCGAACTACAATTTCGATCACTAAGAATCTCCATTTGTTGGCTCCTCGGACGAAAGAAACTTTCACCGTTTATATTTTTTAGACTCTTCTTTTAGTCTTGCTTTGGGAACTTTCTGGTTTTCAAAATGATGGCTGCTCCGACTTCAGTGGTCGTCTTGGACCGGGGGAATAACACGACGGTCACTATAAACTTGCATGGTAAAAATGCGCGTTTTTCTACAAAATAAAATAAGAACATGACATCACATTATGATAACTTAATATGTACAGATTAAGTACATATTTATTTGTGTCTCATATTTCTTTAAACTTCAAGGTGCAACCGTTGTTTCATGGAGAGTCAATAACCAGGAACAACTTTTTGTGTCCAAGCAGGCACAATTCGATGGGAAGAAGGCTATACGGGGAGGAATACCTTTCGTCTTCCGTAATTAATTAAATTATTATTCAATTCAATAAATGATAGAATTTTTTCAAAGTACAAACTTGTAAATATGTAATGTAGCACAATTTGGACAATGGAACTATGGACCGCAGCATGGATTTGCTCGGATTATTCGGTGGGTATGTACATGTCGACTAATTCACTTCCAATTAATTAAATCTGCCCATCATTACATTGGTTAACTATTCTTACAGACATTGGAAAAGAGTCCAGACCGATTACCCTCAGGTAATTGAGACAATATAATAATATTACGTAATAATAATACCAATTCGAGCGATTATGCACCCTCAGGGGACGTTGAAGCCGTTTTCTCTCTTATGGACTCGGATTTCACGAGGTCCATGTGGAACTTCCCGTTTAGGCTGACTTATCGGTATGACCTTACCATTTTGAGCATATGTGCATATTTACTATTTGTACTCGGCCTACTTGTTCGTGGATTCCATTCATATTTCTGTGTAGACTAATACTCAGAGAGAAAGAACTACACTTTAACATTTGCGTCTACAACCCCAGGTTAATATTTATTGTATTATTGTATTGACTACTCTGAGATAATGTTAACCCAACGCAATATATGACAAAAGCTTCTTTTTGTTTTACAGCAAAGATCTCACTTTCAGCTTCAACTTACTGCTTCATACTTACTTCAAAGTTCCAGACGTACGCCGTTGTCAAATCACGGGATTACATGGATGCACATTCATTGATAAGGTTATATTTTGTCAATTCAGATTTTCAATCATCATGGAATACGACAATGAAAACCTATTCATTTTTCAGACGAGAGATTCGACCATTTACCAAGAAGGCCGTGATGTGGTCCAAATTTCAGAATGGACAGACCGTATTTATCAGAATACTCCGCAAGGTATGTATACACATACATATAATTTTTCCGTCTTTATCATCATGAGTATTATGGAGTGTATCTGAATGCTCTTGTACTCTAATACTTTCAGAGCATATCATCACAAATGTGGTAAGGTTATAATATTTTTACATTTTAATGTTTTCAATGTTATTTCTTATTTCTTATTTTTTACTTAAAATTAGGTGTCCGGCCGAAAAATGCGTGTTCAGAAATATAACTTCCCTGACACGGTTCTCTGGAATCCTTGGGAAGCTGGTTAGTAAAATTTTTTGCAAGCGACATTTCGTATGGAATGGTAAAGTTACTTAATATACATAATTGAGCCTTAATGTTTCAGGGGCCAAGGAGTTGGCTGACTTTGGGGATGACGAGTACCCAAACATGGTGTGTTTGGAAGCAGGTCACGTTTCTTCCCCTGTGATCCTTTTGCCTGGGACTGCATTTGAAGCGTCACAAATTCTACAAGTAATGTGAGACAAATGAGCAGCCCATGTTATACATAAACAGCTCATCTTTCTTGGTAATGATTTTACCAAAACCGTGATGGCTTGTGCAGTCACTCACTACCAAATTAACCAAATGTTAATTAATTTAGAAAATACACATTTATTCACATTTCTCCAATCTTTCATTAATTCAAACCAGAAGGAATGAGAGAGTTTGCAAAACTAGCTTCGACAGTTAATATAACCAGAATATTATTCAGTAAGAGGCCAGGACTGGGTTTAGATAGGCCTCACAATACATTCATACAGAAAAATACTTGTAATCTTTCCAACCAGACCAATTGCATAGTTTGTCGTTTCGTCGTTTGTGCCCGAGTTGAATTAGTTCTTATGGTTAAAAAACTTCATAGTTCTCATAAATTATACACCCTTCATCATCACCAACGACAAAAATATTCCGAACAAAAATCTTAAAAAACTACACATGAAACTTAATTTTCGTTCACTCCCTTTTCCTTGTAAAGACATAAATAACTAGGTATAAAGGAAATGAATACGGAATGATACGAATTTACATTTACCATAATGTTCCTCTCTATTTGCTACAACATTTGCAAGCTACTTACAACTAAGCTAGTTACTAACAATTAATGAATACAAAACCAATAAGGCATGACAAATAAGAGATTCAAGACATGGGGAATTTTAGAACTACTGGAGTCACAAATAGTATTATTATTATTAAGGCATATTTTCATTACAGTTGATTTAGTTAATTTTTGTATTGCAAATTCTTTCCATGAGTTGATGACTTTTCTAGTTAATTTGTTACCCATACATGCTACACGATTTGTACACCATTAGATACTTATTAAAAGTTGGATGTACATGAATTTAATGAATACGGCAATATTGCTCAGGATAAGTCCTAAAACTATAAAATGCCAACAACCAACCAACCAACCAAGGCCTATATTTAAGAATTAACATTGATGTCCACAAAAAACTCTTCCGTCTCTTCTTCTGTGAATATGTAATTCAAAGAAAGCAATAATAATTACCCGGTAGACGCCAGATTATTATGCAATAGTGCATTAGTAGAACATAGGTAACTACATAATATGTAATTACCTACATACATATTATGTAGGTATTCAGATTTGATATGCATTTTGAAACTAATAAGTGATATACAGCAACTTTAGACATGCAAATTACATACAACAAACAGCAGTTCCTTTTTGAATCAAGATAATCATCAGGTTTATAAATACCATAGGCTCGTTCGTAGTGTTATTTAATACATTTCAGTGTTCGAAAATATGTATAGATGTAGAACCCGATAAAAAATGTTATTATTAAACTATTGTATTGTAGCAATTGTACTATTTCATGTCTTTATGTAAATATTTACAACTGTAAATAAAATGCATACTATATTGATTGTTCTTCTTACACCTGAGTTAAAACATGGTCAATACCTACCTGTACATACATTTATTTGTGCTACAATTTTGAGCATTCTGCTGAATACTGTAATTGCATTTTTATTCATAAATTATTTTTGGGACTAATTAAGAATAGAACGGATCCATATCCGATTTTCAATACTTTCAAGAACAAGATGGAGAGGGGAAAAATTGGAACAACTTTCTCCGAGTGGTGAGTGTCATTGCCCCATCTGCTGGGCTGAAGTTGCAGTGTTGAGCCCAGACCCACGGCATATATTCACGGGCATTTAGAGGCACCGAGGAGAGAGAATCGAAGAGTGAAGGAATCTCTGAAAATTATCATCCTCCTGATTCTCATCCGTTAACCACCACCACCACCGTCAGCAGGAGACGTCCAACTGTCAATCCCCCTCTCTCCGCAAGATAAGCACTAATCGTCAAATCAACACTGAAAAACTAGCTAATTTTGTCGCCAAAGGTTTTTTATCACAATGTTCCTCACCAAGGAGGGAGTAAATAGTACTCGTAGGAAGTTGAGTCAGTTCATTACACACTGCTGCTAAACTTAATGATGTCAGTCAATGTTTGTTTACTCAACACAAACCCACAAAATTGAGCTCTTTAAACTATAACTGTGAGTGAGAAGGGGAGTAATGTGAGAGTGCTGCTAAATACAGCAAAAACTAATTAGTTTGTAGTTTGTGAAGGTGTATGTGGTGAATATAAAACATTAAACAATATTCCGTCCTTTCTGGCTAGCTCTGGCATGACTGCGCCCCAACTTGATACTTTTTAGCGAAAAATTCATTTGCTAATGTCGGTTCGGTGACAACTGATTACAACTGAAATTATGAGTAAGTGTTCTCATGGGTGTGACATTAATTAATCTAGAGTTTAACGAAATCAAAGTCGGATTATTTTTTTAGAGTATATATTTGGAAACTTTTCTGTTGTTTTCGAGTTGATGGTTTAATGAGGCCTTATAAAAGTTAATGAGGAAGCACTTAATGAGTTGGTTTTGGTTTCGTTGTCCAAAGTGTGAAGTGTCGTTTGGCGTCTGTTTTTAGTAGTTTTATTTAATACTTGGTATTTGTACCCATTTGTCATTTTTAATGTATTTTGCATTGCAGGTGTGATGTTTTGATGCTGGATATTACTGGAATTGGCATACATTAAAAACACGTTAAAAACATGCCTCTCCCAATGAGAAGGGTGGAACCTGTGCATGTGTCCAGGGGAACATTGCCAGAACGATTTCGAATTCAAAATGACTTGGAAGCAGTGTCTAATGGAACACTTGCGAATGTCATCGTACAACTGAGCTCGTAATAAAAATTTTCTCGTTTTCCACAAACTTTTGACTCAGAAACTAATGAACAAGAGGAACACTAATTGTTGGATTTTATGTTTACAGATTATCGCATCATGCAGAAGAACTATTTGGAAATTTGATAAGAGTTGAGAGTGAAATTGCAAATCGAGCAAATAATCTTCAAGCAAGAATTGATCGGCTTGGTAAAGAATGAAAATATTTATATATATATATGATTTGTGGTACATTTTAACAAGTCCATATTTTTGGGTATTGCTATCCAGTCCTTCAATGGTTTGTTGGTTGTAAAGTTATTTTGATAAGTAATGCCAATAATGCCAAAATTACTAAAATTAGGAGGATTTCCTTCCGTTAGTTTTTTATTAATAGGACCTATTATATATTTTTCTTGATATCCCAAGCTTAATTAGCGAAATTAAATAATTGTACAAATAATGTACAATCTCATTTGTTTGTTGCTCACTTTTCAGCTGTGAAGGTTGTTCAAATGGACAACAATCAAGATGAACGTAAGAATACACAATACAATTTAAATACAATTTAAATAAGTCACACTTATTTAATAACAATTATAACATTAAACTCTCTTATACCGCAGTTGGCTCAATGCAGGAAGCTCTCAACACCAAGCCGTTTCAAAGCTCAATGTCGTTTGACCAACAAGTTGTGTCAAGATATTCCATGCCAGCCGCAATGCTTAAAACTTACAAAGTTTGCGATCAACCTCCTCCACTTGATAAATTAAACGGTTATAGAGACGGTAAGTTTATATAAAAAAGCATGAATCTATTTGTACACTGGACCAACCATCATATCTTAATGTCTTTACAGATGGAAAAGACGGCTTAAAATTCTACACAGATCCAAGTTATTTCTTTGATCTATGGCGTCAGGTAATTAATACAAAAGCAAATTTAAACCCAAATCTCGGCAATCAATGTATTATTAATGCATTTTTTAACATGACAGGAAATGTTAAAAGATACGGATAAAATTGTGAAAAAGGTATACCTGCATTTTCTAAAAATACAAACCTTTGGGAATTTTTCATATTTGGGTCTATTTTATCTTGAAATATTCTAAATATTTTTATGTTCATCTATCTATCTATTGTGCATTGTTATTACTGTCCTCTTTCTATTCCTTTCTGGTAAAGCATCAATCTATGGAGCTACACGAGGCAAGTCTTTGGTCTTGTGAATACTACATATTCCATCTGCTAATACTTTTTCTTTACAATTTCTTGGCTTATCCTTATATTATGCACTGTGACAAACGATGTTTTTTGCTAATATACTGAACGTTTTGTTGAATATTTAGCCTCACAAGCCAAAACAAGAGGGTGGACAAAAGCACAAAAAGAGGGTTCGACAACCTCCAAATACCAGAGACCGCCATAGACACATTGCCATCGAACAAGGGGAACACATAATGCAAGGTCAAGAATACCATCGTCCTGCACAGGTAATCGTCTCTCAACGAATATTACGCGACTATACTGACTGACTACCAAATAGGTCTTTGTTTGTATTCTTTACAACACTAAACTTGAGAACTTTGTTCTACTCAGGAGGTTACCGAAGTACCCGATGGAGTTATTTATCAGCAGGATCCTAATTCTGCAATACACAATAGACAACCACAGTCAGTCGCACGGTCTGGAAGCATTGAAATCGAAAAAGGCTATTCCGAGTCACAATACGGAAATGGGATGGATACAAATAGTCGTGGAGACTACCGGTTAGTTTTTTGTGCTTTTTTAGAGGTCAGGTTTAAAAACAAGACTTGTATTCAACTATAACAAATCAAAAAAATATTTGCTCATGTTGCTACACGTTGTGACGTTTGCACTTTGTATTAGTTCCTGCCACCACTTAATTATTATAGATTTAATGTCATCATAGCTGCCACAAAAAATGTCCTAAACATTGCTTTTGTGCCACAGGTCAAGCCACCTCCTGCAAAACCAAAGTTCGTCAATGCTGAATAGAAATATTAGTCAAAGCCAATATGATTATGAGTCTTACAACCACCAAGTTCACAATCAGTCCCAGCAACGCTACTACCCGCACGTCACGCCTCCTCCGGCATATTCCGATATGTCAAGTCCAAGTCCAAATGCTTACTCCATTAGTTCGAGATTCTCTAATAGCGGAATTGCTGCCAGCTCAACCCCTCGGAATGGAACGCTGTCCATAAATGTCACACCAAGTTCAAATAGCATGACAAATGGATATGCATTCCGACCTTCACAACCTCCTCCTGCACCTCCTCCTAACTATGTTGGGTATAGACCGTTTTTTGTTTTGTTTTTATTATGCAATATTGCTCCAAAACCACCATTTTGTATGCATTTGTTATGTCCACCAAGAGTTATTTCTCATTATTTATTATGCATTTTGCCAATGCAAGAAAATTTCAATCAATACGCAATGCTTGCTTACAGTTTTGATATATCGTTGGACATAATTTTATTTAATTATTTCCGAAACGTCAGTAGTACATATTATATGTCAACAGTAGTAAACAGTTACTAGTCTAGTAATAAGTCAAAGTTACAAATTAGTTCCCAATTGGTCAACTAAGAAAACAGGTACCATATAATCAGATTTAATAGTAATATCTTCGTCCTTGTATCTGTGTCCACTACAAATGAAATTCATTTTACACAACAAAATGAGAACTTCGTGTTTTTGTAATCGTTGGAAATTATTACATGACTTGACAATTTTTCTAAATTTTAATATTTTTAGAACACCTCCTAATCTAAACTCGCATTCTGCTGGAAGTGTAACTCCAACTCGTTCTGCAACACGTATGATGAGCTCCAGAGACACGCTACCTCCACCCCCTCCACCACCTTCAGATAACGAACACAACCACATAAATGGGCATCATAATGGGTAATTTAAAAAAAATGCACATACTTATCTAAACAATAATGGTTCCAATTTTCTATTATTTAGTTGTATACATTTTTGTTGTAGGATTTCAGTCATGCCCCCACCACCCCCTATGCATGATGATGAACACGAGGATTCGCTTCCTCCACCACCGCCACCTCCAGATGCTTTACATCATCACATGAATAATTCTATTGAAAACCTTGCCCCTTCACCAGATCTAGGTAGTAATTATAACCACGATGAGGAAGAATTGCAAATTATCTTTATGTAGTTAGTAACATCAATTTTGGTTTGTTTTATAAAAAATTTAGCACCCCCACCACCTCCACCATTTCCGATTGGCGAAGCACTGAATATTAACAATTCAGAAAAATGTAATCTTTTAAGCAACGGAGGAATAGGAAAGAAGCCATTGGAAAAGAAAGTTATCCCCGTTCCAGCTTGGGATGGGCGATCAGAATTGCTCAAAGCTATCCGTGACGGTAAACTATTATCGGTTCATAAGCATAAACTTCCCATTGTACGCGTTGTAATATTTTTTTATCAATATCTGTAATTTAGGGATCAATTTGCGTAAAGTGGAGACAAAGAAGGAACCTAACGGTAAAGAAGATAAGTCTGGAGGAACGTACGGAGATGTAGCATCAATATTAGCAAGAAGAGTCGCAGTTGAAATGTCAGACAGTGATTCAGGCTCAGGTGAACGTTATTCCATATTCATTTATTCTGAAAATATCTAATTTAGCAACAACAAAAAAGTCCAAGCATATGTATACAGAATGAAACGAGTGTGATGATCCGTAGTGCTTTTGGCTGGGGTTCCGGTTTATTTTAAAGCTCAGCCATATTATGTATATCACCTATTCACTATTATAGAAAGGGTGTGAAATTTTCAATATGATGAAAAGGTATTCAGGAATCATTCAAAATATTATGCAAGTTCAGGATAGAGTTGCAAGTTGGGCTTTAGGTACATCAGGCTTAGCCTGGCACATACCACTTTCCAACAATATTACGTTGATCAAATATTGCACAACTGGTTTACTAAATAGCTACAATGGTTTATCATACAATCTAATGTAATGGTTTATTGATTCTCAGGTAGTGAATACGATTCAGACCAATGGGATGAAGCTAGTGCCTGATGACGCAACGCTAATGATGCCTAACGAAAAGGGCACTTACGAACGAGTTCCATATGAACAAATAATAATAATAATACTAAAAGGAAAATTGATTTACCTTCCACAAGACTCAATTACTACTCAATTGATAAAAATTTAACGTAATTTCAAATCCCCCATGGATTTGGCTTTGCTAAAAGCATTTTCTCTGGAATTACTGTGTCGTCAGTAGAGTTTTAACAACGTTTATGCCAAATAGTTATTACTCTGAAAATTCAGACTAGAAATTACTAAATCAGCGCTGATATGATGGTAAGCTTATGTACCTAACCATAATATTATAGGAGCACTACTTACTCGTGTTACTATTTACTGAAACAAGAAGATAATAATATTACGTGTTTGTGTTTTGTATGCGACTATGGATAACAAATGAAATACAGTGCTTTGAGTCAGTCATAATAATGGAATGTTGTTCTTTGTTACATAGTTCAACTATTAGTTATTATTTATATGGGATCATACAACATTCATCATATTATTCATACAGGAATACATCACAAACAGATACTTTCATCAGTAAAAGTACAAGCACCCTTAAACAAGACGACTTAATTACAACATTTAAATAACACTGCATGTATAACTAACTATCCTACATACATTGACATACAAATGTTGCCTTAAACCAAAACTAGTTTTGATTATGCAATAGTTTCGTTAACTTTGATATAAATTAACGCTCAAATTCGTATAAAATAACAATGATTGAATCACATCAAATTACTGACGTAACAGAATACTAGTCGCACTCTCCAAATCATTGTTTGATGATCTAAGCGCTTCTATAGCTCGACTCTGTTCAAATCCCATCTCAACTAAAATGCTGACATTTTCTGGAGAGGGTTCACTATTTCCTAAATTTGGCCCTCTTCTTCGGAAGAAGAATCCGGCTAAACCCTCATCCGGCTGATCATCAACCAGTCTTTCTGCGAATCCTTGTCCTCGTGCCTGACGAAAGTCTGGTGTATGATTGTACGCATACTGTTGTTCCCATATGTCTGCTTGTTCTTGGCGTTGCAATTCAACAGTAGCTCCCATTTGACGATACTGCAGACAATACGAAAATACGTGAAAGTATATGTAGGAATTGTAGGATGTATACGTATCATAAATATTGGACTAAATAATGACGAATGGCGATAATGTCTTCGTTACCTTTGGCTCGCTGGATAGAAGGAGCCACCCAAATATTTTATCACATAATTTTCCAACCACCTCAGGAACGACTAGCCACTTTTGCACGTTTAAGAAATTGTATCTGTATAACAGTCCAGCGGCCTAGATAAAACATAATTAAACACGATTATATCGAAATTCGTTACTCAACTATTGTGTTGTGCTACTTACGATGCCACAGATTGATGATAAAGCAGTGGCTGTTGACGTAGACGCAATTTGAAGCCCCAACAGATACGTGATTGTTTTACTAGTAAACGGGATGCCACAAAAATAGGTTGCTGAAATCCTTGGAATGTCGAAAAAGTAGTAGACGTATAGCGGAAATATAAATCCATATCTAATGGAAATTAAAATTAATAGTATAAAATACTGAGAATTACATTCAACATATGTATACAAAATCGAGCCAATAGTCCTTACAGTCCTGGCGTAAGTTGGTTGGAGTATATAGATTGGACATCAAAGAATTTCAGTAGCAAAATTACACAAATTTCCAACATAGTGGCAGTTGTGCACGACCCCAGTAAAAACGAAGAGAACTTTCTGGACCCCATCCTTCTTTCAAATATTCTGTCGAAACACAAGGAAAAATTGTTTATGCATAATTTAAAGCTTTTTTTAATTATAAAAATTCGTAAATACCTAAAATAATAAATAACTAGAGCAGAGCAAATTATGTCTTTGGAGTAGACAAATGTGAGTCGATTGAAAAGGATTCGCCAAGCACTCTTGGTCATGAGTACGGATGGAACTTCACATAATAAATACTGACGAAGATGGGCAAGCATCGGAATATTGATTGCAGTACATGTAAGAAACATGCTTCCTATTAAACCTTTACACACTGGAGCTTTATCTGAAAATTAATGGAAATAATCAAATCACTAATAACATAAAATAATTTTTACCAAGCACAAATATATAACAAGGGACAAACTTACAAAATCCATTCGAACTTTGGTGAAGTATTGTCGACGCCATACTGACACGATAATAGTATTTTTGTACAGAGATCAATCAATGTTTGGCATGTGTATGTTAACAGTTCATAGTTACTCACTGTGAGGTGCACTGATCTCCTATTTTTCAACAAATTCAATCAGTAAAATCAGTAAATTCCATAAATATATAAACATGTATAATTATTTTTAAACTTACAACAACAACAAGCCATCATCCCACGCAAAATCAGCATATCAATAATATTGACAATAAATAAGAATAAAATTTGCAGTTGACAGTTTAAACAGCAGCAATTAAACGAAGGTTGTAGTTTAAAGTACTTGCTAATTAGTTAAAGAGGAGCTATGTAGTAAACTAAGACTACCAATTGTCTAACTAAACAACCAAGTCTAGTCCAAAGAAGAAGACTAGAGTGACGTGAAAAACGGGAACAAGAAGTGCGAAAAATTGTCAAGGTTGTTCCTCCTACTTCGGCGTGAAGAGATGTGTTTTTTAATTGGGAGCAGCACCAGGTGAAATTGGAGCAGCGAGCGAGGGTGCGTAAAAGTGAGAGTCAAATTGTGAATAGCGCGCAGCAGCAGGGAGAAAGATTTCATCTGCTCAATCACTCGCTCAGTCTTTGTTGTTGACAAAACATGATACATGATACGACTTGTGCAAAAATCAGAAAGTTCAGATCTCTCCTCAGTCAGTCAGTCAGTCAATGCTCGTAGTAGTAAAATCATCCGGCCGGTGTGGAATTTAGCAAAACTCAATTAAAATTTGTGATTAACAATGAATAGTACGAATCAAACCCAAATAACTAATATGTTTGGCGTTGTTGGCTGCTACCAAATGTTTCCATAAATTTATCAAAGTCAAGTATTAAACGTTGGTTGGTGGATCATAGCAAAAATGGATTTGGAACTTTTGTTGAAGGTTTTTGACAAAAGGCAACTACACTCCTTGACCTCTGAAACGGCCTTTGATAATGCTCAACTGATCTTGGAATGCTTTCGCCTTCACATTGACCATAACAAACTAGGTATTGTTTGAATGAGATCCTTCATATTCATATGCCTATTAGCTAATTCTTTCTCGTGGGTTGCATTAATTATGTCAATGTTACTAGATGTATACCTCGGACAAATATTCTGTGAAGAGAATGAAGGAGTGCAAAATTTTCTTAAGGTAATTCAACCATACCTGTTTAAAAGGAGTGTTTCTGCCGGAAGGAAGTTGATCATCCACTTCTAATTTATCATTATTTTCCGTTCGCTGAGTATAACTTAATTTTTCCGGGACAGGTTGCGTTGAGTTTATGCTGTTTCCTGCATTGGTTGTTGGCGAAAGGTCTTTTGCATTTCAGACAGTCGAATAATGGATGTTTTGATAAGTGAGTTTTTTGGGAGGCATTCTTGCGCCCTTAAAAGGACTGAAACAAGAAGATGGTGAAAAGGTTTGAAAAAGTTGATAGGTTTGCAAGAGTGAGAGGAGAGAGGAAGAAAAACACGTGAAACTCGCCGACAGGGCAGACGAGTTGTGTGAGAACTTCTCCATTTCTCTCGATGGCAAGGGACGCCAAGCTGTTGTTATCAGTTGATTAGGAATTAGGAATTAGGGCGAGGAAGGCAGCGTCGGTATATTATTAGCTGCGTTGGTTTTATAAAGGAAACTAAGAAGGAAATAATTTAAAATATTCAAATTGGTATGTTAAATGTGCGTTTGATCATAACTTCCCAATATTTTTAATTCAGGCAAAATTGGCAGAGAAACCCTTCAATTCCAGCAAGGAACAGTTTCTTTTACTTTTCAAATTCATTTTGTCCAATGACCAAAAGATTCAAGGATGGGAAAATCTGGTTTCTCCATTTTGTAAAAATTTCATGGTACGTGCTTATATATTATTTTTATGTATTATTTTGTTATGCATATTCATAGTATGCACATAATTGAAAAAATATGTCAATAGGATATAGGGAAATTATACTGGAGAAACTCAAGCGAGCCTGCCAAACATCAACAACTAGCATTGGATTGCTTGATAGCCCTTTTTGAACATTATGGGGAATATATGGGGGGTTTTGAACTTCCTACGTTATATTGGGATTTGTTAAGAGACTCTGAAAAGTCTTCGTTCCAACCAAGCGTGAGGGGAAAGATTTTCCATGCATTAGGTTGCATCGCATCCTTGACGCACAATACACTATTTGCTCGAAAAGACTATTTTCAGCAATTGTACTCTCATATTGTTCACACTATGAGAGGACAGGTAACCGCATTATCTCCAAAAAATTGAATCCATATAATTTAAGTAGTTTTATTTAATCAATGTTCCCTCTGGTATAGGTTGAATCAATTGATACCCATCTTGAAGTAACAATTCTTCATGGATGCCTCAAAGCTATGGATAAGCTTCTGCAGTATTTCAGCACACAAATAGATAAAACGGAAATGGAATGGGTACAATTTTATAAGAATCTAGTTCAAATTGTGGATCCAAAGTGCTCAATCATCAAGGACGATACCCAAGGAAAAATTACTTATCTAAAACGTCGAGAATTTCAACGAGGTGGGTGGGGATTAATATATGTAGAGACAAGTACTACAATAGCACCGCAATTTTTTATGTACTTGTATTGTTATGATTCATCTGTTATTTCAGTTGGACTAGAACTGGTTGCAAACAATAAGGAATTGCTATATAAAGAACTTTTCAATAATTACAAACAATGGTATTTTGATCTTTTGGCTTGGTCAAAGTCTAGTAATGCAAGTGACAATAGTGTGGGAAGAAAGGCAATGTTGGCATATCTCAAAGCTGTATTTGACTACGTATTGAAAGAAGCGGATGTGTTGCAATCGGATTTTCTTGACGGATTTGTTTCGGTAAGTTAATTGGAAATGTATTTGTCACTACTTAAGTAATGACTATTCATATACATATATGCTTTATTATCATTACGTATGTACCACAAAATTTATTAGGAGTTTTTTGTATGAATTTTATGATTAGTTCTTCATTGAAACTTTTTCGCAAATCTTGGCATCCGAGAAGTCGAGGAGAAATGAAACAATTATCGCCATCACAGGAATTGGTCTCTTATCTCCGCTTTGCAAGAATGCAAGTAACGCTAGAGTGGTTGCTGATCAAGTATTTGAAAATATTGCGAAAATCATTTTCGAGTTTGTGGAAATTTTCCTTTGCTGATTATCACGCTGATATGTATAACGGAATATTAATGTATGCATTTTTAATATCTACAGATTGAATCATCCCGTTGCTGATATTTATAGTGGTTCCTTGACTTTGGTATCCAATTATCTTGAGACTATAAGTAATCTGCTACTTTACTTGATTGAAGAGGATAAGGAAACCGATCCCATTGCCAACTCAAAATTTCTTGGTCAAATTAATTTGGTTGAACAAATTTCAGTACAATTTCTAATGTTCTATCCCCAACTGGGTGCTTATCAAAGAAAATATGGACACCAGTGCTTCCTCAAAATTATCAACAGCTTGTACACAAAGCATAATCAAACATGCATTCCTTTCATCGACAGAACATTACCTGTTGTATTATCTCAAGTTATTGCTTCTCCCACTGCGGCTGAGTTAGAAATTCTTACTGATGCGTGGAAAGCAATCAACGAGACGCATTCGAAACGAGAAGCAAAACGTCCTCTAGAGTTGAAAGGAGTATCATCCTATCTGGGAATTTGGGTTAACATGGTCAATGGTAACAAAAGCCATTTATAATATGACATACTATGGTCATAAGTACGACATGAGTGTGATGTGATGAATGTGTATGTTTGAACTTGTAGCCAAAATGGAACCAATTCCTGCTAAATTAATTTATGATGGAATTATTTCATGGAGTTTGTTAACAATTGATAAACTGGATTTAACTATGATACTCGGTGCAGATGATGATCAGAACAGCGTTGTTGGCCAGGAGGTAAAATAACTGTAAAATTGACTCATTCCAAAGGTGGAATTTGTGCCGGAAAAAATGTATTTTTTAAATTGTTTCAGGAACAACATCCTTCTGATATCTATTCTAGCATGACTGCAGTTAAACCTAAAGATTTTCAATTACTAATAAATTTGATAGAATTTCTCCAAAAATTCCTCAACAGTGCTTCTGACGAAACCATGTTTAGCAATTGGGTGGAAGAATTTGTTATCAAAGTTACTGATCACGCTATTAAGAACCCTTTCGTCAGTGCATTTTATAAAATACTCGCAACAGCACTGCAAGTTTCCGACAAACTCAACTACTTTGATCCAGTAAGTATGCTATGTACATAATTATTATTAAATTATCGAGGGATACTGCAGTAATTGTCTCTTTTTTAATTCCCAGAATTCATTTACTGCAGGAAGGATTAAAGTGCAAGAAAAATGTAGCGAGTTTATGAAATCAATCTTGATAAAAATGGACACTTTTCGAGACGATTTGCTTATATCCGTCTTGGAGCTCTGGCTTTCAATTCCCGATATAATTTTGGTGCAAAATGAAGAAAGTTGGTGCTTGACCTTGCAGGTTTGTTTGTAACACTTCCACAGTAATATGTGTATTCATGCTTACGTAGTTCCGTACGTGGTTTAAAATTTAATACTTTTAAATCTGAACATTATAGAAAATATTCCAAACTGGACGCTTGCACCTGCCTTTGGCCGACAAATCTGCTGATGCCCTTCAAAGGTGGATGACATTGGACAGCATTCCTCGAGAAATAATAGAAGATATTGTGGTCAAGTTATTTCCACTTTGGCGTACCTATTTCTTAGCCGAAGGTATATCTATTTTTTTGACATTATTCTCATAAACCATCCTATGCATTACTTTCAAACAAGTAACCTTGAAAATTAATTTATGACGAATAGGGTCACATCATTTGCAAATGCCTAATAAGAGTTTGGATTCCACAAAGTTTTCAAAGAAACAAGATGAAGTCGAACTAATTCGTAGCACTACCCAAGATGACGAAATCCTCAAGAGAGTACAAGTGAAGCTTTTGAAAGTGATTGGATCCTTTGCGCACGTCATTGATTTGGGAAGTGACCATTCAACAGATATCTGTCTGGAACAGAACTACAGTATTCTTAAGCTCAAAATCCCACTTGGCCAAACTACTTTTGATATTTATTTAGGTATTATTTTTCCTATGGGCATACGGTTTAAGTTGTTATTCCTCAACTAATGCGTGTTATTAATGCACTCAGTTTAATGTTTGTGTATATGAATTTACAGACTTCATTTGTCCAAGAGTAATAAAGCTGAGCGAGGAATCTGCAAATCGTCAAGTTCGAACCACGGCTTGTGAATTCTTGCACACTTTATTTCTCTACTTCTTGGGCGATAGTAAGTCGCAGCAAGAAAAGCTCCAGTTTAGTGATTTATGCATCTTTGTTATTTTTATAATTTTATAGGTGTTAGATCAAATAACACTGGACAGCAGGCCATACATTTGTTTGTCACATTGTTTACAACAATTATGAAACTCAGTGGAGACTCAGATTTCTTAATTCGGCAACTTTTCAACCCCTTAGGTAATATATATATATATATGCATATTGCGTACGAAATGAATTTATTTTAACAAATGGATTTTAATATGAACTTTTCAAATTTCAACCTCTTAGCTACACAATCTGTGCATTGGTTTACAAAACAGAAAAATGCTTATTCTGACTCAATTCTTCAAATAATTGTGGTATACACTGCATACTTAAATACCAAATATATATCCAAATACATATTTAAATAAATCAATGCATAATTCAGGACGGTCTTGTGTCGGACGACTCGCGGCTAAAAGACTTCTCCTCAGACTGCTTGTACGAGTTTTTCAAATGGGCTTTAAAACATGACACCAAACTACTTGTCAAGGACGTTATTCAGTACATTATGGCGTTAAGTTCACATGCTAATGTAAAATACAGACTAGGTAGGAATTACTCTTTTTGAGCACAGATTTTTATACCTCCAAGAAGGTATTAAACCAAGCCGAGGGACGCAACAAATAGTCAGTTTTTGGAGACCCTCAGCTTGGTTGTTTGTAATGATCAACTATTATCGAGAGGGAAACTAAACATTTTATATTATATGCTTGCTATCTATTATAGATATATATATATATTATCTTTACAGGTTCTTGTGTCGCATTCAATTCTATATACCGAGACTTTCGAGAAGACTTTGAATTGGTCAATTGTTACAGCATAGTACTAATGAATGGATTTTTAGCAAGCCTGTCGGTGTTGCAACCCAATGAGACTGACTCCATCATTGCAAAATCCACGAAACAATCAATTTCTCACCTCGAAAGAATTATTACCAAGAAGAAGGACAATTTTAACAACGTGAGTTAAACAAGTGTATAAAAGATATTTGAGTAAACGGCATAATTCTTTAGTAGTTTCCTGAGTATGTATATTATTGCTTTTATTTCATACTATTTTGTTGTGCTGTTTTCAGAAAATTGGGGATAGAAAGAATCCACCTTGGTTTCGCGGAGATAAAATTCAATTTCGAGATCTGGCCGATTGGTTAGGTTAGGTTTTACGATAGTCTTACATATTCAATTTACTAGCATCGGTAAATCACACATCATTTCGAGTATGAAAATAATCGCGATCTCTTTCTGTATTGTTTGCTCCCAATTTGAAGTACTTCAACTTGGAAAACCCGAAAACGTTTATCGAGAGGAGTGCGGCAGATTGTTGAAAGTTATTGCACCCATTGTTCGCGGTAAGCATTTCAATCAAGTTAATGGATAGATGCATGTTAACAGTACTGTGTAGTATTAATTTTGTACATCCTGATAGGTTGTGGGTCAGTTGAAGCATATTTAGTATCCTGTGCTTTTGATGAACCGACAATTATTCGCACCAGTGAACGATGCAAAATTTCAATCGACGTTGAAGACATGAATATGGAAGAACTTTTAACATTTTTGGACTCAGCCGCAGATTGCTATACATTCTTTTATGATCACAATTGTTTAAACTTTACGGTTTTTCAGCATCCAAATTCAAGATTCGTAACTGCAGCCATGGTCATGTTTTCAAAATTTCAATATTGTGAAAAAGTGCAATTAGAAACGCTTGCACGAATATCCGTGCGTCTGCAGAAACTGGAACCTGCTCTGACGGACTTTCAAAGAAATGAATTTCAAAAGTTTCTAATCAAGATATCTAAAATCATGATCAGTGAAGAGAATGTGTCCAGTATATTGCAAATCTTAGTCCATTCAAAATCAACTTGGAGTCAAGAAGTCAGAGTCGAGTTAAAACGTGAATTTAGCCGTGACAAAATACAGCAAGACTTATTACAAACCAAGAATTTTCTTCAATTGCAATGGCTGCGTTTGGCTATCGATAATAACCTGATGGACTTGGACGCATCGACATCGAGCGATACACAAGTTTTGTTGGATCTATTTTGGAACAATTTAAAAAGAAAATTGTTCGGACCAAGTGAAGATGATTCCTCGTTAAAAAGTTCCGACATCCTCGAACTAAATTCAGATGAGTTGGAAGAACTGCTCAAAATCTGCATTGAGTTAGGAATTGGATGTGAAACCGTTTTAGATACTGCTTTAGACACGCAACTATTTCGTGGAATATCAAAACGGAATGTTCCTGACATCCTTAGTACCAGGGGAGAGTTTTTTCTGAAACACCTTGTCTGTGGTATGTTTCATCCCACGTTAATTGACTTTGTTCACATGTCAATGCGTGTAAAGATTGAAAAAATTGGATCCTACATTGAATTTTTATTGGGAGCAATTCAAGGGAGCAAATCTCTTCGTCAGAAGGCTGGAAATTTACTATTTGAAAGCATAATCAAGATATGGACCCAGATATCTGTTAACTGTGATAAATATACGGTACTTAGAATTCTTTCAGGTCTAGTTTGGCTGGACTTGAAGGGTTCTCGTGATTCTATTGAACTTAGTCATTGGTGGTGTGGAAAAGACGCTATGGGTGCTGCGAATATAGATTTTAGTGAGCAAGGTGAAATTATTGGATTCATGGGCCTTTTTGGACAATCCAGTGATTCAAGAATAGTTGAATCTGTAATGTAAGTATTTCACAAATATTTAAATTTTAAATGCGCATAAACATATAATAGAGATGATACTTATCCTTAGATATATGTGTAACCTAAAAAGTCATGTTTTATTATTATTTAGAAACACTACAAAGAAATTGATACATCATAATTTTCCTGCCTCTGCAAATCATCAAGAGTTTATATCCGCACTGGTTAAACAAATCCTAGGGTTGTTTCAACGAGACCCGAAAAATTTGAAGATACTAGAATTACTGCTGGCAACAATGTTTAAAATGTCCACCTTTCCTGATGAACTGAATTTTCTGTACAAAGCTATTGCTCAGCGTCTTATGAAACTCTCACAAGCTTATGCGAGTGATAAAGATGCTGTTGACACCAGTAGCTTTATATTAGAGACGATCATGTCTGCAAAAGAATATGAAAACAATCGGAATGTCTTTCTGTATTGCTTACGTCCGACGTTGGTTGGGATGCGCAATTCTGCATTTAGATTGTTTTTCAAAGGAAAAATTAAGTTATTAATGGACACATTGCTAGTAAGCCTAATAATTTTCTAATGTATATCTATTTTAATGTTCTGTGTATTTTTTCTTATATTACTTCTCGTATATTGTAGGATAGTACTAAACCAGCGTCTTCAGTCTTTCATCTAAATGTTGACCGAATTGTTTACAACTTACTATCAATGATTCCAAAGAGAAATGGGGCAAGATTGCTTTTGGCTGAATTAACGGCTGAATATCAACAATGTCAAACAAGGGCAGGAATTCCAGAGTCTGAGAGAAAAAGCATCTTGAAAGTTATATCGTCCGCGTTCCTACAGATTAAACAACGAAAAATGCCTATTACCAACGTGTATGAGATGCAGTGTCACAGTTCAGCATATCACACACTTTCAGTTATACTGGTGGTTTCTGAAAATCTTCCAAATCATCGATTATTGATGGAAGGCCTATTAATTCATGAAGACAAATCAAAAAGAAAATATTTGTGGGAAACCTTTATCGACTGTTCAAAGGATATTCAAGACTATTTTCCAGTGCTATTTGAACCTACTAATAAGGCGCAATCAAATGTTGAGAACATTGCAGCTTCTTCAGGGTCAACCGCAGCGGAGAATATCATTTTATCTGCAACTGCCGCAGCTACGCAATCTGCAAAAGCCAGGTTTGACTTGTTTTTATTGTTTTTAATTTTTGTAAGATTATAATATTTCAAATAATTGTGTGGGCATTTTAGGATTAATTTAGCATCAAGTAGCTTGTATGGAGAAAATTCAGCAAATAATTTCGATTTTACGTGCTCTACACCACTAGAGGAAGCATCATTTTATCATGATGTGTTGGACCCAAATGAAGGCGAAGCAAATGGCTTTTCAGCTACTAAAAGTCATACAGTTCCTGTTGTAACTATCAAATGTGCTGCTTTTGCTGACGAATCGATAGAAGGTCTTGTTTCAACGATTAAGAAATTGACATCGCTTTCCTCTGAAGTAAGTTTATTCCTGTGATTCTTAACTTGAGAATCTCAAGTTATGAATAGATGGTGATTTTACCTCAGGATTTTCAATTTATAATCAACCTCTCTCTTATTTAGGATGAGCAGCCATGGATGAAATATTTGCTGAGTGTCCTTAATGGAAGGGACCATCATGAAAATATAAAAATCTTTATTTTAGTGGCCTTGTTAAATTGTCAGAAGGAGATTTTACCATATGCAAAAATATTTATAAACCCAATATGCAAAGTTCTCATGAGTACTAATTGGAAGGACCCGTTAAACTACTTTGTCAAAGACGTTCTAGTTATGTTACTGGATTGGCATGAAGTTGCTATTCCCTCGTCATCAGCAGTAGTAAGTGAGCATGCTACCAATCTTCGCAAAGAAATGTGCGAATTTATCGTTGCCAACATCGTACAACAGGACCAAGCCTATTCTAGGAACGACCTTTTAGAAATAAATTTGCATCTGTTAGATGCAGTAGTTCGCCTTTGGAAAATTGAAACGTCAGAATTAAATTCTTGTCCTGGGTTTAACTTTGTGGATAGTCAAACACCAAAAGTAGGAATTTTGCTTTGTAAGTGTGCTTTGAGAAATAATGTCCTACCAAGGGAGGATCCCCTGACCCTATTACGCCAGTTTTGTTCTTTGCTGGAGTATTCATCAAAACCGATATATTCTGATGCAGCTGAAAGTCTTGGACTCATTCTAAGGTATGAATTTGACGTTTTTATTTTTTTAAGTATATTCTGAACTGTTGAATCTTGGTTTCAAGTATGCTGTAATTTTTTTCAGGCTATTAAAGAATGGCAACTATCAGGATATTGATAAAGTGTCTGACCATGTCGTAAGAAAACTGAGGAAAGAACAATCACGTCGCCCACCTGCATTTCTTTTAATACTCGAACAAATTCAAAAGAATTTTCCTCAGATTGCTGGAGTGTTTCATAAAGAATTGCTAGAAATGCTTGGGAAAAAAAGTTTTGACTCATCAGGGATCGACATCATCCAAATTTTGTTTTCCTCTTTGCTAGTACAGTTGGAAAATCCGGCGGAAAACCCCACAGCTGCAGTGAGAAGTTTCATCTTTAACTTGAATGGTCGAAATGTATTTAATGCTACGTGCACTTCGCCTGCTGAAACAATTCTTGGAGTTCGAATTTTTGAAGAAGTTTTTGTCAAGTTTCCAAATGCCCACCCTATTGAAATGTTTTTGAAAATGGTGACTTGGTTGAGTATATTGCAACAAGATACGGAAAATACATCACTACAATCTCGGTATTACATTTGCATTTCTAAAATCTACTTTCAACCAAGTACATTGGATGCGGCGAATAAAGATCTGATTTTGAAAGTGTTTATTGATGCCTTAAAGCACGAAAGCTCCGAAGTACGAAACACAATCGAGGAATTTTGGATGGCAGTGCTCGATGATTGTAAAAATCCTCAAGATTTGCTAGTTAGACTCCTTGAACTTTATGGGCAGAAGCAAAACTCATTAGAAATTATTCTGGGAAGAATTCTACAACGATGTTCAGTCGCCCCAGATTTTCAGAAAACTATTTTTGACAAACCATTAGAAGATTGTGTTTTTCACGAATTCAACCTAGATAGATCCTGGAGAACAAAACAAGCAAGTTTTCTACCATTATTTGCAGAATCAATCTCTTCACAACCACTGTCTACTATTCCACAAGCTCTACAAGCATCTGTAATGCGACAGGGACATCATGGAGTCAACTTACTTCGTGCCAGTTTGTCCTTGTGCCAACAACAATTTACCCAAACACTAGGCGTAGACAGCAGCAACAAAACTAACATGGCGACATGGAGCAATCCTCTTTCTAAAAGCATCACATCATTGGAAGATGAAGAGCAAACCCAAAAACAAGCCAATGCTCATACAGAGAAAACTGATAATGAATTGTCTCAGCTGAGGAAAAGATTTTATGTTCGTCCTGCGGAATCTGCAGCTTTCTTTGCTGCAAGACAAGTAGGTCAACGCGAGATGAAAATGAATGTGACGCTAGATAAGCTAAAGTCTAAACAGAGCATGAAAGTAACAAGGTCTTACAGAATTGGCGAAATACCAGATATTATGATAAAATATGCGGATATGTTAACAACTCTCATTAAATTGGGACAGTGCGATTCTGAATGTGCTCGTTTAATCGTGGGTCAAATATTTTCAAATGTTTTCAATTCAATAATGGAAGAAAACAACAAGGTGCACCATATATTCAACACTATTCTTGAGACTCCAAAGATTTCTGCAACTCTTGTTGCTACCATTATGGACATATCGATTCGCAACAAAATTTTAGTTTCATCAAACTGCCTGGCGAACATTTGCACACAGAATGATTTATATGAGCTTGGAATTATCATGCTTGAAAACCATCTCAGTATTAAAATGTTTGAAGATCTCCCTTCGTCATCAAAAAGGCGACGCGTGGAAACTCCAGGCAGCTTGGAAGCAGTAAATGAATCTGCATTATTGAACATTGCCTGTCTGTATTATGAATTGCAAGAAGTAGACGTGCTGAAAAACATATTTGTTCAATTATCGGGAAAATCAAAGTCTAACAGTTTTTATAAGACACTGTGCGCTTTAAACACTGAGTCGATTGGAAAGGTTGACATAGCCGCTGAGCAGTATTTAGAACTATTAGATGATCTTAAGAAAAATTTCGGCGTACAAGATCAATACGTGAATCTAATTGAATCGTCGTATATAAAGGTAATATAGTATAGTCTCGTTGCAGATGTAATAATTTCACAGTGCCTTCTACTTCCTTTCCATTATTTTCGGTTCATGATGTCTTGATTTCATTTTTTTTAGTGTTTATCACAATTGTCGGAATGGGACAAGCTTATGGACGTTGTTGGACAATCCATTTTCTCACCTGAACAAAATGGTCTTCATAATAAGTAAGTTGTTCCAATTCTCACAAAAAAGTATGTTGTTGTAGACTATATGAAGGTATTTTGCCTTATATGATTTTCAGATATACCGAAAAAAAATTATTAACTAGGGCAGGTCTCATGTTAACATTGGAAGAACAAACTCATGCTAATTTATCAAATGTGACTGAATTTGTTCAGCAGCTTGAAAAGTTAGATGGTCCCCCGGTAATAATTTATTAAAAGTCCTATGCATTATTTAGATGGTGAATCTACATACGTTTATTGCACTTGTTTCCTGAAAATTTTTGCAGATTAACGTCGAGCAAGCGTTACTCTTACTTGGTGCTGACCTGAACAATGCAAACAGAGCTACTGTGTTATTGGAACAATTTTGGCAAGCAGGAATTACAACATTTACGAATTTTTCCCATTTGTCACTGCCACAAAAAAATGAACAAATTCTGCAATATCAACTTGCATCAACTCTTAGTGACATGGTAAAAATATATTTAAATTAATTTATATTAGTGTCCCTCACCTTCACGGGGGATAGCGATATAATGATCTCGTTTAAATTTCCAGATGTTGTGGCAAAAGGACCTCTGTGAAGAAAATGTTGTGGAAAAGACGGTTCGTTTAGTTTCGAAATTCAAAAAACTGAATGGGAGCAACATATCCCCTCTATTTAATTCTGGAATAGTGACCAAGACTAGGTATGTGACTTTATTTGTATATAAATTCTTTCTGGTTGTATGCGTACCAAAATCAAACATGGGAAGATATAAATATGATTATTATTTAATATAATTAATTTTACTTTTGCTAACTTTTATAGGTCGTGCTTCGTGAAGAAGTTGTTATATCACGAGTTGCTCGTTGATGACTACCAATGTTCAGAAAAATTGAGTTTACTAAATTTTCACCAGCACCTCTGGATGCTTTCGCTTAGTACCAGGGATCAGCTCTGTACGGTGTCAAATAAGTACCTTGATTCGTCAAGACAATTAGGAAGTAATGTCAGTGCGGATGACTTTCTTGAGTGGAGAAAGTCTTATGCTGCATACTTGGATTGCTTTTGCCAGTCTTTGCCACTAAAAGAATGGATGCCAATGTGTAAGTATATAACACACATTACCAAGAAGCATTAATTTGGTTTAGATTACAATACTTTTGGTACAAACAAAAGACCAAAAATGCACCATAATTCAATTAAAACGGTTTAATATAATTACTAGAGCTTGAGTAATTAGGTGTAAATATGTTGTACATACATATTTAAACTTTTATCTGATTCCAATGAATTCCCTTTTTATTCGTACTTTTGGTTGAGTACCACGAAGCAGGACATACAAATTACTTTTCTACTTCTTTTCTACAGGGGGATCAGCCTATAAGAAAATCAGGATTGGTAATACATACATATTATTGTTTAATAATTTTACAATTAGTGATGTCACGAGACTAATAACAATATAGGAATAGAGGTATGCTTTCAGATTTTGACCAATCTAGTGTCAATCAGTCACAAATTTAATAATAATATGACATCTACAAAAGACACTATCTGCCAATGGTCAAGTTTACATATTTGCATCCAAAGAGTAGAAAACGAGCCCCCAAGCTGACAAATGTTACACTTTCCAAATTTATTGCGTTTTCTCCTCTTCTGATGTAAATATCTCTGCCAAACTTGAGCATTAGTCAAACGTGTCTTCTGCAAATGACTTAAATTTGTGATCGGTTGACACTAACACACTAATATGGTCAAAATCAGACAACATACGCTGGGAGATCCACATTATAAATAATTAGTTGTATTGTGCTATAATAAATTGATATTATGTTTTGCAAAGATTCGTCTACCTGTGAGAAGATAAACCCCACCAGTATAATTGAAATGCATAGTCATCTGCTAAAAAGTTTAGTTGCTTGTACTAGAGAAAATAAGATTGCAAATGCATCTTTCCCAATTATTAATAAATCTATGGGCATCAAGTCAAAGTAAGTGTATTTATGAATTTATACAATATATCCCTCGATGATATTTCATCTCATGATATTTTTTTTTGTTACAGTTCAACTATTATAAAAGTAGTGCAGACTGGAACAAAAATAGTATTTGATCTAGTAAAACATCCCGAAAATAAGGAGAATATGAGTCCAGAAGCTAGTCTACAATTGTATTATTTGATGGAAGAATTGTTGAGGAGTTTTCCAGATACATATCCAAGCAATGATGATAGTTTGACAATCTTGCTAGAATCACTCCTGCGGAGCATGTCTACCGAAAATGATGATGTTACATTACGGTTTCCTCGTTTACTGGATTTGATTCAGAAAAATTTTCAGCTTCGTACAACCTTTTCTACTTTGGTAAGAAATAATCTATGATCCCTATACAAAATCAAATTATCTAGATGCATATAATTAATGTTCCAATTATGTTGACTTTAAGTGGAACATTATTCCCACCTGGAAATTTCTGCCTTGGCTTGATCAAATAATGACGACCTACAATGGAGATCCAGAAATGAATCAACTCTTTTTGCCAATAGTGCAGAAAATTGCCAAAAAGTACCCGGACGCTTTAATGTTGCAATACAATAATTGCATTCCGGGGTGAGGGACTAGCAAAATGTTGCCAAATACATATTTAAACATTCATGTACGCTAATTGTAAGATTTGTGCACATAATATGTCTTTAGCTATCAAGATCATCACGTTGATTATGTCAAGAGTTTGAAAGCGCTGGTATTCCCAACTATACTTCATAAGGCTGCGTTGGACGAAATTTTACTTAAAATTAAAGAGAAAGATGTGTCGGTTCTTCGAGATTCAATTTTAAATTTCCAACAAGTAATTCAAGATATTTTGAGTCAAGAAAATATTTATGGATCGATTCATATTAATTTTGCCAGAGAGGTATGATTTTGTTTTTGTGTATAGTTCCAAGATTATTTGACACTTGATCACTCTATAAGAGACACCAACTGTCAAGTAATTGTGATATTATTCTGATCAGGGTCCATTGATTATGTCCTTGAAGAATCTCGGGTAGGGTCAGTTTAAGAGTTCTCCTTTTCGATAGATTTTAAAGTTTTGGGATATGGGTGATTTTTTACTTGGGAGAGTTTGGTTGTCGAGAAAAATAAAACACATAGATCTATCATAAAATGCAAACGAATTATTTTAGGGTATTATTACTGAATTTTTTTAATGCACGCACCTATGTGGGAATTAATAATTAAAATATTTACTATTTGTAAAGTTGTTTTTAATGAATAAGATTATAAAAAAATATAAAGTAATTATGCTTAAACTAGGAACATGCATTTTATGATAGATCAGGGTATTTATCTTTCATTACTTTCGTATATACAGCAAGTGGACCCTGATTATGATACTATTCAGATGCACACAAATACTTGTACATATATACACCTTACTATTATTATTATAATATACTATTTCCTGTTTATTAAAGATATGGGGACACTTGTCGCAATATTTAACCGAAATTGGAGATGATTTTCCCATGGCAGGTGATGATAAAACTGAAAAATCTCTTGCTAGCTTGAAAACCGGAATTGAGGAAGCAAGAAAACACGAGAAGCGAAGTAAACACAAATAGTTGACATAATATTTTTACAAGAAACTTTCTAAAATTTGGATATTTTGTCATCAGTTTTTCCGGACCAGAGTGGTAGCATGAAAATTAAACAGTTGAATGAATTCTCCCCTTGGTTGGCAAGTTTTCATCACATTCAAATGGAAGAGGTTATTAAATTTCCTGGATTGCACGATAAATTATCGAAGCCTGATGTGAATTCCCATCCGAGTATTGTTTCATTTAATCCTACTGTAAGATTCTTTCTATGAATAAGGATGCAATTGTTATTAAGCAGTATTATCTTGTGGCGGTTTATGTATTAACATAAATATGTACTGCTATTAGGTGCAAATTTATCGATCTCTTACCTTTCCTATTCGTATGAGTGTTTTGGGCAATGATGGGAAAAGACAAAGCTTCTTGACTAAATATGGGGATGACCTACGCCAAGATCGAAGAATTCAACAGTTGCTCCGAGTTGCCAACAACTTTTTTTCTAATAATTCACAAACTCGTGAACGGAAAATTAACATTGTTACATATTCGGTACAATATAAAAATATACATAGAGCTTTAATTACCTAATATTTAGTTAGTGCACGGATTTAATTATATATGTAAATATTTTCAGGTCATTCCCCTAACAGAGTCATTTGGTATCATTGAGTGGCTAGACAAAACATTGAAGGTTTCATCGTTTATATTGAATACCAAACAATTGGAAGGACAAATGAACACAGCCGCCATGTCACATCAAGGTTGGCTAGAGAAAACAAGTGGCCTCAAGCCACCAGCGCCACTGCATCATATTTATGCTGGTGCTGCGAAAAACGCCTCTCGACAGAATGCAGAGTTTCATTTCGATTCTCTCGTCTCAACCACACCAAACTCTTTGTTCTCGTAAGATAAACTTTAACTTTCCTTATATGAGTATATTTGCATATGTGATGTTAATAATAATTACATATTAAAAATAGGGAACACTTGATGGAGCGATGCAAAAGCTATGAGCAGTTTTTCAAGGTCCGACAAAACTGTATTCGGTCATATGCTGCAATGTGCCTTGTCCACTGGTTACTTGGGATTGGCGACCGACATTTACAGAACGCACTACTTTCTCTGGAAACTGGCAAAGTCATTGGTATAGATTTTGGAAGAGCATTTGAGACAACTAATACTGACCAACCTATTCCCGAAATGATTCCATTCCGCTGCTCTCCAAATTTCCAGAACCTTATGATGCCATATGGATACAAGGGTAATTATCATTAAGACTAAATCTAATCCAGTTGTGCTACTGTCTACACATCAACTTATGTTATCTTTTACAGGTTTGTTCCGGGAGACAATGTGTATTGTGTGGAGATGTCTTCTTCAAGGGTCAGACACGATCTTATTCATTATCAACACGCTGGTCAACGAACATAATATAAAATGGACAGGAGTTCGAAAGGAAAAGCTGCCTTTTGAAAGTGTTCTGGAAAAGCAACTCGTCGAATGGCTACCAATGCAGACAATCAAGAGGAAACTTTTATGTGAAAATCCTACGAACATTCTGTTGAAAACTCTGGAAAATAACCCATGGAAAGATATCACTCCCGTTTACTGTGATATTGTCAAGAATAGTAGAGCGGATGATGAAGGTGTCTTCACACATGAACAAGTAATTGATTGCCTGCTGGATTTGGCTACGGATAAGAATATACTTGCAAGATTGTATGTCGGGCTACTCTCATGGATATAGTTTCTCAAGTCAAATGCCAAAAAAACAAAATAATTTAACAAAACATTTTCTTAAACTTGATAATCTTCATAACTTAATATGCTATATTTGTATTTACATACTTCTAATACGACTTTTCATGTCAAAACGAGTTGAAAACTTGAATTAAACAATTCCTCTCGTTGAAATATCTTTGAGTTGTTCTGCATATAACTTATCATCTTTGAAACTCAATTGATCTAGTCATACATCTAATTTGGGGCAGTGTTCCAAACACAAATTGGAGGCCATGCACGACGCCGACGTGCATCAAACACCTAAATAGTAACCACATTTATAGTAATCATAAAGCCTACACGGTTGAAATGTGTATCATTTTCTGGTATATTTCACTGTGGACAATTGAAAATAAGATAAAAGCAATGCATCTCAACTTCCACTATTATAAATAATAGAATAAATACATAATTATTGCTTATGTAAATCAACTCTGTTTATTAATTTAATATTGCACATTTATCATATTTATTACACCTATGTAAACGATATAGTGTTGCTTATTTTCATATCGAAGCAATTTTGGGTTTGCAAGCCTTGAGAAATATAAGTAGGAAGATTTGCATAAATTTTAATCGGAAGATCCCATACCATCGTTTCGATTTTTACATTCGTTGGACCTTGCCAAACTTGTCCATCCAGATCCCCTTTCTTTGGTTTTTCAACAGGTTTCATCAGCATTTCATCTTCAATGCTTGTAACGAACTCAAAGTGCAATCGCCACTTTAATGTGACAAGGTCGGTGTAAAAGCTAGGAGTAATATGTAAGGGAAGTGGTAAAACAAAATGCGATTGTTGATACCCGACACACATTTCATGAAATTTAGAGAAAGCACTAACGGCAGGTTTTTGCCCCTCAATTTTTCTACACTCTGGAGTAATTTCTTCCACACTTTGTAGAGTCACAGCAAACTGGAGGCAAGGAACATTGCATCCAGAAAAGTCTAATGATCCGACAATATCTTCGCCAAGTTTATAGGCATGTTTGAATGCACAAAACTTTACGACATGCCCACGAGCATTTGTCACGTTGTAAAACTTTTGGTTCTTTTGTGAAGTGACGACTTGTAAAACTTGTAATGCAGAATCCAATGGGGTTTCCTTTTCTTGATCTGATAAAAACGGATTGGCTGGCTGGGTGATATCTTCACTTCCGTTTAAAATGGAAGAATCCGTAAATTCTAAAGAGAAACATGAATTTTAGAAGGTATTATTAACAATATATGTATTACAGTTACAGTCAGTACAGTGCAGGCTTGGTAAATATATATACTGACATTGTACATATATATATGTATGTACATAGCCCGAGCCGGCGAGTCTCTGTCTGAATTTTAAAAACCATTATATCACACCCTAACAAATACATATTGTACACAAGAGCCATGTTAATTACTACTTTCTCCATATTTTTCCATGCAAAATTTGAACTTTCTCCGACTGGACTTATTGTAAAACTAGTATGCGTCACCCTGTCTGCGTCTTCTTGTGGGGTTCCGTGACAAAAAAATGCTTCAAATTTATCGATCTGATGCCAAAATTTACGCCAGTTGTTGCAATAAGACAGACAGACGGCCATACCGGTTTCATAAACTCTAGCTCAAAATATCATAACTAAGGAAATACCTTGCAAAACTAGAACTCGTATTGGAACTCTCAGCAGCTTAATTGGAGCATTAACTCTCTGAGTACCCACAGTCAGTTTATAGGCATACTTGACCGTCTGACCCCGAAACGATGGGGGACCATCCACTGGTAGGACTTCACGATACCAATCTGAACGTACAGAAGAAGGGGGAGGATAATCAACGGTTTATACATATGCACTTACATCTTAATGAAGTAAATATTTAGGTAAGCTTACACGTCTTGCTTTCACCAGGAAGAAGTCTCAAATCGCAGAAGAGGATGACAGGTTTCGTGGCGAGAACGACCCTGCCACCACCCCCGCTAACAGCCGACGACCCATTGCTGCTCGTCAACTGACCCTGATGAGAGGATCCGCCCCCACTGCCCCCAGAAGGTCCAGGTGTGGCATAATCCGTGACACGACACGGGGCGAATGAGGTCAGGCTGTTGGTGACGGCCGTCTCTGCGCTGAGAGCTCCCGTGTGCTGCACAGGGACCTGGACTTTGGACGGTGACACCCAGCACTGGCAATGGACCTGAGCACTTGCCCAGGCCAAAACCTCCTCCAAGTCATTCCATTGACTTTTGGCGTCTGGTGGAGGGGATGGGTTTCTCACGGTAATTCCTACCTCTACGGTCTCCCCAGCGAGGTAAACCCCCTGACTTAAGCGAGCAGTAACCTCAATCATTTAGTTTTCTTACTCTTTAATTTACTGCAGAAAAAATTTGTAAAAAAATGGACAATTTAAATATTCTCGTTGCAAGCAATGACGGCTCACCCGCCTGCTGTTCTATATTTTTGACTCACCCACTCTCGCACTCAACCAGCTGTATAAATAACACATGCTTTCTTTCTCTTTTTGATCCATTCATTTCATTCACGACATGCCGACAGGATCTTCTGACTTGTTCATCATTTTTTGTTAGTTTGTCGCCAAATAAAAAATATACAATGAATCCTGCTTCTAATCAAGAGTTTATTCATGTTAAACGGAAAAGGGGAAAGTCAGCTACATTAAACTTTCGGCACAATGTTGATTCTTCTGAAAGTTTGAGAAGCCTTGGTCTAAATTCGAATTCGAAGTTACAAGACACATTTTGTTTGACAAATGATGATATTATAAAGTAATTTAATACTTTCTAAATTCATTTAATTCGAACTTTTAAAGGCTAGAAACCTGATGTTTGCTTCATTATTGAATATTTTGTATTTTCAGGAAATTAAAAGTCGCTCAAAGTCATTTAGAAGTTTCTGGGTTCTTCTCACATTTTCAAGGGCTTGTCGCTAAAGCTCTGCAAGCGTTGGACCCTCTTCGATCTCCAAATTCTCCAAAGATTTTAAAAATAGTGTGCTTGGGGCTAGGCAGTTTTTCTGACTGTATTATTGCAAGATATCAACTTGCATTATTGACTCTACTGCAAACAAAACTGGAAATTGGTTCGGTTGAATTATTTGATCCGGTACGACATTTATCCGGATTATGATTGTTTATATTATAAACAGAGAACATTTCATGCGAATATTTACTGTTACGACTTTATGTTCTTGTAGATATTTTCTGATCAGGAGAATGCTGTTTTAGAAGAGTTGGGATTCCATGTACTCACAATTAATGAGGAAGGCAGACGATGTGTTGAAAATGACTTGCTCACTCTATTTTACCTCCCACATTGTTCTCACCAGTTAACAAATAATCTCTTGTTTGCAAACTGGAATATTGAAAAGCTCAAAAATTGTGTCATAATTTCTAATTCATTTGCAAATATTCATAATTCAGTCCCACCGAGAATTCTCTCTCAATCATTGTCATTCATCTCTAGGGCAGGTGACATTTGTGAAGAGTTTGAAGTAAAAAATTGTTTTGAATACTCGGATATATTTAACGATACGTCAATTCATGTGTTCTCTAAACTTAATGCATTTCATCAAATGAATGACTTTTGGTTGGACTGCAGTCCTCCAGTTTACCTAGATTCTGACTTTGTCAAGTCTTCCTGTATTGAAGATATAAAACCTAACCAATTGTAAAATTAAAATGATATATGACAAGATAATTTTAACCTTGTTTTAATTTAATAATAATAAAACACTCATTTTATATAGTAAAGTTAATACATAAATTCAGTCATCATCTTGATTTTCTTCTTCAGGCGGATCTTTAACTTTAACATCCGCATCTTCAGACACACCCATAACAAGATCTGCCATTAACAATAAATTTTCCATGTTTGATTCTTTCCTTATATCCAACGGGAAATATTTTACTAAGCTATAGTCTTCTAGTACTTTCCCCAGTGCTTCTGTTGATAGATAAATAGATAAATATATTATTTAATGCAAGATTGCCCAAAAACGCACCCAGAACATAAGAAAATGGTCTCTTATATAAATGTACCTGACAACTTGAGAAATTTTTTGTTCCAAGGGGTTTCAATCTCTTCATTCAATAGTTCCAGCGCATCAGGTTCTAAGAATCGTTCAATGTTCTTTCTGTCATGCTTACTCAGAAGATCCATTTTAGTAAGAATGTTCATGTGAGGAATTTCCAAATTGATCATGGTGCCCAAGGCAGTAAGCGACCCAGCAATAAATTTGTTGCCATCCGTGAGGAAGTGGGCGTCAATGGTATAGATGCCACATAGGCGAAAATCCCAATCTTGAAGTTGTTTCACAAATCGTTGCATCGTGTCCATATGTGTATACAGTTCTATTTGTCCAGGACAATCGAAAACTAAATAGTCACCATCCCACTGCTCTCCGATTGCTGGTAACAACCAGGACTCCAAGTTGTCCATGAGAAACTCCATGCAATACAATAGTGCTCCGTTTGGACCTAAATTAATCCTCGTTAGTTAAGGTCATACCAGAGTGAACTAATTACTACCACATAGGACAATATAACTTGTTGTTGAGTGTACCTAAATGTAAATCTTCATCCTCCATTACATCCTCCACTTGGATAAGCTCCCTTACGTCAGCTAAAGGTTCGTAATTGAACGTCTCTGCTGCTGGGTCCAAATTCACTATTCTAATGTTCCTATGTGATGCTTCTGCACGTTTTTCTAAATGGCTGCAGTAAGTGCTCTATAATAGGTAATCAGGGAATGCATACAACATATTATTTCGTATTTCCTCACTGCACTTCCATTCCATTTCACTGAAATTCAATATTATTACCTTTCCTGTGCCTGCTGGCCCCATTACAATCTGTGCAAACCTCATTGTTACCACCCTTCTGGTTGAAACTGTTTTTATTAATAAACACCAAAAAATTAAAATTCTGACAAAAAAGTACTGTGGTTATTTGTTATTTACTGAACTAACGAGAATTTATTCGTGTCGTGTGTATTCACAAACGTGCGTGGCGACTCGCCGCCTTAAAAATTTGAGACAAGAGAGTGAAAAGCTTTGTTGTTACATGTAAAATGGAAGCGTCTGTAATTTTGGTGTGTAAGATGCTTATGTCGTTGGGGTCTCATTCTCATTATTACTAATTTTTGCATTGTTATTTTTCTTTGACTTTGACTTTCTTTCCTTCCTTCTTCGACCCCGATCCCCCTGGGCATTTACTCCAATTTCGTCCAGAGAATCCATGTCTTGGAGAGCTTTGAGGCGTTTTGCGTTCCTCTTTCTTAACTCCCTCAGCAAGTTGGGCCCAGTAAGATTTTTTAAATCTACACAGTAGAGCAATTACAGCGAAATGAGAATTCGAGAATTCCACTTTAGGTCAAAGTTGAGACTTAATGAATATTTATAGAATATTCATTAAAACTCTGTACGTACTTTTCAACATGTCACACGCTAGTTTCACATCATTCTGAATATCTAATGGGTTCGGTTTTATTCCTCGGTTCTGTAAAAAAACAATATAGATTTGGGAAAAAAGGGCAAGGAATTAAATTAAGTAATAAGTAAAATTAATGACATACCTTGAAATGCTGAATTTTCTGCACAATTCCATAAATCTGTAGGGCCTGTGCTTGTCTTAGGGTGTATTTTTTCTGAAGAAATTTTGACTCATTCTTGTAAATTATATGTTCATTTAGCAGCCTTCCACTGTAGATGGAGGAAGTAAAACGTTGAGTCCTCTTCTGTAGGATGTTTGTCATGTCGTAGTATCGGTGGATGACGATGAGAGTGGATAGGAGGAGGTAGGCTATGTAGAGCATGAACAAGGCAACCGACTCAAAGGTATCGACCGTTTTATCCTCTGACGGGAAGCGGACGTTGTAAAGGAATTGGAAGGTGTCGCAGCAGGCGTGACATATTTGGGCGAGGACGAAGGCCCAGCACAAGCTCGCCGTTTCCAACTGATCCGTGAAGAGGACCGCGACGCAGGTGCAGGCGTGGATGATGTTGAAAAAGTGGTTCACCGAGTCCCCCGAAATGACACGCTCCAGGCAGTTGAAGTCGTCGTTGAGGTAAAGCCGGTCAAACTTTGCGTGCTCAATGATTATGGCATAACTGAAGGTCATTTCCATCATAAACTTGGCTATCTTACAGTTAGTTGCGTTTAAAATACAGATAAGGAGAAAAGATGGTTCAAGTTAAAACATACCTCTCTTCCAAGCAAATTCCAAAATTTATTATGACGACCAGATGGAAAATGGAACTCATTGACCAATTTAATAATTTGCTACGCTTGGTCCACAAGTATCTGTACAATCCAACATTTTATATATGTGTATGTACTAATTATAAATAAGTCTTATTAGTGTCGAGTTCATAAATAGTTTGGGTATGTAATTAACGTAGATTTTACATTTATGCTTCACTTTTTACCGGAGTCTGAAATCTTCTTCCTTCTTTTCTCTCTGCTTCCTATCAGTAATGTATTCTTCATCATCGGTGTCAACTTTTTCTCCCTTCTCTTTCAGGGCTAAAAAACAGGGATTCAAGTATAATGAGTATTATCAATGGGATGAAATTTAATGGGAATTTTGCGAATTAAATAATAAATTAATGTTTTATACAGAACATTTCTAAAACAAATCATACATACCTATAATATCCAAGGCATGGATAACGCCACCTCTTCTTTCTTGCTCCGCAATTACCGCCCGTTTGTTTTTTTCAGACAGACTTTGAAAAAAATTTGAATTTTTTAACTTTTCTAAAATCTCCCATGCTCGAGCTTCTTTTTCGTCCAGATCTACTTCACCAGCTTCTTCCACGGTCCGTTCAGATCGAAGTATATATGCTTCTCCTGCAATTGCGCTCACATTTTCTCGAATGGAGGTCCAAGCGGTTTCGGATTTGGCTTGAAGTGTCCTGTAATGCAGCAGCCTATTTTCTTTCCGCACTGGTGTTTTTTCTGCATGGGTCGTAGCGTCCCCCCGATTGGATGGCCAAATAATAACCTCTGAGGGTCCTGCTCCTTCTTCGGCTTCATCCAGAACAGTCGGATTGCCATAAAGGGGATCATCCGCTGCGGGTCGTCGAACTTCAGGACGCGACACATCCTCTCCTGCTCGAAGTTCCTCATCATCTGGTAGGTCGGGGTAGGGGCTGATGTCCGCGGTCTCATATTTTTCTTCTTCAGGCATGATGACTAGAATAAGATCGTCCTTTCGCCGGGGTCCTTAAGTTGACCAATGGAAGTAATTAGCAAGAAACCCCATTCTGGACGCTCATAGTTGACAAAGCTGGTTATCAGATAAACTAACGTTTATATAGTTACCCAGAACAGAACTACATTTTTCATCATATATGTTTTCGAAGTTTTCATTTTTTTGGTGCATTCCTGACTGGATAAGGAAATGAACAGAAGTTAAAAAAAAACTACGCTACTATTTATAAAATAATGAAAAAGTGATGGCCGTTTTCTAAATCTCAGCCAACTAAACCAGTACCACAAGTACTTCAACGCATTTTAGATACATATGCATGCAAATAACTGGAGATATTACATGATTGAATTATATATCATGAATTCGTCATTAAATATGGAAACTCACACTGACGGAACTGGGGAAAGCAGACATGAGTAACCAGCAACGATGACACTTTCACTGCGGGGTGAAAGGACGAACAGAAGCGGCAACAGCTCACCGCCGAACTCTCATGAAATAAATGTTTACTCGAAGAAGTGCACGAGACGAGCGTATTTCCTATTCCATGTATTTCACGATTAATTTTTCAAAGTCTTGAGAACTAATTATCCAGATTTGGGGTTTCTTTGTTTCTGCTTGTAACATAAGCAATGGGAAGTTTATGTCCTGTGACAATATCCTCAAATGCAAATCATTTATTCAACAAAACAACATATTAATAATAAATAAAAAATATAGACGTATGCCTAGTATTATTAATACGTGACTAGATTTTAGACTGAGATTTTATACCTAAACCGTTTAATTACATGTATAAATAAACTACAAACGTATTGTGTGAGTACCTATGATTTACTACAAATATTTAAAAACTAAATGTCAAATCATGTTTACTAATTACGTACGAGAAATTTATTATGATGCTTAGATAAAACACAGAATTTGTTATGTTACAACACTAATTCGAAGTTTGTTATGCAATTACTCTATTTCAGCTTCCTTCAGATTAAATGAAAGATGGCGGATTTAGCATCAGCGTTTTTTGACATAATTGGAAAGGTGAACGCCTCGAATCGGAAGTCAGGAAGTCTACATAGCTCTCCCGACTCTTCATTTGATGATCTAGACAAAAGAGATGACAGAGTTTTACACAAGAAGGTGTCTTCCACCTCGCGACAAGCGGTCACTAATTCTTTGCCATTGCCGAATTCTGCCACTGAGGTGCACTTTCCAAATATGCCTAAACAAGACCGAATTAATGACCAAGTAGTGCTGCAAGTCAATGGAAACAGTAAAAATGATAATGGCGACGATGACGATAGTATGGATATGATTAACGTTTCTCAAAGGAGCATCAACTCTTGCAAAGCTACTGACGATGATATTTATGATGACTTGGAGTCTTCTATTTTTGCTCTCGGAACCAAAGAGGACAGAATTACAAATTCAGTGAGTCTAGATAGACAGGGCTTGTATAGCTAATTATTAGTACATTATATGCAAACATGTAATTTATGTAATACTTAATTTTCGTCTAGGATCTCCAAGAGAAGCTTGTACAGGCGGAGGAAAAAATACGCAGTTTATTACAAGAAAATACCAAATTGACAAAGGAGAATAAAAATTATTGCAAAAATATTTCTTCCCTTGAAATTACTGCAAGGAGTGAAATTAAGAAAAAAAATTTTATTATTCAACAACTTCAATCAAAGTAAGGATATACAAAAACATGATATATTTTAATTTATTACATTTTTAAGATTTTTTCTTATGTTTGAGGCTACAGAGTATGACAACAACATTGGCTAAAAAATCAAACCTGACCAAAGGTGAAGTAGAAGAAATACTTCGACAATGTCATGAAGCACATATTGAAGCAAACTCCGAGGTTCTAGTTAAAGAAATCAGTAAATTTATTGAACAATTGACTTGTGCCAAACCTAAAACAAATGGATATAAAAAGCAGTATAAGTTTGGAAATATGTCGCTCTATTTATTTAGAGAACAAGTGCCTTTTGACCGAGAGGGTCGAACAGTTCAGTTGGAGGGTTCAGAAGAAGTGAGTCAACAGGATTCTCAAGGGACGACTTTGGAGTATCCAGCAAATCAAATTTCTCATACCAGCGATCAGAAAAGTACAAGAAAATCAAAAAGTTTACAAGTAGATAAATCTCAACATCAGCCTCTTCATAATTCATCGTCGTCTACTGAAAAGAATGCAGAAAAATTGCCACTGAGCAACAATGAGAATAAAAGCAAGGAACGCCGACCCTCCAATACTAACTCAAACTCATATTCGACATATTCATCCAGGTCTAAATCTCCACCACCACCCTCACGTGGGAATTCTTCTCGTCATGACCGAAGCCTTCGATCTCGATCACCACGCAATTTTTCTCGTGATCGGTATGGTAGAGAATCCAGGTATGACAAAGACAAAAGAAATGATAAGGATTTTTCGCCGCGACACAGAAGTAGTAACACATCGACTACGAATAAGCGAGACGACTCTCGGGGTCCAAGGAACTCTACTAGTAGTGCCAGCAGCAAACGAAAAAGATAAATAAACCATCAGTACACAACAATACGGTCTAAATTGAAGATATTTAGAATCTCACTCAGTCAATTATACCATATAATCATCAATATTTAATTACAAGATGCAGTTGTATGTAAATATGTAGATGTTGTTTAACAATTATAATGTACTATTCATAAGTAATTTCACAGTTTGACGGTAACTGATTTTGTGTGATATTTATATACTAATATTATTTATTCTTTTACATGTATTATACAAGTTGTACTGTATATGCATTAATATCCAGTAAACAAACTGTTGATTATTAATGGTACATTGACACAAAACTAATTTTTTTAGCACAGTCAACATTTCCGACAAATATATTTGAAAACAAATTTAAACCTAATAAACCACATATTTGGTAGATTACTTTTCTCCATACTGATATTGCATTGCTTTCTCTTTACAACCACTGGACAATAATGTGATCAACACAACGTTCTCAAGCCGCCTTTGCCTTATTTGCCATTTGGTATTTAAACCCCCGAGAGAGTTGATAACAGGCAGTGCAAGCCACAAATACGTTGACACTGAAGAGTGACCAATTTTTGGGGATGATGACGAGCGAGTACCGACTCCAAATTATCCCAGTCGCAGCCAAGGACAGTGACTGCGGCACGCTTATCTTCTCAGCTGGTCGGCTCAGATCTCCTATGCCAGCGATAACCAAACCCTGAAGTAGTTTAATTTGCAATTTTAGCATCATTCTTATTATACAAGTGTCACAGTTATGAAGTGACATTAATTACAGTTCGTGCCCATACCCATTTAAATACTGGTGCCCTATAATTTGACCATAAACAATGCAATTAATTCGATAAAACCATGTATACCCATCTGCATTTTTATTACCAAAAGAAGACAGTTTTTGGACCTGCATTAAATGATTACAAATCATTAAGTATGAAGACAACTTATTAATTGGCTTTCCAGTATTGCTAATATGAAATGCATTTAAAGTACCTGCCGGATGTTGCCACATTGGCATAAATTTAGCAGGGACAAATTTATCTAATTTTGCCATCGTTCGAAAGTACATTGACGCTGAAGCCATTTTATCACAATTTAATATTTATATTACACTACAAATGAGAATTTCTTAATCGATTATAAAACCAAAAAACTACTCCCAACAAACACAATTGAACACGCCTCTCCTGTGCAATTAGTTTAACTGGAAAATCAATTAGAGCCTAATTTGCACCTTAGATCTTTGCAAGAAAGAATTATAAATTATAGCCCGATCTTGCCAGCAAGGTCGAGTGAAACATTTTGCAAGCATACATAGATCGGGAAGAAGGAAAATGGAAAGAAAAATCAATCCCATGCAAATACAAGTTGCTATTTAGTGCTGAAAGGGTTGAAGATGTGTAGAGCACATGTTTGTTTTGCATCCACGGGTAAAGTGCAATGCAAATAATAATCAAGAGAGTCTGTCATTCAGCTACGATCAAATTTATATCATTGCACTTGAGAAATTGATAATTGTTCATGCTGCTAAAGGCTGCTCAAGTAAAAAAAATCCTTGTTGTACACTTAAATCAACCTGATCAGAAAGCTCATAAGGAGTGACGTGGAGAAAGCTTTCACCATAAACTCGGTTGAATTGTTGAATGTAAGTAATATTTTATTTGATCACCTAACTATTGCACATTTATTTATAAACTAGGAACTAATTTGTCGTATAGTCTATATTGGTTAATGCATAAGGGTATTAAAAGTTTAGTGTTCCGAATAGATTGCATATATGTATACTAACGTGATCACCTATTTCTAATCAGTCAGGATATTTGTCTTTTCGACACTTATCATCTGCCCTTATAATGAACCCTCTTCCCAAGTTGGCTCAGTTATCCGGGCTCGTATGGCGAATTCTGGGTTGCAACCCAGGCCCCATGACTCTCCAGGGGACGAACATTTACCTCGTTGGTGCAGGGCGGAAGCGCGTCCTCATTGACGCTGGTCAAGATGGATTCCCAGATTATGTCAAAAACTTGACCGACCTGCTAAGCCAACAGGGTGTAACAATTGACAAAATCCTCATCACCCATTGGCATCAAGACCACATTGGAGCATTGAAAGACCTCCGAGATTCCATTTTCAACAAGATTGTCCCTCCTCCAGCAGTGTACAAATTCCCAAGACGAGATGTTCCGGATCCTCCCTTGCCTGAAGGGTACGATCTGGAAGAATTAAAAGATAACCAACGGATTTCAGCGGGCGACGCTAATCTCAGAATTTTATACACTCCTGGCCATACTACTGATCATGTTGCCATTCTCCTTGAAGAAGAGAAAGCCATCTTTAGTGGGGTATTGTATATAAATTGTATATAAATTGTATATAAATTATATATAAATTATATTATAAATTATATATAAATTATATATTTAGGATTGTATTCTCGGCGAAGGAACGACTGGTATAAATTTCCATATTAGCTTAATTATTGATATTTTGCACAGGTATTAATATGCACATACTGCATTTCAGTTTTTGAGGATTTACATGATTACATGCTCTCTTTGGAAAAAATTATGGCAGAGGAAGCTAGCATAATTTACCCTGGGCATGGGCCTATTGTCAGCAATCCCAAAGAAAAAATCACATTTTATCTTAATCACAGAAGGGAAAGAGAACGACAAATTCTGGATGTATTAAAGACACCCCCAGCAGAAGGATCCAGCAGCAAACGAATGACTGCCGCAGAAATTGTCAGAATTGTATACCAAGAAACGCCAGTTCATTTGTACCCTGCTGCTGAGAGAAATGTTGAGCATCATTTGGAAAAACTTATCAAAGAAAAGAGGGTTCAACGAAAGGAAGATATGTATTTCTATGTGGATGATACAAAGTTATGAAGTCCAACAAAATTTTCAAACCAATTAGGAAGATACAAAATTATTGTGAAACTATTGCAATTTCAATGATTCGATTGCTTCAAATAGAGTGGAAATATTTCAGGCTTCACATTTTTACTTTAAAGAGTAGTGTCAATTAATTTGTAGAGGGGTTTACAAGAATGTATATGATTGCAAAAGCTGGAGCCTCTAAATATTTCCAAACAACCAGAATAAAACATTATGCATTTGATCATTTTGACTTGCTTTTGCTGTTCATGTGTATCAAACGTGAAACTACTTAGGCATTTCATTTATGTATACATCAAATGCTTTATTTATTCTATCCAGCATAGTATTATCATTATCGTAGATCTGTACGATCCGAGTATTATCCACAATGGCATGACATAAGGCAGGAGTAAATGAAGACTGTTATTGCATAAACATGTCATGAAATGAGATAAATACGTGAAGAATAAGGGTAGGCTACACATAAGATTAGATTTTGAATACGAATCTCCAAGTTAATGGTTCCTATCTACATATAAGGATGTCCAGAACATATAATCAAGGTCTTCTTGATATAATATCTCTAAACTTGCGAGAAATCTCATATCTGTTGTACACGCTGCGTGCCGTGTGCAAACGTTGTCTAAAAAACTTGTCCTTATTTACATATAATACAGAGCTTGGCTGTAGAAAGGTTGTCATTTGCTGTGGACATTTTGGCAGATAAAGTACTCCACATTTTCAAGCTCATCTCCCACAAATAAATAATCTGACACCATGGGCGGCGGTGCTGATGACAATCTTACTGCGATTTTATACAAGCAAGGAGATCTGCGTTTGGTAATTTTCCTCGTGTCAATAATAATTATGACAATATTTTTGTTTGTGTAATATTATTATAAGTCACTTTTTTTTATAAATTGTAGGAAAATCGGCCTGTGCCTGAACCAAATGATGATGGTTCGTATGGTTAATTATTCTTGATGCGTTCATGCATATTGTATGTATTTGTAATTAATAATTTATACATACAATAGAGGTGTTGCTTCGAATGGCCAGCGTAGGCATTTGTGGCTCGGATGTTCATTATTGGACGAATGGGCGAATTGGCGACTTTATTGTTAAAGCCCCAATGATTATCGGCCATGAGGCCGCGGGCGTTGTTACCAAATGTGGAAAAAATGTGAAACATCTTAAGCCAGGTCTTCAACATATACATCAGAATGCTTCTAATTATTTGATTCAATGAAGTCAATTTAAAAAAAATATATTTTTTTTTAATTTCTGTAATTTTAGGTGACCGAGTTGCGATTGAGGTGAGTAAAGAAATTGATGCGCACACGCACATATCAATTAATAACATATATACAAATACACTTGCGATGATATCTTTTCATTAATCATATTGGTATTAATTTAGCCTGGTGTGCCATGTCGTAGGTGCGACAGTTGCAAGTATGGGAGGTATAACCTTTGCCCGGATATTGTGTTTTGTGCAACGCCACCATGCCATGGGAATTTATGTCGTTATTATACGCATGATGCTGCCTTCTGTTACAAGTATATCCAGTCATTTTAAAAATTTACGACACTTTTAGTTTTGATTTTGATTTTGGTCGATTAAAAAAAGGCTTCCAGACCACGTTACAATTGAAGAGGGTGCACTACTAGAACCTTTGTCCGTTGGAGTACATGCCTGCAGGCGAGATTAATATTGCTTGAGAGGGAAATCAGACCAACTGTGCAACAAACCCTGTTTCCATATTCAAAGAAGAGAAAGTGAGAAACTCGGATTCTGGTGGGTATCCACCACCACTGCATACTGTGACTTCACAGTGCCGTATGGTGGTCTTGATTGGATATCATCAGTATAAATTCAAAGGAGCGTTAGTTTTTAATTTGGGGCAATTTTAATAACTTAAGTAATTGCAATTATCTATATATTTTTTTTCATAAGCAGCCATAAGTTTGTTACGGCACTTGCCGTATAAGCCACTCCTTTAGAAACTTTGACCCCAAAAAACTCATTGTTCCCACACTTTTACTTCGGACAATGAAAGGTGAAAATGTAGCTCTTCTCAGGTAGAAAAATCTGGCATCAGGTTGTCAGAAGTAAAAGTGTGGGAACAATGCGTTTTTTAACGATTTCTGTGTATGACAAAAAACCGCCAATTTTCAAATTTTGAAACTTTTGATGCATCAAAATGTTCGTAGGGGCAGGGAAATTAGATTGGCAAATGCAACCTGTGGTCTAATTTTTGTTTTACCCAGTGTGCATTGACTTTCACATTTTTTCAAATTTCCTTCTCAAATTTCTGAAAAGGGGATGGGTGCATGTAATTTAAAAATATACATGCTAGATTTATCCTTGCACCCCGAACTCAACTTGCAATTTCTCTTATCAAATTCGGTGAAATCGACGCGAAACGGGTTTGCACAGTTGGGTCAGCCTGTACCTTGAATATTACAAAAGATTATTTTAACCTAACTATTTTTCGTCTGTAATTAAATTGCAGGCGAGCGGGGGTTACTCTGGGAAGGTTATTATTGCTATTGCCAATTTATTTCTATTTAACTGAATTTAAAATTAATATTAACGTTTTTTAACATAGTGTTGTCTTAATTTGTGGTGCTGGACCAATTGGATTAGTTAGCTTGTTGGTTGCTCGGTCTATGGGGGCGTCCAAAATCATTGTCTCTGGTATTCAGTCTGACGATATGATTTTCCAATTCTAATTTGTGCATAGATAATAACAATTTTTCCGTATTTATTAAAGATTTGGCTGAAAACCGCCTTCAAGTCGCTAAAGAGTTGGGAGCTGATCTTGTCTTGAAGGTGGATCCTTCGGCAAGTGGCCAAGATTTGGCACTACAAGTCGAGCAAACATTAGGCGTTATGCCCAATATTTCAATTGAATGCAGCGGAGCCGAATCAAGCATAAGGCTTGCAATTCTTGTATGTACATGGCAAATGAATTCTAGTTGAATCGAATAACCTAATATAGGTACTCTCTTTAGTCTACCATATCTGGTGGCTGTGTTTTACTTGTTGGATTGGGGGCACCTGAAGTAAAACTTCCTGTTGTTAACGCTGCTGTTCGGGAGGTTGACATTCGTGGAGTTTTCCGCTATGCCAACTGGTGATTCATAATTTATTTATTACCTAAATTGCATGAAATAAAGTTAATAATGCAGCGTGTACATTTAATGAATAGCTACCCAGCAGCACTTGCCCTCGTTGCCACTGGGAAAGTCGACGTGAAAAAGCTTATTACTCATCGTTTCAAGCTTGAAGAGACTCTGCAAGCCTTTGAAACTGCAAAAACAGGGGCTGGAGGGGCCATTAAAGTAATGATAAGCTGCTGAGTACTTGCTTTGGATAATGCAGTACCCAATTGGTTGAAATTATTCTTAAAAATATGGCTTTTCACGTGCAAATATTAAACATTTCATGTTACAAACATGTAAGTATATACTATTAGTTTGAAAATAAATTACACAATTAATTCAACACCCTTTCAGATATACCCACCCGCATTTTTATATTTGATTATACAAAGTAAGTACCTATTACGTAGATAGAAGCTTACTTAGGACACGGCAAGTGTTTGTACTTTATTAGGGGAGATCCATAAATTATGTCACGCAGAAATCAGGATTTTCTAGACCCCCCCCTCCCCCCTATAACATGTATCACATAGGCAGGATATCATTGGAGTCTTAGACCCCCACTCCCCCTTCTCGTGTGACATAATTTATGGACCGTCCCTTATTACTGCATTTAGTGCAATTATTAATGGTCATTATGTCTCTCCATTGTACATATATGCAAAATGTACAAACTATTTGTAGAAGTGGGTCGATCACATTTTGCATCAATTGCTTATATATAAAAGTTTGGATAGCAGTACAATTTTACTCAACAACGCATGCATATATAGCATGCATATGTACATATTTACTTGCTAGGTAATAAATGAAAAGTGCTCTGTCTTATTTGTTACAATCTGAAGTAACTGGACCACGGAAAGTCATTCCACTTCTTGACCATGTGAACAGTGCGGAAAATTATGGTGACAGTTAGATTCTTGAACACCCAAGATGATGGCACGTGAATGGATGGGCAATTTATGATGGAGACCAAATTTTTGACCAAAATAAGATGTTGAAAACCTATAACAAGCAAGCACAGCTTCCAATAATATCACATATTCCGTAATACAATACTATTATGACGTAATAATAAGGTTAGTTGCTTACATGTAAATTGGCATGAAAAACTCCAACCCACGTCCTACCACTTGAGCATGTCGGTTAGAATCGCATATTACCTTCTCCATGCATTCATAATTGGCTTCTACGGACTCGATTGAGTTTAAAATATTTCTGGCCATGACATCTAAAGCTGTGCAGGGGTGCACATTTGGCTGGAATATTGACCTTCTGGTTCTCCTCAAAACTTCAGCAGATTCCAGTTCTGAAGAAATGTCATCCGTTACAACTGCCTCTCCCGACTCCCTGTCCTCGTCGTATATCTTATCTGGACAAAAGCGTAGTGTTTTCCATTTAAGAAACTTACATGAATTTATTCCAGCCATACACATATGCAGTTATGTACCTGTCTATATTATTTTACATAAATGTTACAATGTAATTTCGGGTAATACCTTTTTTTCCACCAAAGCCAGCATCAGCTTGAAGTCTTCCATGCTTTTTCTTTTTCCTCAAACCGTTCCTACTTTTCCGACCATTTCTAAAGTACGACGAGATTGAGTTGACAATTCCGGAAGCATTTGTACCAGTAGTAGTGCTTGTCGATGTTGACGTTCCTGTTCCTGTTCCTGTTACGATTTCAAGGTTTTACAATTAGTTTTTTTCAACACATGTACGTATACGTATGCATGCACTATTGACTTAATTATTCCTCAATTGGATCCTTCGTACGCATATTTATATGTCATCTGCATACTTATGTACCTGTTGACGTGCCTGTCGTAAAAAACCCAAGGAGCTGTAATGCAATTAACAATAACCAGAATGAGCAAATTGTTATCATAATTAGGACAAATGCGAATTTTGAGGTTATTTTCAAAGTACTGAAAGGAGGGATGCCAGCAAATTGATGAGAAATGCTCCGAAGGAGACGAGAGAAAGTGCGCTGAGGAGCACATCCAGAATGGAGAACGCTCCTCCTCCTTCCTTCACTTCCTCCTTGTGCTTCTTTGGTTTGGACCAACCCCACCCACCACTCGCCTCCGCCACTTCACTCCCCTGCTGCCCGTACTCGACATTGTCGTTCGTGAAACTGCTACTTTCAGGCGCATTACTGGACGGAGCTTCGGTTTTCCAAAAAAGAGAAGACAATCGTCCACGAGCAATGCGTTTTTGATGAGAAATCACCTCCGGATGATGTTGATGAATAGAGAGGTCTCTATTTGTGGTGGAGAGATTACTCGAATGGGATGACGAAGAGGGTTTGATCTTAATTTTTTGTTTTAGTAATCTAATGTCGGCAATTATGTTGGACCTACGATTGGGCACTGCATTTCGACGAATTGGACTCGCAATTATTCCTAATTTCCCAACACTGTTTTCCCTGTTGTCACATATTCTTATAAATTCTTAGAGCATTTTTATGACTGACTATTTATTTAATGAAATATTAACTTACGTTGTATAATAATCCCCCAATGTCAACCAAATTTGTGTTGCAGCAATGTAAAATAAAGCAACTTGAGAAACTAAAATTTTCATTTTTATTTTCCAACTAGTTGTAAGGTATGCCTTGGATGATAAATTGTAACCATCACTTTTTTCAATTCCCTATAATAATTCTGCTGGTGAGCAGGAGACATTTCTAAACAAGTGATTCTATTTGACGGCAGATTATAATTGACACATGTCAGCCAGTATGCATATTAAATACTTTGAAAGTAATAAAATAATTCATTTACTAAATGACTTGCTGAAATCGCATGTTTAAAATTTGCGACATTTGCAATTTAACCTAAATTAACATGCACGCATGGTTTGAAAAACTCTAATTCCGGTAACCTTTTTATGTAATTAGCAAATCTTGTGCATTTTGTACTTAACGATGCGTGAATGGAACTCATGTACTTTTTAATGTATCATCTTTTTCATGAATGATGCACTTGAAGGTTGTGTGTGGTCGTGGTCATAACAATCTTCTAATCCTAAGCCACTTGGACGACAAAAGCAATACAGGCACGGGAAATATGATGGTTGATGATAAAAAATAATAATGCTCCTAGCTTAGATTTATTATTATTTGGGCATTTTACTAGCATATAGTATAGCATAAGTATAATATAAATAGTCAAACAAAGTTATTGAGAACATTGGGAAAATTGAGACTTGCAATTAGATTCTGCAAGTCCATGCAAAATGGCATCCAAATGTTCTGTTAATTTTTTATGCAAGCCTAACTTTTCCCCAATAAAGGACGAGCTGAAGCTAAAACAGAAATATCAAAAGTCAATAACAAACAAACCCAATTTGATCTAAAAAAAAGTGAGTGAACCAACCTGAATAATGGCATGGAGTACTGAAATCCATAACCTATGACCTTCCCCTGCCGATTTCCTTCACAAAATACTTTTGGAAGACATTCGTATTTCGAAATCATTGCATCAATAGATTTCAGAACCGTTGCGGCCAACGCATTCGCAGCAGACGCTCTGTCAACGCTCAGTTCCAGCATCGCAGCACGCTTCTCTACACACACAGATTCAGATTCGCATCAACTGATCGAAAATTCTAATTTCCAATCTATTCATTAGGAAATTGGTCTTTATATGCAAAATTACTTCTGATATAAATGAAGGTTGAGGCAGGTGCAACAGTGGTTTCGCCGTCAGTCCCACCTCCAGTACCAGTGTCAATACTCGTAATAATCGGACCTATTAATATTTATTGCATTGCATTACATTTATATGTATATAACTTTGTACGTATATCCAGCTTGGGATATGAACCTGTTGATGTTAATCCTTGAGTTGTTGTAAGCTGTCCAGTTAATATAAAGTTTATTACATCAGGTAAAATATTTAGATTCGATATTTATTGGATTTCTTACAAATAAAGCATTCATCAATAAATTAAGTAGAAATATCCCAAATGACATGAAAGCCAAAGCTGTGAGGGCAATATCAAAGAACGAGTGAACTCCATGTTCCGATCCCCCCCAACCAGATCCTCCCCAGCCTGATGATCCCCAACCTCCAGAATCTCTAGGAGAACTAAAAAAAACAGACACTGTTATTTACAAATAGCTCTGTGGATTACGTATTAATAACGCAATTATTGATTTTTAATGTTGATTTAAAGTAGTGTCGCACAGAATCAAGCTTGTGTTGTGATGATACGATATTCCAAAAGATAATTTGACACTCGCTGCCAGCAGGAGACAACTTCTCCAGAACATGTTTTGTCACTGCAGATGTCTGCCTAGAATTAAATGCTTTTGCTTGGAACACAAAGCTAGAATTTCTAAGATGGCAAATCCCATATTCGTTAGAAATGCATTGCGATTTTCCACAAACTACTTGTGTCAAATGTGGATCAAGGAATGACATCGATGTGGAACATGCGTAGCTTTCGGTCGAGATAATTGCTTACAGGTAAGTGGAACATTTCCCCTTCAATCAAAAGTCACGAACTCAAAGGTTCAAAGAAATTTGCATGATGCATGCGAATATGTTTTACAAAATATGTATCCTTATACTGCTCAGTGTAGCCAACCCAGTGTTACTGTCGCTGACTATTAAAAGCAATTAAAATGTGACTAATTTTATGCGTGATGGTTTGCATTTGTCATGAAATAGTCGGTCCGAGCGTTTTCCCTTAAACATTTCTCTAACTAATGATGGAGTTCTTTAAATAGCAATAAAAACAATCATGTCAACCATAACCATGCGAGAAAATATGTGGAAGACTGGCATAATGTGAATTCTTGTGCATTTATTTGGTTTAGCAGATCAATCGTCTGATCAAAAAAATAATGACGAGTGTGTGAAACGGTCCACCAAACCGTTTGGTGTACTCGCACCAAACGCCGCATAAAATGAACCAACTTTCACCTGAGCAAGAGTGGCCAAGGGAGAAAGTTATCTGGGGCAGGGAGAGAATCTGGGGAGCTGGTGGTGGTGATGTCGGGTGGGCGGAGTCGGAGGATGGCAGCAGCAGCAAAACACGGACGGACAGTTGAAAAGCTTCCCTCCGGAGATGCGTACAATTAATAATAACAACAATAATAATCCCCTCGGTTTAACGAAAGATAAGTGTTTTTCGAGAGTTGAAAGGCAAGATGTCAGAGTTAACAAAAGTTCAAACCCCAATTATCCCGGGAGCACAAATTATTAAAGTTGAGATGCAAGACCCGGATAACCCACTACATCAACTCCATCCCTCTGAAGATGTTCCAGAACCTGAAGGACTTTCCGTCGAGGTGGAAATGACGACTCATGACCAAACTGAGGACGATGACGATGGCGAAGAAGTAGAAGAAGAAGACGATCCTCCTCCAGACGACGACGAAGAAGAGGATGAGACCCCAGCAGCACCGATAACGGCAACACCAAATCTGACGACGACAACCATCGCACCTGCTCCTTTTGCTGGAGGACGAAAACAACAATCTCCTCCGACTCAGCAACAGCAGCAACATCACCAAGTTCAGCAAAAATTTCAAGATGTTCGAGTTGATAATTGGGGAAATTACTGTTTACAGAGGTTGCAGGTTATGTTTGAAAGGGGAGATTTCTGTGATTTGACTTTACAGTTTCATACAAATCAACTATTAAAGGTTAACAGTTTTTCATCATGTGAATATCTTGGTGGGAGGGAAAGGAATGAATATCATTTGAAATTGTTCTGTGTAAATATATAGGTCCATCGTGTCGTTGTCAATCTTTGTACGGAATACTTTGCAAATTTAGAGAGATTATTTGGCCTTACGGATGGAGTCTTAGTGTTACCCAAAGATGTAGAGTATCAAGCAATGGTTACGATTGTGACGTAAGAAGGCTATTACTATTATGAATTTTTGTGCATTGAAATATGTAATTGCAAAGTTAATTTCTGATTTGTGCAGGTTTTTTTATACGGGAAAATTAGAAATTCGTGGAAATCAATTTAATGAAGTTTACAGAACGGTGAAACTTATGAACATCACAATACTTATTAAGCTCTTGGAAGCTCATGCTAGGAAACCAACAGTTCAAGCTAAGAAGGAACAAAGTCGTCCAATAATATTCAAACAAGCGGTTGAGATAGGAAGACCTTTAGCCAAAGCCCAAGTTTCGCCAGCTGGAGGTGGAATTCAAATGACAGGGACCCCTGTAAGAATAGGGGGAACGACGACACTCTCAATTGCTGGAGCTGGAGGAACAAAAACTTTGCAAGTGACAACTCCGGGTGCAAAACTTCCTCCCGGGATTAAAACTAAAACGGTCTTGGCTCGTGTACAACCTCAAGGAATGAGACTAAATCAACAAGGCGGACTTTCCAGGGTCATGCATTCCAAAAAGTAAACTCTTTACTAAAACTATTACATATTTTTGAATGTATTTGTTTTGCCAATAAGTTGATCAATCCAATATTTATCTTTAAAGATTGCCTATTTGGAAGGAAAGAAAATATCCTGGAGACAACATGATGGTAGCAGACAAGTAAGACACGTATTTAAATATATTTGAGTTTTGTAAGTTAAAGCTTTTATTATTAAATCCAGGTGGCATGGGAAAGATGAACCTGCTCGGCCGACTCGGTATGATTTTGATTGCTTTATCGATTATCTTGTATTCATTATCAAGACGTGTGTAGAAAAAAACGGGGAAAAATTATCTATTTATTTAAGTACATTTAAATGAGCGCAAGAGGAATAATAACAATCTGTTGGTTAATATAAATTCTAAGTTTCGAACGGATAATAATTTTCAAAAATTCTCATTTTAGGTTTGAATGGGGTGATCCAGATGACGATCCTCTTTCGCTTGCCCCTGCGAGCGTAATTAGCCACACATTAATGGAAAAACAAAAGTCTGCCAATAGTACTCGAAAAGTGGAAGACATTTTTGACGCTGTTAAAACACAAACTCTTGGCAAACGGAGTGCTGAAAGCTTGAAGATGCAGGGTAAGCGAATATCAAAGTTAGAATATACATATATATCTACATTCATATTAATTATCACATTGAGCTTTTTATTATTATTTTCTAATATGTTTCAGATAACCGTCCTCTTAAAACTAGTAGGATTATGATTCCGTCATCAGAAGTAATTATATCATCACAGAACGTAAATGATGATGTTAATCTTACGGACGATACTGTCGAAGAAGAAGTCTGCACGACGGAAGTTAGTATGGCCTCGTCCCTTGTAGCCAAGAATCATACTCCAACTTTGAAACCAGCAATAAAAACATTGCCTACACTTACTCGTCTCACTCCGATGGTTGGCAAGAATGATCCAAATCTTGGGGCGTTGGGAAAAAGTTCTGAGACCCCTTCATTTAGTGGCTCGAGAACCCACTCTAAGGTATGTAATGTATCATTATTTTAGCAGTCTGATTATTATCCGGATATCTTCAGTACACTACGATTTTATAATACTACTTTAAATATTATTTTCTGTCACTTTATTAGACCGTTAGATTTGCCCCGGAAGTTGAGAAGGAAAACAGTAAAACCACCAACACTCATACGGCAGAATTATCTATAGAAGAAGACATAGCTTCCAGCCATTCAAAAATTATTGCTGAAGTGTTGAAGGTATGACAGCGACGAAACATAGCCATTACAAAATATGTATAAATACCTCTGTTATATGCAATTTCCAATGTTCATATTTTTTATTTGGATGGGTGTATTTGGTTTGAGTGCAGAAGTATCCCGATCTGATCAAGGAAAAACAAAATATCAGACTCAAAATTGTTCAGAAAGGAGCAGAATCGTCCTCATCAAAAGATAAATCTAAAGTTTCATACATCGTGTTAAAGTCAACTTCATCACCTGAAGCACTTGGAGCTGTTTTGTTGAAAAAGCCAAACCACACCACTACTAATAAAGCATTCTGGGACAATAGTTTGGAGAAGGATAAAAAACCTTCTGGTGCAGAAAATACAACTGGGCCTTGGTTGTGTTATGCTGAAAACTGTAAGATGAAACAGGGTAAGTAAAGAAATATTCAGATTTTTAATATTCAAGCCCACATGGACTTGATGGCTATTATTCATTAACATTTTTATGTATTTGTAGTGTGTGGAGGAGATGATGATGAAACCCCAATGGTTTTCGAATCCTATTATGCTTATCGTCGTCATTTAGTGGTGAGTTTATATTATATTATTAGTATTGAAGGAACCAAATTTGAATTGTTATTAATGTGCAGGATGTTCATGGTGAAAGGATTGATGCACGAATATGTGAGTACTGTGGCCAGAAAGCTTCAAAACGGAATTTACTGCTGTACCATTTATATACAAAACACGGTGTCAACCCACCCAAAAATATGAATTTCCCAAACTGCGATAGATGTGAGTCTTCCATTAGTAATGCAATATTCCAAAGAATTTGATTTTAGTATGCGTTTAGAATTTTACGCATCCTTGTCTTTTGCTTCTATTGGCATCTCTTGTTTGCTTCTACATATATGATATTCATTGTCGAAAATACATTATTGTTATCCATCGCCCAATTTCAAGGTCACACTCTCTGTTACAGGTGATTATATTGCCCTAAGTGAATCTTTACTAAGCAAACACAAACTAACTCATGATGCAACAAAGGAATTCAGTTGTCAGGTATGTTCAATTGTTCACCCTTAACCAGTTCATGTATTTACTATATATAGTATTTCATTAAATAATACTATTTTTGACAGATTTGTAGTGCTTCCTTCAAATCTAGCGGAGCACTGCAAGGTCATATGTCAGCTAATCTTCATAGAAATAAAGATACAAAAGTTTACGAGGTGAGATATTAGTACCCAGTGGATATCTTAACTTGTCTAAACTTAATCTACAATTCCTGCTTTTACTCTTTCAGTGTCCGTACTGCAGAAAACCATTTGTTAGAAATATAAATTTAAAGGTAAGTAACATACATATAACAAACTCGACACGGTTTGATAATCTGTTCTGAATTGAATTACTCATTTAGGGTCATATACGATCATTACATCGAGATATTGCTCGAATAGAAGAAATGGATGACCCCCGTCTTCCACATGACGAAACACTAGTTAATCGTGTCAACATGTCATTTAATACAGCAAACCGGAAACGCCAATTTCCTTCAATTCTTGGGTCAAGACCTGTTCCGTTGGAAATACTTCCTGGTGATGGTCAACAACAAGTCAGTCTTGTCACAGCGGATGGACATACTATCGAAATTCTTCATGGTGGTTTGGATCCCTCCATGTCCGTACCAATGGCACTTGTGCCGTCGTCTGAAGGTACATACATCACAATCACTATCTTCCTAATATGCTATTTCAACTCATAACTATTTATTATTATTTATATTTGATTGATATACTCTAGCTGAAGCGATGTCTAATGTCGCAAGTTCTATTGCTGCATCTCTTGGCCTTGAACAAGGCGTCCATGGAACTACAGAGTTTATTACTGGTGATGGATCTCAAGCAGTGTATATTATGGATAATTCCCAGCCTGCTGTTGAAGTTGACATGTCCGCCATGGGATTGGGAGATGGAACTATGATATATGATGGAGACGATCCAAATTCACAAGGACCTTTCATAGTGCAAGATATTCATGGGAAAATATTCCGTAAAATGACGGGCATCGATGAGACGGGAAAACCGGTAATATTCTTCCAACTTAGCGAAGACCATGGTCAAATGACTAATAGCATTCTTGAGGATGGTATTCAAATGGCAACAGAAAATAGGTACAATATTTTATGATAGACTTCTTGTTAGTGACTAATATATTTATTTTTCATTGTTGACATATTTTTTATAGCTCTGTGTTTGTTTCCTCCGATGTTAATGTACCTGTGACATCTGACAGCGGAAGCGGTGAACCTGACGACGGTGTTTATGACTTGGTTTCAAATCAGGACCAAGAATCTCAAGTTATCATTTCTCATCCGGATATGACGAACTCTGATCATGAAGGAGAAGAGGTAAAGGAAGAGGTTTACGAAGAAGAAATCATTCAACAACACATTGAATCTAGCAGTAGTAGTAGTGAGGTTCAAGAATTACACGTTGTTCTTGAACAAAATACTAGTGATAATGCTGCGACCGCGCTGCAAGGTGAACACGAAGCATCCTCACGGGCCGATCACCTCGATGAAACGTATTCGCAGCATGCTGAAGATAATGATCAAGAAACAATGATTGACCACGGTGAAAATGAACAATTTCAAGGAGATGAAAGTAATGTTATGATAGTTGCAGAACTTGATGAGGATCACCATCATCATCATCAGTCTGTAAGCAGTGCAAAAGAAGTGGAAGCAGGGAATGATACAAAGGTGGGGGTGGACGATTCTCAGGTCAGAGCTGAGCAGGAAGAGGATACTCAATTAGTACAAGAAGACAACATTCACGAACAACAAACACAAGTTGTTGAGGTTGATGAACCTCAGGTCTCAGAGACAGAGACGGAAGAACCAGAGTTAGTTGTTGAACAGCAAGTTGTGAAAGAAGAACAGTAGACAAACTGTCTGTCACAGACACCTCGTTCGTAGCTTAACTGAATTATAATATATATGACCAGTCAACTCGTTTTGAATTTTGATAGATATGTATGTATTTACATTTATGGTCCTAACTTTACAATACCACAAATACAATTATTGTTGTTGTCGTGCAATTAAGTCAATAGGTAGGTTTGAATTTAAAAACTAGACTAGCTCTGGATCAAGTACTTTTAGAATAGCCATCATAAATTTCGGGCTGATTTATTTGAAAGTATATGACCTTGTCTACACAATTAGTTTATTTTTGTCTTTATGATGCAACTATTATCATATATGTCTTAATCTCCGACATTTTAATTACTACTACTACGTTCCAAACCCATAAGTAATTACTATATTGTTATATTGCGTAGTACTAGAAAAACTTGAATAAACCATGATCTTTAAAAAGTTTCGTTAACCTCTAAACATATTTGTATAATGTTTTTATCTGCGGTTGGGGGAGGATATACAACTTAAAATATGTAGTTGCTATACGATGTTACTGCTTTGGCGTTCTAATATTTCTTTGGTGGTGGGGTTGTCAGCTTCCCATGGTCTGGGCCCTCGCTTGTTCTCCCAAGTGTCAATATCCATGTTTCTCAGTTTGTCATACTCTTTCTCGATAGACACATCCGACTTTGCCTTCATCGTCACGCCCATTTCTTCCGCTTCTTCCCGACTCAAGGGCTTCTGAGATCGATAGTCGTACCTTTAAAATACAAGTACAACTTTAGTAAGGCCTTCTTGACAATATACTTATTCACTGTATTATGTAATATGATTATGCATGAAAACTTGGCGTGATAGGATTAGGAATACCTAACTTGTGAAAATTGACGAAGACCAAAGGATCCACCTATGATTAACACAAAAAAGGGGAGCCCAAAAGTGACCAGTCGGCTTTTTCTTGCAAATTTCTTCCACTCCGTCATTTAAAATTTGAATTTAGAAAAAAACTGTTCAACAACAAATAACACCGCCAATCGGTTGCATAATCTCACAAACAAAATAACTAAATCATAATTTCAGTGTCTAACATGGATGTATAGTGTCTAATAAGATTATTAGCAATGAACAATTAAGGTGTATTTGTATTTCATAATTCACAGATGCGGTTTCATGATGATAAAAATCAAACAAATTTAAATATTGCTGGGATCGTTCAATTTTTGACTAGCTTCACTTAGTTAAGGGGTCCAAATCTACTGTAATCGCTTGTTCTACTGTGATAACTCTGTCTGTAAAGAGTGAGAGATAGAAATTATAGAGAACTTAATCGAATCGTAAAGTTCACAAGATCACGAGTATATGTTATTCATCAGCTTCAAATGTGTTCATTAAGCGCTACGAAGATTGGGGTTTCATGAACAACGTTGGACTAAAGAATTTTATTCCTGAAAGCAGAATGACAATTTTTACAAGTTTTTTCAAAGAAACTATAACTAATAAAATTTAACGCAAGTTCTCACATGAATAAGCTACTGTCGACACATTACATTTGTCTATATAAGTATACATACATATAATAATGTTATACAAGGGCCTACATAATGTATGATAGATTTACAAAAATGAAAGCGTGCATAAATAGCACGTTTATGAATAAACAGCAAATATCCAAGTATACCAATATTTCAATACTAATTAATAACCGTTTCAGAGTGTATCTATTAATTACTGAAATATTACAATATTAAAGATACATGTCAAAAACTAACAAATATTCCAAGATCTGTTAAATTTACAACACAGCACAACCGTTATATTTTATATTTGATACCGACACATTCATAAAATCCAAGTAGGGACCAGATCCCTAATTGATTATAATCATTATTAGTCCAAACTATTATCAGGAGCGTCTTCGTCATAATCGTCATCAGCGTCGTCAATTACTCCTTTCAAAGAGGAGTCGCACAGAGCCAGTTGATTGACGAATATTTGGCTATCCTCTCGGAAGAGCAGCATGCTAAATTTTATTTTGTAATTATTATCAATCGCGGGATCCCTCGACAGCCCAAACATCTGCTCAAATAAGCCCGCCTGTCTTCCTGTTGCATCTGGCTGATGCACGGTGCCTGCTACCATTATTTGAACTAATCCGTGTGGATTCATCTGAAAATTGAAGAATTCACAGTGAGTTATAAGAATATATGGCACAACTAGTAATTTTGGCAGATGAATTACCTTACTACGCAATCCCGTTAAGAGGTTCGGATTGAAAAATAATTTGTCTTTTGATCGGAGAGAATATAGTTCTTCAAAGCATCGCTGTCCATCGTTGAGGAATTCTGTTACTTTCCCATTTTGAAGACCTTTCGCTGCGTATTCTATGCGAAGATTACACTCACCCCAAAAGTGAGCCGAGATAAAATCAACTAAAGAATTGTATCTCTCATAATACCATTTAGTAAATTCATATCCAAGTCTTTGTTCCAATTCTTGTTCTCTTCGTCTCAGTGAGACTTGATTTTCATAATTTATCCGTTCAATTTCTTCTGCAAGAGCATTCGAAACCAAAGCTATGTCTGTACATGGATCAGTATTGATTCCTATCTCACACGTAGTGACCATTCGTCGCGCTTCATCGTGAGAATTCTTTGTAGCAACGACATTGTTAGTAGATGTTAGTTTATCACCATCAGTGGGAAGTGGGGCAGGGGTGCTCTGGCTAATAATTTCTTTTTGTTTCTTCACTTCTGCTGACGGACACGGATCTTCTTCCAACTTTCGTTTCGGTTCGCTAATTCCAGAAGTCGAAACCGTCGCTTCATTATCTAACTTTGGCTTCGTCTCTTTCTTGAAGAAACCTTCGATATTGGATTGACTTAGAAGAGGCTTGGTTTCCTTTGTTATTGGTGATGTCAATGGAGTTGATGTTGAAGCTGATGGTCTGGAGGCAGTACTTGCAGGTTTAAACTTCTGTAAATAATTAATGTCCAATAGTAGTTGAAGTTAGTATATTCATGTTGTAAAGCTGCACTTTTAATGTTCCCCCGACATAAATAGATTAAAAACTAGGAATGGACAAACCTTAAGATCTTCTTGGAATGCAAGCTTCTGCAATTGGTCATCCTGAGCATACTTCCAGGTTTTAAGAATAAGCTGACAGAGAGTCGTCTTGTTGGCTTGTGTGCTGAATTGAACGTTCTTCTTTAATAAATATCTCATAAGACAATCTTTGGTAACTTTCCGACGATTTAAAACCGATACTGCGTCAGACCACTTAATAATTTCTGTAATGGCTTCTGTAATACACAAAACATAAAGACGACATAGATTATCATGTCTGTTTACAGCTTTATTGATTCAAATTCATACCGTCCTTGGACTGTTTTCCAACAAGTCCGCCAGTGGTGGTCTTCAAAATTGCAAATACATCTGCCTCTACTAGAATTCCCAGGAACTCTCTAACGCCGGCGGTCGTTCTAGCGTCGTCACCAGACATCTTGAGGTATTACTATTAAAATGGGCGACAATGCAATTAAATTGCTTTACACATAAAAATATGTACATTACATGAAGAAGTACCAATGAGTAAACGTAGGCTGATTTTATAAAAGCAAGTTATTACCAAATACCGGAGAAAATCGTGATCAGAATAATAAATCCTCATTGACAGGAAGTTCGAATTCAAATGAAAATATTAATATGGGTTTTTGATTGTTTTACATTCACCAACAAGAAAGAAAATAAATAAATAAATAGACATAATAAAAAGGATTGCAAGTTTATAACTGTGAACTGTGAACTGCGACTTACCTAACACCCTAGTTTCCAGAGAATTTGGCAGCTCCAAGTGTTCTGCCAGCAAGGCACAGGGAGACGACGTTCAAACGACAAGTATGATGACCAAATGACCGTGAATAATTACAAGTAAATTACAAGAATATTAATTGCGCGACGTTCTTCTTGAGCGGCCTGCGTGCTCGTGTGCTGCAGCATGGCTTCCTCCTTCCCTCTGGAATATTGCTCTGGCGGAACGAGCAGTCTCAACGCACCCCATTTTCAATCCACAGCATTTCAAAACAATGCCAAAGGAGCAGCAAAACTAAACAATAAACCAACTAACTAACTACAACTAACTTTAACTGCTTTAGTTGCTGCCTGCCTTTTTGATCAGCTAAATAATAGGAAACTTTTACCCTCTGGAGAACATCTCGGAATTAAATCCAAAGAAAGGAGAAGGGTTCAAAATAAAGTTTTGAGTTTGTATTGAGACTGAATATATTAGAAGTAAGTAAAATAGTTTTCATGATTTCGGCTAAAGATCTGTTTTTAATTAATTAATTACTACTATTAATTGTTTTTGTAGTGAGCGACTCGGATCCACCACCACCACCATTTTTCGAAAACAATGAACGAGTAATAATAATAGCAGTGAATATTATTATTTTGAAACAAAATATTGTATAATGATAATAATTCTGTGCAGGTCCTGTGCTTTCACGGTCCGTTAGTTTATGAAGGAAAAACTTTAAAGACGGAATATCGACAACCCATAAAGGAATATGCATATTTGGTATGTACATTATTACTATATCTGTCCCCATACTTCAGTACATCATCATTTCCTCTTATCAAATCAATTTTTTGTATTTTGATTCTTCAGATTCACTACGCAGGGTGGAATAAAAGGTACTTGACTAATATTATTTTTAGCTGGAATTGTGATTTTACATTAATATGTATAATTAATTACATTTTGTTATAAACCAACGCAGTTGGGACGAATGGGTGTTGGAGTCAAGAGTTTTAAAGTACACTGACAGCAACTTGGTTCGTCAGAAGGAACTGAAGTTAGCACACGAAGAACAATTGTAAGATATGGCCATGCTAGAATAGAACGATGTGTGGAATGTTAGTATTATTTTTCTTATTTTTTTAGACGCAACAATAGAAAATCTCTTGTAGTAAAAACACCAGTAAATAAAAAACGGTCAAATGTCGGGAGTGACACTGCTAGCGTCATATCCGCTTCAGATTCTAGATCATCAACCCCCATTATGGATCAAAAGGTTGCAAAAACGGGGAAACGAGACTCTATTAAAAATAGTGACGTTGGGGGTGAGGAATTTGCCAAGAAAAGAAATCGAAGTGAATGTGTGGAACAGGTAATAAAATTATGCGAACCAACGAGAAAGTTGTTCTTTGGTTTGTTCAATTATCTGTTTGGCGTATTTCAGGAATCAATTTTTCAAGTGAAACAGGAGGTTCAGATTGTACTACCTCATCAACTGAGGACATTTTTGGTGGATGACTGGGATAACGTCGTGCGTCAGCGAAGAGTATAACGACAGTTTACTATTTATGATAATAACATTGTTCAATTTAATTAATAGTACATATCTAATCGCTTAGCTCGTAAAGCTGCCAGCACGCCATTCGGTTGAACAAATTTTGGAAAATTATTTGAAAACCCGAAAAAAGACTGATATGCATGCAGTAGAACTTTGTAACGGACTCCGCGAGTACTTTAATTGTATGATTGGCTCTCAATTGTTGTACCGTTATGAAAGAGAGCAATTCCTTGAGGCAAGTACAATATAATTTGACACTCACCAAATGACGAGTCAAGGTAGCTACAAAATTAGTGATCTAATTACCTTAACTGAAATTTTACTCAGATCTGGAAGACGTATCAAGGGCCGGCAGCTAAGAAACAAATGTCAGAAATATATGGCATTTCTCATCTCATGCGTCTATTCAGTAATAATCGGAAACTATAAAGATACAATTTCCATATTATGTTAGGGATTGATGTGCTGGCAGAAAATAATTCATTATACTTTTTCTTTAGCCAAGCTGGGTGTTTGTTTGTCATATACTAGCTTGGATGTCGAAGCTGTGAACCTACTGCAACAATGTGTTGAAGAATTTCTGACGTATGAATATAGCATAAAGATATAGTAATACAGTTTTCAACTATATTTAACGCTTATTTTCTATAAAGGTTTCTTGTCAAGAATTATGAAGATTACTTTTCATTGGAGGATTATGGAGTGTCTGACCCTGAGTACCAACGGCAAGTTCCAGTTTAACCTAACCTAAAGTCAAAATCGTTTCATGACAAATGAATTTCATTTTTTACCATTCTTTCTGCATACCTTTGCAGATTACTATTTAAAATTGTAAATGAGTAAATCACGACTTTATATTTAATAAAGCGTCGTTTTTATCTTTTATCTAATATGAGAAAAATGGGTGAATTAATTTATTATAATGTATAACCGAATTAATAGCATTCTCCGACTTCATATCCACATATCGATGATTATCCTATTCATGACCGAAACATGCATAAAAAATTTATTGTACAAAGTCCTTTGCGCCTCACAGTGGGAATTAATTGGAATGAGTAAATGAATTTTTTGATTTTTTTAAAAGTATGCCATTTCTTCTAGCGAAAAGTTATGAATCCGCAAAAAGTGTAAATATGAGACAGTCCCGTAAAAATTTTGGGCCTATGAATAGTTGTTGAAAAGTTACACCATCGACTAGTAACACGATTCATGTGCAATGAGAACTATTGAGAACCCACCCAACGACAGAAAGTGTGGTGATGTTCTGTGTTCTCTATAACTAGCATTGATCACACGTATGAATAATTCAATATGCAACGATGGTGTGTGTACATGAACATAGCCAACCCCCCTGGCTTCCTTTTCTGGCTTAGTTCCCCTGTTATTTTGGGTCGTCTGTGGTGGTGTCTACATATGCTTGTTTTCTTGCTTGGCGTTATTGGTACTCTTTTCTTGCTGCTCTATTCTAAGTTTATCCTTTCCGACTCTTCTCTGATCATCAGTAACAGCAGCAACAGGGCCAAGTCTTCTTCAGCTTGTGGTCTCCGTGCCTTGTCACTCTCTCTTCCTCTCACTACACACATCCTTCAGGTTGGTCCCACTTTCCTTGCACCCCACCCCCCACTGTGTATACCAAAATTGAGAATTAAGACCTCTCCCCAGATTTTCGCCTACCATAAGTAGGCGAAAAAATTAATACCAAAACTTAACGAAATGCCAAAGGGCACGCGTGGGAGGGAAATAATCTTCCGGGAACTCATTTTTGTCAGAAATAATTAATTTTTCCTGTCCATTTAAAGGAAGTTTATACTCTGTGGTAGTAAGTTTTGTGTGAAGCTCAAAGCTGCATAGAAAAAAATAACTTGGAAATCAATTGAATTGAACGTGATATAAAGTCAGGAGAAATGCAAATGCTTTGATCTGAGAAAAGTCTGTGTCCCGGAAGACACTTCTCCTTGTGCAACGCATGAATCTATTTTTAAACTGAAAGTGGTCTCATATTCGTTTATCGTGGAAAGTGTTTCAATTTTCCTCAATTTTCATTTTCTGCTATTTTTACAGTTTTTTGGTGTGAGGTCAGTCTCCAAAAAAATCAGCCAAAATGGACGCCATCAAGAAGAAGATGCAATCGATGAAGCTGGGTGCGATACAAAAATTTAAAATGTTGTGTGATTTATTTACGTATATCAGTCTGATCTTTCCTCCCATGAAGGGCAAAATATTTCTTATTCATTTTATCCGTAATATGTGTGTACAGAGAAGGACAATGCCATGGACCGGGCTGATCAGATGGAGCAGACCGCAAGAGATGCTAATGCTCGTGCTGACCGTGCCGAGGAGGAGGTCCGCAATTTGCAGAAGAAGATCCAGCAAATTGAAAATGAGTTCGACACCTGTCAGGAACAACTCATGGCTGCCAACACCAAGCTCGAAGAGAAAGAGAAAGCTCTTCAGAATGTAAGTTCATGACCCTTTTTTCCTTATTTGGGCATATTCGAGTTGCATACTTTTCCACGGTCCAAAAGTGAGGGGTTTACTACGAATTTTTCATTAGATTCCTAAATATTATGCAGAGTCGTCATACATAAGAGCACTTAATACTCTCTCAACAAATTCATAACCAATTCGTAACTGACCTTGGTATCTTTTCTGTATTGGTAACAATTACGTATGTGGAATTCGTGTAATTTTACAACTTGTTAAATTTAACTGGAAGAAACATGTAGAATACATATTATCTACTAATCCCATGAGAATCAATTACATAATTTGATGACCATGCATATATGCATGCAATAAATGTCATAAGTTCTAGCTCTCGACACAACTTGCATAATGGTCAATTTGTGACCATTGTGGGCAAACACCAAAAGCTTTAAGGATGGATATGTTTGATAATAATTACATCAAATCGAATGTGACGCGAATTAAGTTAGTTTTTGGTATGGAGTTATATAATTTGGATTGTCAGGGTTGAAAATAGCAAGCATAACCATGTTATTATGCACACAAAAGTATTGATACTGAGGAGGTTGCAGGAGGTACACACATCACGTTATGAATTGGACGTAGTGCAAGAAAGGCAATGCGGCAATGAGGAGATCATATCGATAATTAATCTTGAATCCGTACAAACAAAATGATTACGGATGCTTTCAACTTGGAAATACTTCTTTAAATGGTCATACATTGTCACTTTTGACATTTCTACCTTTGCTTTGCTCGCCTTGTGCCTTGGCGTTTGGCTTGACACAAACCTTTTTTCATGGGTAAATATCTATGTACGTACAGGGACGTATTAAACAATGTATTATGTATTGTTTTTGATGAGATCAAAGAGTTTCTGCTATTGCTGTTGACCTCAATTTATTTTCAAACATGTCCATTTGAAACCCAAATTGGGTAAATACACAATAGCGAAGGATATGGAGTACAAAATTATCATTCATAAAAAATGCGTTCTTTTTGTCCATACACGTACAGATGACACAGATGTCATCATTCTTATTTTAAGGTTTCGTCTACTGCATGCAAACGACTATTACTTATATCCAAATCCAACATGAGTATTCGGGAATGGAAATACACACATAGGAGGAGAAGAAAGTGTTTTGCCTGGTTAATTAAATGGTTCAGCAGGATATGCTCGGAGGAAATGGAATGGGAGCAAAAGAAAAAGAAACAGTTTAAACATAAACTTTACAACTCTTCTGCACCAAAAGGTTTGCAGGAGCGCATAGTATTAGCAAATAGCAGAGCTGATTCATCTGAAATATGTGGGGATGCACAAACCCAATGTATTTTTAGAAGAAAATCTCATCTCCGTGAAATTTTGGCAACTTTTCCAATTCTACGTCATCACATCCCTTTTAAGGCCATGTGCCGGAGAATCGTATTGTAATTTAGACATGTAAGCATACCAATCATACCCACCCCCTCCATATTATTGGCATCTTGAATTTTTCACCGTCAGATATGAAATGAACTGACCATTCCATATTTTTGCTCCATTATAAACTGAGCTTAATTGCAATTTGCAGTTGATTTTGTATTTAAGAAATTAGAAGCTAGTTAGGTTTGACCCAGTAAAATCATGTAAAATTCGTAAAAAAATGTAGAAACAAGAGTTAAATAACCATCAATTCTGAAGGGGTTCTTCGTGAAATTCACACATTTATCACTTTGAAATCTTGGTTCGGTCGCTGAATATATTGACTTTAACCGAAGAGTCGTGCTCGAACCGAATGAAGAGGAGCTAGAAAGCTGAACGATCTCTGAGTTTAAAAATAACTCACCCTGATTTCTGTCGTCGTTTCGAAAGCGTATGTTGGTAACATAATTGTGCATTTTAGACATATGCGATTATTGAGGCTAGACTAGGCCTTATAAATACGCCTAATTTCTCTGAACAAATGACTTATAACAGCATTCATTCCAGCGTTTTCAACACAATATTAAAGAAAGGATAGGACAGTCTCCGACATAACTTGGTTTCAAGATTTTAGAAAACATTCACAAAATAACCCGAGAGAACAGAGATAGGCTAAAGGGGGGAGCCAGCATCAGAACGTGAGGGGCTGGCTGGTTGGTTGTTTAGTGGCTGGGAGAAGAATGTCCATGCTTTGTTGGATTGTAACTTTGCAAGTGCTCGAAAAAGTGCATGGTTCAAGATGCTGTATTATGCATAAAGTCATAGAAAGATTTCGGAGAGCAGTAATGTGGCGTGTGTGTGCGGTATCCGACACCCGGTTCTCACTCTCGCCCTCCAAAGTAATGCCCACATGATGTCCAATGACGATGTTCAGTTTCAATCTTCTCGTTAAGGCTTCGCTTCTTCTCTTCTTCCGTACTCTTCTTTTTTATTTATTTTTTGTAAATTTACACTTATTTCGATCCCTACGGAACTTAATCAGTCAGTAGTAACCTTGCCTAATCTAGTACAGCATTAGTGGAACGTAAAGTGCAACTTAAATTACTTCACATTTGTCAGATCCCTTGTTTCCACTGCATGAGAACATTTACGTCAACCTATGCATTTGGAAGAAAGGCTTGATTGTTAAAAATTTCTGATATCCAAATGTCCCACACGCGTCCTGTATGAGACTGAGCATTTAAAAAAATATAAAAAAAATATATACGACGACAATATAACGAACAATCCACAGTCCTCCCTTCATAGATAATTCCATTTTGGAACTTTATCATTCCGGTTCACCACATGAGTTATAAATATAAACCACACACGAAAACGAACGACTTGACGACTTACAATTAAGTTATATTTCAACGAAAATCAAGATAAACTAATAATAAATAAGGATCGACCCTACCGCAAGCACTTTGCTGTCAGGCATACACGCATATATCGACGGTGGCCATATCAAGATAGTGAATCATTGTTGGGTCGATTATAACGGCACGAAGCCATGAACAAAAGATAAGGATTTCATGGAATAAAGAAACATTTATATCTCACGGCATTTGGAAAATCTGGACAAAATGCTGACAGAATCGATTCTGTTCATACGGTGACAGCGTTATTTATCCTTTTGACATCTTCATCTCGTCCGCATTTATACACCAACGAAGGAGTTGCATGTTGTCAACAGTATCAGAGTTAGTTGGTTAGTAAAAACGAAGTGTGTGTAAAGAAATACTCTCGACGTGAGCAAAATCAGCATCATCCTCATCATTTTTACAGCAAGTGATGGATCTTCTTCAGCAAGTATAACGGCACAACCCCCGAGTGGACCAATCCATACCCCGTAAATAAACTGCCTGTGATAAAATACACTCTGCTACATATGTTAATTGACTTGAAAAATGAAGTGGAGAATCTTGCTTTGACGCTGATTTCCTTCGCAATTGTAGCTGCTTCTGGTGCTAATTTGAAGCTATATTAGGTCAACATGTCCGCTGAGGACGAGGACAAAGTTCCTACAAGTGACCGTCAAAGTCCAAGGGATATTCTTACCACCGGCAGCAACGTGCAACCCGGGTTTTGTGTGAGTGAACAAGAACATGGTGAATCCTCGTCTAGTGGTGGAATAGCAACTCCTGCAGAAGGAGGGGGAATAATATCCACCACAGTAAACCCCCATAACCGGACTCGTGAAACTGTGCAGAAAGTATACCAAATGTTGGAGAAGCACAAGGCGACATCGAGTGAGAGCAAATTTGAATCCTCGTCGTCGTTCCTCCTTGACTTTGATACTCCTCCACAAACTAGTTATGGAAAGTCAGCGTCGGCTGGCTCTGGCAGGAGTAGCAAGCATCACCATCAGCAACAAAGCACTGGTGGTAATGGCAAAGGAAATGGCAGAGGAAGCTACAACAATAGCAGAACAACGTCCAGATCTCGGTCTGGATCATCGCTCGACGCTCTGGGCTCTGCGGGTGCTATGGGCAGTCGACGACATAGCGGGTCCCCTGCCGCACCCTCCCATGAGAAATGTGATACTGTTGACAATGAGACTGATGCCACGGGGGAGGAGAAACTCGCCCAATTGCGATGTCCAAGTGAAAGGACTGAGGTCATCGCTGACAGAGAAAAACGGAGGCGGAAACGGTGCTCTGATTACCCAGGATTTGCATTCGGCTTCGGATCCGTTTTTGGGTCGGATACGATGATGAAGTTTAGCATTATCAGAAATGAACTTGACAATGTTACCAAAGTCCAACTGAAGAGGGTACGTACATTACATTTAAGAATTGGGTCCTGGGTCGTTAGTGAAAACTCGAAATACTTTCTCCTTTCGTTACGATAAAATCAGTATGCATACAAAATGTTTCTTTTGATATTTAAAAAATCTGTTGAAATAATTTAATTTTACATGCGTGCACGATGATCTCGTGAAATTGTAATCATGCGTATTCCAACGAAATGTTACCAGTGCTACCATCCGTAAGAATTTCATACGCTATTTCATGGGGGACAGGAAGTTGTGACTCTACACATGTTGCTGGAATCGGCGCTCATTAATTACTAGACAGATGTCATATAATGTTGAACTACATTGCATTTTAATTATCAGTTCCATGAGATTTCTATGCATTCAACGATTCAGCCCATTTTTATTTCGAATGCCTTCAACTCAATTGACGCACATCTCATTCATTCATTACTACACAAATCACATTGGTGGTGTATTCCTCCACCCCAAAGTTAGACTCGCTGTGTAAGTATTTATTTATTTATCGCCCCTCACAGGAGCCGTGTGTTTTAACACCCATACACCTGTGTAATCCACCTGAAAATTAATTGACATCCACCCAATCCATCTCGAATTCAACCGGAAATGGTTTGATGGACATGCTTCCACTTGTTTATCCATCAACATTTCCCACTAAAAACTTCTGCTGGGCATTCCAAAATAATAATATTGCTCCTTTGCCGATCATGCATTTATATTTGAGAGTCACAGTAGGTGTATGCTTGGAGGAAATGGTGGGGATGTGGTGTGCGGGATAGCTCGTCTATTGGGTTCATTCTGCGTTACAACATTTCTGTCGTATATGCTTTGCATTGGATGTAGTCCACTCCCTGAATGCAGTCCGGCATCCTCGAATAAAAAATCCTTGTGATCTCGTCTAAACATTCCTCTCGCAAGTCTCTCCGTAGTCTGTCTGCCTGCCTGTCACTAAAACATTATTGTTTTATTGTCAGTCCAACGTTGACCGACCGTCAGTTCTCTATATATCTAATAGAAAAGTAGTTAGTTAATTTTGTTACTGCCTTTAACGGCATCAGACATAAGCTTAGCCACACACAAAACCTGAGATCAACTTTCGCGTTGCCAATAATAATAATACTACTGCCGAAATCACATCGAACAATCTTTAACTCGAGTTATAATTCACAGTTGATCTTCACCAAAGTGTTCGAATCCTGCATACATACTTAATTAAATACGATAAAAAAGAGTTGTGAGATTTATCTCAATTAAGCCATATTAAGTGATAAATTAGCTCGTTCGTAAGTAAATATCCTCCAAGAAAAATGGCCACCATTCAGCAAGGGGGGTTGTTGGATGTCCTCAAGAAGAAAATGAGGCAGACGAAGGAGGAAATGGAGAAATATAAGGACGATTGTGAAGAACTTCAAAAAAAGTTGCACCTGGAAGTTATGAGACGGGAAGAAGTAAGCAATTATTTTCAGCTCACTCATATTTTGAGAGGAGAAAGTAGAAACTATGTCGACCGGTGTCTGTAGTTGGTTTGGTTTCACTCATTTGATATGATTTGATATGGCGAACAAGGAATACAATCCACATTTGTCATGGGTAAACCGTTGAGAAAACTAAATAATAATAATAATAGCCGGGCTGTTAACTATTTCCACGCTAGAAGAATCTTTATTCTCTATTTATGTAGAATTGCTACACAAAAGTGATAAAATGAATATAAATGAATATAACTTTTCCTAGTGGCCCGAGCGGCAGCCGGCATTCATGGGTGATAGTTTGTTTGATAGCAGCATGACCAAATCAAGCAAATAAATTGTTGACTGATAATTCATTGGTTTTACTTCAATCGCAGGGTTACTGAGATTCATTTATACTTTTTTGTAAGGTATTGTTTGACCTGTCTACACAACTTTTACATATTTGCAAGAAATCAAGTTCAGTCAAAGCAATGAAATTACAACTAGTATTATTAGATTAGAGCGTCAAATGTCAAGCTGGTCTAATTTCATTCTAATTTTGAACTTAAATTGTAGTTCTTTTGAAATGAAAGTTACATATTTTTAACGAATCTTAAGATTCCAGAGGTCGCGTGTTCAGATAAATATTTTACCATATAATATGCAGTGGTGTCACTTCGAGTAATAAGAATTCAGCTAGAATTGTCAATGACATCATCATCCGAATCCTCGATTTCACTCTTTGTCGAGCGTTAAATTACTTAACCACACCACCACACTTTGCAGCTTTGTATGAACTCGAAACTTAGGCCCCGTTGAAGTGCGCATATATTGTTGCTTATCTTATCTCACAATCCCTCCTGTGCAACAACAACATTACTTGCAGATAATTATGAAAAGCGTTTCCGTTTTACAGTAAATCCTTCGTTTACTCACTCATTGGCTTATATTCCTCAATATGCAAGTTTCGCTCTCTACATTGAAGAAACAGTTTCTAGTTTCTTAATTATACATGAAAATCGTTTACGAAAAAGTCATTCATGAATTTTGGTACTTTTTCACACGTGAATCAATTTAGTACTCATTTTGTTCATGGATCATCCTTGTTGAAAACTTTTGTGTAGTCTGATACAAAAGAGAGACAAATCATTTAGACGTGACACAGGCATGTTAAAATACTTTTCCGGTGATGCAAAGGTACACAAAATGTATGACACTCTGAGTGAGTCATCATCATTTTGGTGAGAGTTGCATTCTTTTTCTCATCGTATTCATCATATTAGATGACGAACTATTTAGCATTTTTGAGTAAATATTGTTCTTCATTCTGCAAGCAATGGTTTCTTTTCTTTCTATTTTCTCATTACATTCTTTCGTGCCCCTTCAAGGCTAAGGAGGGGAGGTTGTGTACTATCAACTCCCGGATCTCGATGCCCTTTGGATATGTTGTAGTGTCCGATGAATGTACAACAACCCTGAAGTGGTTTGATTCCATGGCCACATTTGCGCCCGCCACACCCACTCAAATGTGCCCAAAAATCGCTTTCACTCCAGCTTTCACTCATTCAAATCCTCGCCAAAAATCCAATTTTACTCCGATTTTGAAATTTCTTTCACCATTGTACTCCCAGATAGTTGCTTTCTTATTTCCAACATCAAACTCAACTTTTTTGATGATTATTGCCCAGGCATAATTTGCTTTGTTGATTACTACAACAATGCTCATTCAGAATTTTAAATTTTAAAAATACTAAAAATTCCCAAAAGCTGAGTTTGATGTTGGAAATAAGAAAGCAACTATCTGGGAGTACAATGGTGAAAGAAATTTCAAAATCCGAGTAAAATTGGATTTTTGAGATGGATTTGAGTGAGTGAAAGCTGGAGTGAAAGCGGTTTTTGGGCACCTTTGGGTGGGTGTGGCGGGCGCAAATGTGGCCATGGAATCAAACCACTTCAGGGTTGTTGTACATTCATGGGACACTACAACATATCCAAAGGGCATCGAGATCTGGGAGTTGATAGTACACAACCTCCCCTCCTAAGATAGTTTTGCTTCCCCATTGTTATTTGACTCTCAGGGTTATTTGAACAATAACAAGTGTTAAGCATATTTGTTGATTTTTAAACATAACTCGAGAATAGAAGTAGCGCCTGTGGACTGGTGACGTTCCAAATTTCTCGACTCGAAAATCTGGGACTAATCATAAAAATAATTTGAACTCGATATTGTAATTTAAGACTCTTACACGAAGATGCATGTGCCTATCTTTATTAAATAGGAGCTGAGCAAAAGCAAAAGTTTTGATATAGAGGTTGAGGTTGAGCGTTATGAAATATGAAGAATTCCTTTTTTGGTCATAGACCTGTTGTACATAATCCTGCCTTGTGTTAACTTCATGCACATTCTGCGAATTAACAATGCAGCAGAATAAACTAAGAGATAGAAATCCTGGTAGGCATATGTACGTGGTATTATTTTGGCTAAGAAGAGATAACCTGTCCTCAGTGGGCTTGTTATTATTATGAAATCTGAAATCATGCTGCATATTCCCAATAACAATGGTGGTAATACATACAATGCATATTTAGATAGATGTACATATGCTCGGAGGTGCAGGGTAGTGGAATGCGGACAATTAGTTATCTTGCGCATTATTTTTTAAATGTTTTTCGATTCTTTAACAATTCCGAAGATTGACTGGTGGTTTTACATTTCTGGATATTGAGTATTGAATCGAAAACTATTTCAGCTGATTCAATTTTATTGAAAGATAATGAAATTCTTCAAGTGAAATGTTACATACAACGTTTGCTATTTAGCATAATAATCATTACAAGAGGATTTAGTGTTATTGAATTGGTAAATATTTTTCATTTGTATGAATGGAATGCTTTAGTTTGAAGGTCTTGATGCCAGAACATCAAATTATAATTCGGAATACCAATTTAGACGACAAAATGAACAGACACAAAAGCCACAGTTAAATTTATTTATGATTTTAATCTCATTCTTATCCTACGTGCTAAATTAACCAATTCCGATAGTGAGTACGCAAATACTTTTTTATATAGCTGCTGATAAGATTCCTTCTTTAGGTATCCTTCCAGATATGCCTCTGAGCCCAATACTCACTCACATGCATATAAATGAAAATATTACAAATTCCTAGACCGTAGCAGGTTCAACTTGCGCTGTCAATAACTATTGGCAATGGGCTAATGTCATATGCAATGTCCTTTATTTTAGCAAACCATTGTTTATTATTGCAAATATGTCCCTTGATGAAGTGACCTTTCCTCACACGTCGAATTAATTAGAATTGAGAAATATCTTGATATCTGCCAGATTTAAGTATTTTAAGGACTTGGCAGTATTAAATAGGAGATTAACAACCATTTAAAATTAACGTTTTCCACGGTTTAAGTAAAGCATGTGTAATAATAAGTTGCTGCTGTGCTGGATATTGTAGTTGTGCTTAAAAATTGATTTTGTACGTGCGTTGTGCTCAGATTACATTAACTATTGCTGTTCACGATGTCTGTACATAAAGAAAGGCAACAGGTTCTTGACTTCTGTCTCCCTGCCTTTGTCCTCATGAAAGTGGAACTGAATCTGAATCTATATAAATCCTCACCTCTCTCTGCTTACCATCCATCAATGAGATGTGATCAAATGGGCATGTTTCTCGATTTAGTGCACTTGTGCAAAGAAGTGCTGTTTCATGTTTTCAATGGAATTGGAAGACGGCTACATTTCTTTAACTAAAAAATAACACATCACTCTGAAATGGAATGTCCTTTGCAACGTGGCATTTATGTAAAAAAAATGGCTGCCAATAGTTTGTGTAGAAATAATTTTTTCTCCATCCAATACTTTATAGTTTATTTCATTCAACAGTGTGCAATAAATATCCTAATTCCATGGACTATTTTTTAAATAATACAGTACCAACCAATCATGATTGCGTCATTCAATTTCGACTTTCTTGATCGTTGCATGTACATGCATAATCTAATTAGCAATTATTTATTATCCATCGTCATCCACTTGTGGATTCAATAATAATAACAAAATTTAACTAAAACATGGCAATTTTTTAATTTTTTATTTAAAGTCAACAAGCGGTGGAAATTTCGGATTTTTATGTAATTTATGAATGACACGATCCGAATAGGGTACATATATCGGCACTTGTTAGTATAATGCCCGGGTAGCTAATTTACAATTTGCATGATTCAAGATGTTGAGAGATCTTTTCCTAGTCAATTTTCATCTACTGACTGTACAGAGGATGATCATTGACAATATCATACCAGACATAGCAGACATACGTATAGGAATGAATGGTAGTGTTTCATTAATCTCTTCCGGTCTAGTGTCAACGTCAAGTTTGGACGACGATGTGATGCAATTTCGATTCTAATGGTTCTTTATCCATGTAAATACTAGAGGCATGTTTTACTCTTTTTTCTACCACATGGTAGACCAATGCTGTAGGCAAATTTGATTTGATCTACTAAAAGCCAACGTGTCCAAGTATAACAGTGTGGTTAATGAAATCCGCACTTTTCTGTATGCACATATCAAACCTGCATACTACACATTTATACTTAACCTGTCGTTACCGTATTTTATGAATGAGTCCTCCACCCCGAGTCTGTTCAGACATATTGATACTCCAGCAAATTCACTGCTTGTTTTAATCAGAAATTCTGATTCAGAATGAAATCGAAATGGCAACCTATAAAAAGCGTATGCTCCAGTGAGCATTGCTGAACGGGTGCAAACCTGCGTGACCACTCATGCGTATGTATGTGTATATTTATTTAATTGTTTTTGTCCTCCAACTTCTGCACCCAATTCCCAGCATTACAGATTACAAATTGAAAAATATGTGACAATGGGCTGCTTGAAACTCATTGTATTATATTATTTGACTCTGTAAATCGGCCCAAAATTTTAACAGACAGAACTTTGATTATCTTCTTCATGGTCAATTCCTACCATTAATTTTTTATAACTTAAACCTCTGCCACCCATGTGTGATTCTGATTCATTTAATAGCAATTACTGGATTTAGACAAGTTCTGGGGTATACGGCTGGCTAGCCCTTTTCTGAAGATGAGAGGATATATTTCATCCTCAACCAAATTAAACAACACATTTATGTTTTTTCTCTTCTTGTCATCATCATGAATGTTCTTTGCAAATTAAACACCACTTGACTTAATGTTTTTTTGTAAAGATGTACATTCAACAGAAGGGCAGCCATGGATTACTTTCAATTTTAGGCAAGGCAAAGGGGAGAAGTTTCTTGTTATCATTATAGGACAGCCCAATAACGGAAGGGAGGATTAAGTAAATTAGGGTTGCCTTCTGGTCTATGTATTTCATACAGATTCATATATGTAATTGTGCATTTGCATATTTGTTTACTGTGGAATGAGAATTTTTTAAATGTGCTAATGGAAACATACATGTATTTGAAATTCATAATTCTTAAACAAGCATAATAAGGATTCTAGAAATGAATTAATGGGCAAATTTTAATTTTTGTGGCTTATTTCTTCCAGGCTGAAGCTGAAGTTGCTGCTCTAAATCGTCGTATCCAGCTTCTGGAGGAGGACCTCGAGCGATCTGAAGAACGATTGAACACTGCCACGACCAAGTTGGGTAAGTCTACGTTACTGACGCCAACTAATTACTATTCCATTTTTCGATAGTTTGGGTTTCACTCATAAAAAACAATTAATTAACAATGATTCTTTGTCGTATTACAGCTCAGGCTTCCCAAGCTGCCGATGAGTCCGAGCGGTAATTACTTGATTAGTTTTAATATGTAGCATAAATAATTGGAGAGAAAGAACTTACGCGTTCTTCTATTTATAACGTTCACTATAAAACGTCGGTCGGCATATATAATTTTTGACCATTGCATACGGTGAATGATTGCTCTACTATGAACAATGAGAGTGAATATAAAGTTGGGTATTGTATTATACGTGAAATTCCTGTTGGGTTAAATTCGAGCAGAATCAGGAAAGCATTAGGAAATCGAAACAAGCTGGAAGCACATATATATTGAATATATATTCAATATAATATTTTCAATTAACCATACTTTCAGTATTCGTAAAATGCACGAGAACCGCGCCAGTCTGGAAGATGACCGAATTGCAATTTTAGAGGCAAATTTAGCCCAAGCTAAATTGATTGCCGAGGAGGCCGACAAAAAATATGAAGAGGTAAAATGCTCACAAAAACATTTGTCGACAACAATGACGCCAACTTTGTACCCCAGCACATTTAGCTTTCATTTATAATTCATTTTAAGAGACAAGTCATTTTCTGTTGCCTCTCCTGTAAAATCGCTTTACTCTCCTTCCTCTCTCATTTCATTTCTTCGGTCAGTTGCATCTGTCATCACATCGCGAAGACAAACCAAATAAACGTCGGATAACAGACGAAACTAGTGTAGCTCGTATCAAATTCGTCCGCTCATATGACTCATAATTGGCATATAATCATTGGCTCGAAGAAATTAGTCGGTATCGCGTAACTCACTGTTGTGGTTGCAAAATATTTCAAATAATTAGGTTCTTCATCAATATCATTTTTTTAACGAGTCTCACTTTCTTACGCTCTGACCTAATTGTTCTTAGTATGCGCAAAGTGCTGGAGAACCGAGCCATCACCGATGAGGAGCGCATGGATGCTCTTGGTAAGATTAGGATGGGATTATATTTCCACAAGTTAACTATTGACTAATCAAACAAGTATAACAAAATCAAATTATGAAGTACAAAGTTAATTAACACGAGAGCAAACACACAATATTGAATTAAATATCAACGGTTCAGGCTTCCACCATTTCTAATGTGACCAAACATTTCCATGTAAAATCTTTAGACTTCTTTTTGTTCCTATTTGATCATTATGAATGATCTGCTGTTGGTAGAGTAATTTTGTATTCCCATTTCTTAAGATATTTTAATTTGTTCATCGCATTTTGCAAATACGCAATGTTTAACGCAATGTAGGAAGTGACATGAAATGGGGGTTTAACTAAGAAAACAGACTTGACTTTCTTAATATTTTTATTTTACCTTAAAAATCTCATCACTGAAAACTATGAGTGAATTAGCATGGTTCAGCACATGTTATACAAGAATGTATGTACGCTATATGTATATGTAGATAGACATGAATCGAGTGAAAGCCTGAACTGTTGACACCAACACACACGCACACAAGAGTAACTAAGTAAATGTTGCATAAGGGTAGCCTTTGTTACTTTACAAAACAACGACAATCGAATCAAAAACCGCAGTCATCTTCATTCATGCATCATAAACTTGTCATTATTTTTGTAGAGAGCCAGTTGAAGGAGGCACGGTTCATGGCAGAGGACGCTGACCGTAAATATGATGAGGTCTTCATTTATTCACAACTCGAACAATTAACTCGAGTGGGGTGTACTGGCTGAGTATACATTGACCTAACCTAAAATGTGTGCTAACAATACAATTAAAATTAATATTTGCAATTTGGACTTTTATCAATATTTTAAAAAATATACTGCGATAAAGGTCTTGCACTTTTGGATAAATGTCCAAGTTGGTTTGCATCTAATTTTCTTCACTTTCACAAACTGATAAAAGTCTGTCTGCTATTTTGTGGCTCATCCTAGAATAAATTTGTGTTAAACAGTGTGGAGTTTATCCAAGTTGGATAATCCAACGTATTCATGTTTTACATAATCATACTTAATCGTAGTGCGGCTATAAATAGTTTTTTCTGAGGCCTCTGAAAACTGTTTGTTAGCGTGATTTTAACAAGTAACTCACACGAAAGCTCTCCTGTTTGTGGTGACAAAGATAACCTACAGCTATAATTTGATCCTTACTTATTATTTTAAACTCCCATCACTCACTCCCTCCATTATTATCCCTTGCAAGAAACCCGTATTATAGTTGCAAGTATTTGGCTTTTTACTCGTTTTCCTGGATGAACTTTGATGTGCAGCTTGATTTCTTGAACCAAGTGTTATTAGAATAGTCGTGAGAGAGGCGGAGAAAATTTGATTCCGACGTGGATAAATCAAAGTCGAATTTTACTCCAAAAGGTAGCCCGTAAGTTAGCCATGGTTGAAGCTGACTTGGAACGTGCGGAAGAGAGGGCGGAGCAGGGCGAGTCGTGAGTATCTCTATTTTCCTTAAGCATTTGCAAATGTATGCCTGCGACTTTTTTTGTGATGCAAAACTAAAACGTGTTCACCATTTATTTGAGCTTTAGTTAATTAGGCTATTTATTAAATTTAACAGTTATTATTTGAAGCTGTAACTCACAATGAAACAAAAATTCCTGGCATCAGGAAATATGTATGTATTACAATGTCATATTCCCGGCACCCCGAGTTATTTAGTTAGGACGCACTCAAACATGGATTTCATACTTGTACTCGTTTAATCTGTTCTGTTCTTTTCTCTTTTCTTGGAGATATCAACAGTATAATTTTATAATTTTATGACTTGGCTCTCTAATGTATTCGTTATGTATGACCATACAAATAGAAAGCTGGAGAAAGCTTGACAAAGTTGAAATCATTGTTGATCATATGATATGTTTGTAATTGGTTTGTTTAATGAAATGTATTATTAATTTGATGTTTTTTTTTCTTTTGTTTTTTTTTAATCCTGTGTGCCACTAACTTGATGTGTGAATTTATAACTAATTCACCGAATCCACCGAAAAGGTTGCGAGAAAGTTAGTAATGATTGAACAGGACCTAGAAAGAGCCGAAGAGCGGGCTGAGCAGGGCGATGGGTGTGTCAAACTGCTTTTATACAAATAAATATATATCCTGATAACACATAAATCTGCATGGCTTGCCAATAATTCTGCCTTTGAAACCAATTTTATTTTATACAACGTTACAATTGCTATGTGCTTTGTGCATGAATAATATTGACAAGAAATAGTACTAATGAAAAACTTTTATGAAATTACAGTAAGATCGTGGAACTTGAGGAGGAGTTGAGAGTCGTAGGTAAGTCTAAATTATGACAAGTGTGAGGTATCGCACATTCCACACAATACTGGCATACTGACTAAAATTTTGCTCTTCTATTTCGCAGGAAACAATCTCAAATCTCTTGAAGTGTCTGAAGAGAAGGTATGTTACGATGACGTGTGCCTTTTGCTAGGAATTTATTATAGTTATCTATCTATTTATGTACGTTATATTTGTGAGGTTTCTGCACATCTTTATGGCAAAGTTATAAGTTGATGCATATGTAGATCGCGGCAATCAGACAATTGCTTATTACTTTTGACAGTGTCTACATCAATTTCTATATCATCCGGGTATAAAGTATCAATTATCTCACACCTGCAATTAATTTGTGTAAAAGTACTTGTGTTCTGTGCAGTAGAATAGTTTTGAGTTGATGTCGCAGAGTAATTAATGGTCTTTCTAATAATATTTTTTATTTACACAAAATTTCAACTCTGCGTGTGTCCAATCTGACACGAATGACACCAAATAGTCTCGGGAACGAGAAGATGAGTGCAAAGAGCAGATAAAAAATCTGAACAAGCGATTGAAGCAGGTATTTAAAATATGTGTCTGGGATTAGGAAACAGACTCGATACTTCAAACTGTTCCTAACTCCGCTTTCACCAAAGCCACCCTTTGGATATGCAGATTACAGTTGAGTTGCAGTTGAGTTTGTGAGCAATCTAGTCTGGTCTGGTTGACTAGATCATAGCGTGATTGGAATGGAGTTTGTCTCGATAAGCACAGGGTCTGATAAGTCTGCTGGGATTATTATAACGTGAGGTCTTGCTTGGTGTGTGTAACGTGACGAAACCATCATCATTGCTGACTTACTGCACTACTAACCACTAAGAATAGTATATTTGGCATAGTAGGATTATTTGATAGTACGTACAAACGTACTATATTTAGACAGACGAGAAATATTTGTTTGTCAAGTATTCATAATAAATTGGCATTGCATAAAACATAGCATCAAGATGTTTTCAATTACTACGAAAATACTTGTGCATATATGGATTTGATAAAATGATGACCACTTAGGCTAACCAACGTGAGGAGGAATATAAACAGCAAATCAGGATGCTCTCTACCCGTCTGAAGGAGGTAGCTTTCAGAGTCACTTGGATTTTAATTTCCAATTCCCTCATAATACACACATGTTGACGACTGACCTTAAAATTTGCATTTACCGCAAGTAAATGTTGGATTAACACGGTTTTTGTATACTAGTTTTGTCTACATTCGTGGAATGTATTTTAAAAACATGTGATGAACATGGGACAAGTCGAATATTCTATTTTTAACAGTTTGCTCACTCTGAAAATTTTGTGCTTCCGGTACAAAGTCAGTGCAAGTATTTTGCATAACCAACTCTCTCCCTCTCTCTTTCTATGTATCTAGAATTCGCAGTTTGTTTTATTAGATTTTATTGTATGTAGAAGATTTTTTTTTGGTTTTCTTGTTTACGTAATGTGCTGTTCAGAAAATTGAGACTGATTTTTTCATGGTGTTAACAGGTAAAATGTTGACCATGCAGATAACCAAACTACATACCTTCCGCATTTTTGAAATATATCATAGATGATTTACTTAGGTTGATTTTAGTAACATAGTAGTGATGTGTGATCCTCACAAATAAATAATATTAATTGGCTTTGCAATTTGTGTTTGTTTAACTGGTTTAACATAAACATGTGTGCTAACTGTGTGTCGTTTTTCGTGTTTGTTTTTCATGAACCTTAACCAATGAAGGCTTCTCAAATGGAAGAATCATATTCCCACCAATTGCGTAGCATTTCCGAAGCTCTAAAAGAAGTAAGTCACGACTAACGTAACGTACCCCAGATTGAACAACGACTTAATATTCTATTTATCGTATAAATATGAATACTTACGATAAATAATTTCCACATGCATTCTTCCATTATTGAAATATGTTTTTGTGCATGTTTAACGAAGTGTGTTGTTTAATTTCACTGGTTTATTAATTACAAATGACTATGGTTTTGATCCCAATAACTCACATGACTTTTTGACACCTTGTTTTTACCCTCATTGACGTTGACATGTTTTATGCTGTTTGATTGACATGGACCACTTGCAAAAACCAACCCCCGCCCCACCTTCAATGTCAAACACTTTAAGTAATAGTCCCTAATATGAGTATCAAATGTGTAGGCTGAAGCTCGTGCTGAATTCGCCGAGAGGTCCGTGCAGAAGTTGCAGGTACGATCTATTCATTTTCCAAAATCAAAACCTATTCAATACAAATATTTTTTTCTTAAATTGATGTGTGGAATTAAAAACTCATTCTGTGTTTTGTCTTTGTTTCTGCAGAAGGAAGTCGACAGGCTCGAAGGTATGATTTTAAATTATTCCCAAATTAATATAAAGTTTATAAAGTTTTTTTAAAATTTACTACGAAAAAAAGAGTACATCTTGCCACTTATGGAATCTCAGATTCCTCGAGTAAAATTTAAAATTTTTGTTGATAAATGAAAGTCGAATTCGTTATATTCGTTAGATGACTTGATTGGTGAAAAAGAGAAAAGCCGATTGATGCACGATGAAATGGAGGCGACTTTACAGGATATACAAAACATGTAATATTCATGTATTGCCAATTAAATTTCAAACACAAATACAATGCAAAAAATGCCTGTATCTTTCAAATCTTTCTGCTATTATCGGCAAAAATGGCTTTAACTTTGGCAAGATTAAGCGGGCCTAAAACATTATTGCGTAATTCAATTGTATAATTGCTGTGGGTGGATTGGTTGGGTTCTGTACATGGTCGTCAACATTTCTTATATTAAATTAAGGTGGCTTACATTTCCTTCTGCGATGACTAGTTATAAATATGTATATGCTGTGCTATGTTTTGTTGGTCTTTCATTCATGGGCCAATGTTGATATAAATTTCAATGGACATTGTTTTTTTCCCCGAAGATGACTTGATCCTAGAAAAACAACGTTATAAATCCATTACGGACGAGTTGGACACCACTTTCTCCGAGTTGACCGGTTATTAAAAATACTCGTCAGGATGACACCGTTGCCAGTTATTACCCATCATCACAATAACTACACTACTTCTTCTGTGACTCATTATTCTCATCTTTCATTTCTAAACAAAAAATAGTACCACTACCCTCCGTTTCACATGTTAGTAAAAATCATCTCTAAAATTTGGTGTTACTTTGAGTTGATTTTGTTTTTGTTTTTTGAGTTTTTTGAGTTTTCCACAAATAAACCCTTACCTTGATTTAGTATTTTTTGTTTTCCAGTCTTTGGATCATTAGAAATTTATCCCTAACTTTGGGTCATAATTGATGTATGAAAAGAGAAATTTATGTGTACATATAAGGGAAATGATCCACCGACGAGGTTTTTTGAGTGACCATTTGCATGCAGCTTTTGTCATTTATGTGTTTGTGTGTTGTTTAAAACTTATTTCTGTAATCTGTCTATTTATGTGGATTATTATTTTTTATTTCTGCAATTCAAACCCCGTCCTGGTTTATTACATTTGATTTTTAATTTCATTTTGATTAAGTCGATACATAAACTCGAAAAACGTGGGTTAACACTAAATTCAACTTATTAGTTGCTCAAACTTGAACCTCTACGTTTGACTTATTAATAACACGTATGAACTGGGTTTGGAAGCTAAAATATTTGCTACATAACATATTATGCGCTTGATATTGGTGAAAATATTTTCCAAAATTTCTGCTGTTTTTGTCTGATGTTGTGAGTCAATATGCAAATGAATTTCGTATATATGCATATAATAATAACAATTGTTTTTGTCTATTTGTTCTTCTAGCTGAACTAATTCACGAGATAGAAAAATCCAAGAACATTGCAGACGAAGTAAGTACTTTTAAAATCAATGAATTAATTTGAACCACAAAAATGCAATCAAACAACTTTCAAATAATGTTTCCATTCTACTCTTAATGTGCCAAACTAACTAAGGCATTTGTATTTTCAGATGGATAGAACATTTTCCGAATTGGCTGGCTACTAATATAAATCTCCTCAAGACGTCCGCCTGTTTCTACTACCAAGAACAATTTCAGTTCAGAGTCAAACTTTTAGCTTATACACGATGTTATAGAAAATACCCGTAAATTATTCTGTTGGTCTTTTCATTTTCCGACTATGAATCTGTCGATCTATCAACTGTTTGTCTTTTTTCTCACGTCTCCAAACTGTATAACTACTACACATGCAAATCTCTGCATGCACGAGACCCTGTGCTGTTGTTGCGACTGACGGATCTGAGAAAGTCCCTTTTCCTCTTTCTTCTAACAATCAATCGCCCTTCTTCTATTATTTAACACTCAACGACCAATACAACAGCATGACTTTGTCACCTTTCGTTTTGTTTTACCATTCTGTATACTTAATTATTTTCTCTCTGGTATCGGCGATAATCCCACACAATTTACCGAACAAGCTCTCAAGAACAACATTATTGGGGGAGCCAATTTCTCTGTTTAAGTAATTGACAATTTAAAAAATAATTTAAAAATTGGGTTCGGTTCTTCTGTCTGAAGCATAAAATATAAGTAACATACCATGCAAAATGATTTGCTATTTGCTGTGCTATGGCTATAATATTAATCAACTATATAATTCAACTATTTGATAATGTATGATGTAATTCTGTATGATAGGACGACGAGCACAAGAGGTTGTTGAAATCAAACATTGCTGGATTAATATCATGTTGTTGTTACGTTAATGTTAAGTTTGCATTATTATATGATGAATAACTTGTAAAAAAAACTCTGTTAACGAGCAGGTAGCAAGTAGTTAGTAATGTCAGAGCAATATGATAATAATAGTATGTGTCTAAGGCAAATCAACATAAAAATGATATGATGATGATGATGATGATAATAATGAAATAATGAAATAATACACTTTAAGTTGCGTGTTGTGTTGACAGTGACATGTATAACAGACATTAAAATCCCGTCTCAGTTGAACCATAAGCCACTTTCATACAGCCAAAAACCACACATTCTTGTAGTTTCACTACATTGATTGCTGAGAAAGCATCCACATACTTACAATACACACGAACATAACAAGTGCTGTTGCTCTTCTTGCTGTAGAAATATTATTGTTATCATACTGACTGTTAATTATTGCAATTTTCTGACGCGAGCCGGATCATGAATGACTTTCTCGTAGTCAGCACATTACTTACTACTTGCTCTAAAACTTAACACTCTCTAAAATGTGTATCATGTATGTACCTAATTTACACTATTTATTTCCGTGTGCCTTGCCAAGCTTGTGGCAATCGAAGACTCTTCTCCTCCAGCTACTTAATAATAATATGCTATATCGTTATTCGTTGTTATATAAAGCAAACACTCACTCGACCTGATTACGAGCTCAGCTTATTTCGTAATTTTTTCGTATAGAACTAGTGACATTTCTGGTATGAGAGCGAGGACCGTTGAATGAGAAATCCGTATTTACATAGTTATATTAAAGTTGTTAGAACAACTATAATGCAGGCCATGTCGAGTAGATGTAGTGCTATGATTTTGTTCGTCAACAACTGACGCAAATTCGGACCACTTTGTTTGCCTATCTGTCTATCTATCTGTATATCTATCTATTTCTTGTTAGAAATGCTTGCTTTTGGATTGAGTTTATAGGTGCGTGGTTTTATTTCTATGTATCAATCATTTACACCTCAACCAACACTGTGTGAATTTTTAATGGGAACCAACGACAATATTGCAATTATGAATATTAACATCAAAAACAGAGTTACACTGTAAAATAAAATCTCATCATACAAAACAATAAATAACTGAATGAAAATTAACACCAATGGCTGAGGATTGTGTGCAGAGATACAACAAAAAGATTTACTATTCATAATTCAATATTGTTTACAAAATACTATTACAATTTAGTTATGATGATCGAATGAACATCTTGTCAATAAAGTGGTGTTATGATGATTGATATGATAAAACCTACAAATTGGATATTTTACTTTCTATTATTATTCTTTCATGCTGAACAATCAATGCATTTCGTCGTACACTGCTATAGTCTAGTCTTGCGTATTTAATTTTAACACCGAAGTAGCCAGCTTAAGACGTACATAAGTTCATGTGGAACGTGCTTTCTCCATGTGAGCATGGATTCAGGTTAATATCGATCTTACGTTTTGTTTGATTAAATTGAAAATTGATCTTATTAAGTTTGCATGGATGATGGATGAACGGAAGAGAATTCTAAAGAAAAAAGTCTGCACACACACACATGTAAGCATACTTGACTAAAATTAACAATTAATAACACTATGTAAGTTTTGCAATGCTCATAATACAATAAGACCACACACCAAAAAATGTCTTTCTGCATGCTTAATATATCCATATAGCATTACTAAATATACATCAAATATGGCATCTTTAAGGGACGCCTGCATATATTAATAAGAAATGGATTTCATACTGCCTTGCTTCATCAATGTCACACAGATCTACCAAAGAAGAAAAAAGAAGAAGAAACGACGACGTGTGGCCAGAGACAAGTTCACATCAAGGTACTCGCATTTCTTTCAGTCGAAGGTGATACCAGCGTGTATAGCGAGTGCAACAGACGTTACCAATATGTTGTGCTGCAAGATTCAGCAAAATTAATTAACTTTCTACACTTTATGCCAGAGAAGAAAAGACTTTAACTCTGAGAAGGAAATGAGAGTTTTCTCAGAGTAATCCCCAGATTAACTGACGCTCCGCAGAACCGACATCGTAGAACCAAAGGTTTTCTGCTTGTGCCACATTTCTTTCAATCATGACATGCTGGACCTTCATATAAAGCGTCGACTGGCGTGGTGAAGCAAATGTGAACGAACTTTAATGGATACTTTGGCCGTTTGGGAGACTTGGCTTAATGCACTGAAAAGAAAAATATTGTATACCCATCTCTCGTTAGCTTATTAGGAGTGAGAATGCAATAAATGAGGCAACAAGACCCCCCTCAGTTTCAACCAACAAGACATTTCTTTTTACTGCTCTTGTATGATGTGGCAAATGTCCAGCCCCTCCAAAATGAAATTAATTGTATATATATCTCCACCCTATTAATGCCCTCCTCCGGGGTGCACCCTTAGGAAATGGAAGGGAAAACTTATAAAGTGGCCAACTAATCATTTTGGTTGCTCTGCTGGTTTGCTGGTGGTTCATCATGGTTCATCTTCTCTTAATGCGGTTAGATCCCAAGAGATTTGTCCGCCTTTCTTTTCTTTTCCAACTAATGTGGAGTTTATTATTATTAAGTTACTCTTATATATATATTTACGCTCGGTATGCAATATGTAGAGCCTGAGTCAATGTGTACTATATCCAGACCCATCGTTGACCTTGTACAGGCCAACCTATGAGAAATTGTCTGGATGTAGAATTAATTAAAGAAGGCGGAGGGAATAATTTTCCGTTTTGACAGCAGGTATGGATAAAGCTAATTCATGCGCATTTCTACGGGGTTGCGATATTTCTTTTCGTTATTTATTTTAAAACGTATGCTTCACAACTCAATTTGGGCTCAATTGAGGTGTCCTTAGACGAATTTCGGTGTATGACGATGCGTGGGTTGCGAGGTGAAAGTCAGCAGGTGAAGGAGGAAAGGACGCACACACTCGCAGGTCGGATATACCTGGAAATACAGTGGCATAAAACTCCGTTGGCTGGAATGGACCGGCTTTGCAATTTCCACTCCAGCTCGTTTCGCAATACACATTTCGGATTTGCAACAGGATCCGTCCCGGAGAAAGTGAATGGAAGGACTTTTCTGCGCACAATTATTGATCCGTCGGATATTTGACGCAACTGGAGTGTTAAAAAATAAGAGCAGATATTTCGTATTGTTTTCAACCGTATTGACAAGAACCATAAGGAATTTCCATTTAGCTGAGCCATGTAGTACATCTGTCAAGTAGAGTAAATTGTTGTTAACCCACTTGTCACAAAAAGTGGTAACATTTCCTCTGTCACATTTTGAGAAAGGAGGGAAAATTTTAGTGTCAATTATCGCCTCCCTGTCCAAGGTCGTGCCTTGGCGGAGAGGGGAGAGGTCAAACTCCGCCACCTCCCACTCGGAATTCTCCATCGGGCCAAGCGAACAACAGCCTGGGAAATGGTGCATCACGACGAAGCCGACCCGGGCCCTCAGGTCAAACCTGGTGCTGAATCAACGTGTAAGTACTTGCAATGTCCTCCTTCCTTTACTCGTCACTCGTACGTGTGGACTCTCAGAGATTTTCCACAAGGAGAAAGTCCTAAAAATTTTATGGTCATCCATACAATTTTCACCAGCTGAGTGAATGCGCTTCATATTACCTGAATGTACATATGCATATACATACATACATATGACGAGTGTTTAACTACAGAGATAAATACCGGCTCGGTTAGGTTTATTTAGATGTGTAAATATTAAATAGTGCTGAATAGATGGGTCAAAGTATTTTATCTTTTTATCGACAATTTACGGAGCAAAAAGATCTTGGTTAATTAACTTAGGGGACAAATTCTTAAGGTCTGATTAAACTCAAACTAATTAAGGACTGCCAATTGCTAACTCTTATTCTCGCACTCGTCCGAACACATGAGCATTCATTTCTAACTTTCTTCCTGGGTTTCAGACTAGGAATTGAATGGTGAAAGTTTAAGTGAGAAAAGTAACGGAAAGTGTCAATTCAATGGGAATCAGTTCATCTGTTCCATTATGTGTGCCATGTCGTGCGATACTTCTGCAGGGTCTTTCACTCATACGCCAATTAATTCCACTATTTGAGAGACACATCACCATCTAAAAATTCTTTTGACGCAACGAATCATGTCATTCGTCGAATTGAGTCATTCGTATGACCAACGGCTGTGATATGTTCTGGGTCGTCTTTTCACTCCACTTGTAGAAATCGTGCCAGGTTGGCGGAAATCTTACTTTTTTCAACGCAACGTATCTATATATTTGACTTGCGTAAATCTATTCAGTACCATTCGTATGCTTCCTTTCGAGAACACACTTGGTAACATAAATGACAAATCGGTTTTACTTAGATTGGAATCTTTGTTTTGAAGTGGAATTAAACGCAAGAGTGAAACGAGCAAGCAAGATGCATTGATATCTTCCTGTAGCTAATTATGGCCTAGAAAATTAAATAATTACGTTACAAGTATAAATAATAAATTGATATTCATCTGCAAATATGTAATGAAGTATTTTAGAGTAGTATTATTAATCTCATAATAAAATACAAACTAGTGTGAAATCGCAAACACATTACAATTTTATGATCTATGTACATATAAAGGTTTATAAATGTCAAGATTTATTTATTAGAGGTGTGCCAAAGTTTAAACGGAAATTTTCCTAATGCACTAATTTCTACGTCCCCAAATTAAATTATTAAATTATTCATTGAGGTGAAGGTGTATGTATCTCACCGTGGGAACATCTCTCTCATCTCTGCTAATATGGATTTATGACATTTCTCGCAAATTCTCCATTTTTGAAGGGTTTTATGTTGACAAATTAAGTAGTTCACGTGCATAAATACCTGAATTTAATATCATCGAATGTTGTTTCTGAGAAGAGTTGTGTCATTGGCAGACAAACTTGTAGCAAATTTGATTAGAGTTTGACATTTCCCTTCGTCATGCAAGAATTAAGTGCCATGAACTGAAGTTTTAATCTCAAACTCAAGAAAAATGCACTTAAATCTTTTTGTTGGCATCCCAAATATCATAACTTCACTTTCAATAAAAACAAACAACTTGAAGACATGAAAGAATATTCCCTCCGGGTTGAAATGTTGATTTAATTGTGAAAGAAATGTTGAACTCTTGTGTTTATTGCTTCTTGTGCAACAACAATCCACGGAGGCGTGTTTATGTGCATATAATTTATTGAAAATAGTTAGGCAATTGTAAATATGCATTTCAGATTTATTTGTCTTTGTAAAAATGACAAATTTCCGTTTTCATGAAAAGTGTTGCACATAAATAAAGAGAATCAATTGAAATTAAGCGTTGATACTTCCTTCCTGAATAATAAATTGTATTACTTACGTAATATATATTGTCTGTTATATAACGGATGGTCGTCGTCGGAAGAGCGTGAAGATTGTTCAAAACAATGCGAGGAAATGAGAAAAAAATGCTTTATGCTCAAAAGACAAATGTAATGCACAAACAGAAATGCTCGTCATAAATTAAGAAGAGAAAGAACTGGCCATTTTTAGCTTGAGCCGAGCTAGGACTTTTTGAACCATCGTGTACATCTGTCTGCCCCACTATAGCGAAAAAAGTATTGCACCGATTGACATGCATTTTGTCACTCATTTTTATCGGTAGTTTTTACATGTAAGTTCGAAGAGAGACATTGTTAGTCCTAAAAAATGTATGAAAACCATGGATGGCAAATGATGGAAAAATTTGCCGTTAGGTAGAAATTAGTGTACGAAAATGAAGTTACTGACAAAGGTCCACTGGTTTTCCGGATTTCGAAATATATTTTAGATAAGGATTGCAAGGGTCGGGCCAGATCAAGTCTGTGCTGTAGGTTTTTAAAGCTGGAAATGAGATCATTGATACCGTTATAAATCTTCTGACAAGGATTAAATTTATCGTTCTTTTTATTACGATCTCAATCTTCTTGTTGGGTATATTTTCCACATCTTTATTCCTACGTTAGGCACTCTCTCAGTCGGTAAAGAAAGTCTACTCGTTCGCTTTCTCTCCCAGGTAATGCCCTGCCATAGAATATAATGTCAAAGAGTGAAGCATATCGAGGTGATCGTGGATTAAACAGATTTTCCAACGTATTCTTAAACATCGTTTTGTTATTTAGCATTTTCAGGCCTGAGAATTTCAGACTTTTATTTTTACGAATATGTATTTGCACGACACTTATACAATTTATATTTGGGATATGAAATCTTACTTGGGTGGTACTTAAATTTTAG